GACATACATACATACATACAGACATACATACATACATACAGACAGACATACATACATACAGACATACATACATACATATATATATATATGTATATATATATATGTATATCAACATGCGCGAATGCTCAAAATAGCAGTTTCGTTGGGAGGGTGGATGCAGAATTGGCCTGAATTCTCGGGATGCACCGTAGAAAGTTGCTTTGTAATCGGATTCTGGTTGATTGAGGCGAGAACAAGGATATTGGGTTTCCTACAACTCGCCTTTCTTCAAGGAGATCCGTGAGGTATCTGGAGCTGATGACATGGAAAAACGCTTTGGCGACGCTTATTCCTACACTCGAAATCCCAGGGCCAAGATCTTCCAGCGTGATACTATTCACGCCACGGAAGCTTGGATAAAAAGTTTGGCTCACATATTTCTTGGTGGTTTTTGGGGGAGCCTTGATCTCCCATGATCTCCCATGATCCCCCTACATGATAGATATGATCCATATTGATTCATATGATAGTGCCAAGGTGTCAAGTGAGGCGTCCTTTTTTGGCTTCCCATCACCCATAGGATCCATGGTGCTGGTATATATGCTAACATAAAGGGGGTATATTGATGGTAAATGTTACCATATATAGCATACATGGATCCTATGGGTCAGGACCTGGAGAAAGTGAAGCACTTGTTGCGCTACAACAACTGGCAGCATGACCCTTTGTCCGCAGCAGGCTACCGGGGGCCCACCGAGCCCCGCGCACCGGAGAATGCCATTGCTGCGCGATATGATTTGCATCCATGGCCAAAGGTGGGATGCATTTCAAGACTAGATATGACTAGATCATCTAGAACTCGGATATTGGATGATTTTGGTCAGTCTATGAAAAGGCAAACCTTACATCATTTTGCTATTTTCAGGTTTTGGTTTTGGCCATGGTTTGTCCCAAATTCGATCGATATGGATTTGTGCCTTCCCGTGACTGTTCCTTCTGCCCCACCAACTGTTCATACCGGGACGGCCGAAGATGGCTGAGTCAACCATGAGACACATTCAAATTCGAAAGGACACCAAATTGAGGTATGTGTTCGGGTTGTGATTCCAAGTTCTGCATAGTCTGCATAGTGTTTTTTTAACGCTATAATTAGTGCAAAATCAAATTGCTGCAAAACTTGCCTAAAAGATGGTGGCGTTGTCTTGACATGTCTTGGCAACTTGAGGAGATGATGTTCCGGGCTTTGTAGCTGATTCATGCTGACTTTTGCATCTTATTTATACACGCTTGTATCTCCGAATGGGCTCAAGAAAACTGACACCCGAAAGCAGAAACCGAAGGGGTTTGCCAATTTGCACTGACCCCTATTTTTTTCCACGAAAATAGACATCTTCGTTCTCAAAGGCGCTTGAAAATCGACCTGAATAATCCCGATTAGAGCAGAAGCTGCTTACGTTCCATCCCTTCACCCACAGGTGAGAGAAGCTTTTGGAAACACCGATGCAAAGATTTGCAGAGCGGCAGACTGCTTGGCAATGCGTTTCAGTGCAATCAGCGGACCAACAGCAGATGATCAGCCTCCTTTTGCATGGGAAGGTGAATGGGAATCCTCTGCTCACATGGGTCACCCCCTACGCTGGAATTTCAGCTGGGTGGACTTTGCGGCAAGCGATTTCGTGGAGTCTGCTGCGTCTGCTATAGTGATATAGAGTAGCTAGGACACGTGACGCGATAGCTCGCAGGTGAGTGTGACAGAAAATTGTGGCGTTGTCGAGCTCGGCAGTCAGAGGTAGTCAGAGCATCCTTCCATATCCTTCCTAAAATTGAATGAAGAAATCGTGCAAAAGAGTTGCCTAGTACACTTCAGTACCTTTGAAGCAGGTCTTGGTGCGAGGTGGAACAGCCCTTATGCCTGGCACTTGGAACACCTTGGAAATCCTTGGAACATTGGCCATGGAAATGGAGAATCTATGACAATCACATGACAGAGAGATGCGTTGCATCTGATGTCTGAAACGGCCATGGGTAAATGCCAGGTCAAGGAGCAGATTGGGGTGTGTGCGACAGCGAGGAGGATCCGATCTTGGCGGGGAGCTTCCCAGTGTGTTGGAACCCCAGAGCATGTATATCGTCACAAGCAGACAACGGTTTTGACAGCTTGTGATGATATAATATGATATACATATAATATCATATAAAATCATATACATCACATTGAATCCTATGAATTCCTATGATACGTGACCAAGATGTTGGCTGTGCACAGGCAAAATAAGTCAAAGTGTCAAACGCTTTTTATGTGCTTACCTGTGAGGTGTCCGTGTGGTCCCATCCAATGCCACAAGCATTTATGAATATGAGCCCTGCTGCTCTCTCAGACTCAGAATGATCAGAATGCAGTTTTGACATGTTTATACGGGAAAAAAACATGTTTTAACATTAGTGCAAGACACTGTTGACACTGTGACTTGCTACTCGTGGACCTGTGGAAGAAGCAACGAGTCTGGATGCGTGGATGCGATTGAGGTCAGCATCGCTTTACTTACGTCAGGCCTGGGGATCATTTAACAACTGGGTTTTAAAGGGGCCTTCAGCTTGTAGTTTGCAGGCCAGTTCATCCCTGGATGTCAGTTTTTGGTTCTTGTGTTTTTTGCATTTGACTTGGACCTGGCATGATAAGATGATATCATTGCGCTAAAGTCTTGCACAGCAATCAAAGAAGTGAACAACATCGACAATTCGCCAAATTCGAGGCAACCTCATGCTGACAGCCTTTCGCCTCGTTCTGGGCCATCCACTGGTGGCACCAATGTTGGGACCCAGATGTGGAAAGCTGCTGAAAAAGGCAGTTGCCCATAGTCCAGGTATCAAGTGTATTGCAGCATAAACATTAGATCAAAAATGATCAAAACATATAACATCACATTTTTCCATTGATAGCCGCCAGTCATTCAGGTCATGCTTACGTATGTCGTGGTTTGGGTTGGTGGTTTCGGGGTCTGGAAAATTAAGATGTTTTGATGTTTCTTGTAAAAAAATACACCAACAGGATCAAGCTGTCTTGCTTCATGTCTCTGCCCCTCAGGTCTCGTTGCATGGCCGCTACTTTCCACAAGCAAGACTTGGAGGCTTGTTGTGCCGATTTGGCCAGAAGCTCAACAGAAGCGCAGCTATTGCAATGTATTGCAATGCTGAAAGCGCAGTGGAATCTCAAGCCAATCTCAAGCCAAGGTGAAGGAACTACTAGTTCGGTCGCTCCTGCAAGATGGATAAGCAGACAGGAGATTACTTGTGTCTGTTCCTCAAGATCCGCCAGGATCCGCCAGGATCCGCAAGGATCCGCAAGGGTGCAAACTTTAGTGCAAACTCAACCACAATATTTGATGACCATACAATGACCATATAATGACCATATACAAACATGCTTGCAGACAGCAATTCCTGCCTCTGCGCTGCCTCTGTAGTGAGAGAACTGTAGAATGAAAGTTCACTCAATCATTAATCATTCCCCTTTTCCATTTGTTTCTTGTAGTTGGCCCTAGGACATTGTGAGTACCAACTAGACAAGACCCCAACAAGACAAGGAGACCATGGTGGTGAGTCACGCGGTCAAACACCTGAGGTTTCTCCGCAGGTGATTGGTGCCTTTGATGCCACAAGGACAAGACCGCCATGGTCAGCACCTGTGCAATCCCCGTTGTCGCACCGTGTTGCACCAGGACAGTGCCAGTGACTATCTCCATCAATGGGGGGTCTGATTGGACGCTGGGGAGCCCGGGCGCAGAAGTTGTTGTATGAGCTTGCATCGTGTCTTTTGATTGTTGAGGAAGGCTAGCATCCAGAAACAAGAATGTCACGGACTCTAAGATTCCAGAAAGCTTCGCTTTATTTTACATATTTTTACATCGTCATGAAACAATGCACAAGGCAGAGAGGATGTCCCCGAAACACCACGCATAAAGGCTTGAATAGGCTTGATATGTCCTGTTAGCTGTGAGCGATGGCACTGAGTGGTAGTGAGATATGCGGAGGGTATGGTGGCGTAGGTGGCGTATGGCCGTGTGACACATCTCAGTGACGGAAGACGTTGTCAGATGTTGTCAGTGCCTAGGCCAAGCACTGCCTACTTCAGCTTTGTGAAGGAGTTGCGAGGTGCTGAAACCTGGGACCCGGGGCAGAGAGTCAAGTTGCATGTTGCAGCATGTTGCACTTTCAGGCGGATGGGAACAAGGGATGGCACATGAATGAGAGATGAAATGAAACTAGGTGAACAATGGTGAATATTCAGCAAGTTAAGCCTAGTTCAGCCTAGTTCAGCCTAGTTCAGCATGCTGTTTTGCAAGTTGACGAGCCTTGCGATCGCTGGCAGGCACAGTCTATCCAAGCTTTGGCCCACGGCGAGGTGGAACACTGCTAGACGCAACTTGTCTGACTTGGTCATCCTTCTCCACTTGGTTGATTCACCATTGGCAATTTGTGGACTTGAAGATTGCCAATTGAGTGAGATGAGATGTGTGGAAGGTAGACATGGAAAGGAAACCATCCGACGAAAGTTTAAGACAGATTGAACACGTCTCCACTGCCACCAAGAAGTCAGTGCTGAGGTTCACGTACCGCGAGACACCGACACTGAGTTCAATGAGCTCTCACAGGTCTGAGTCTCAAAGATCTCAAGGATCTCGAAGGCAGCAATGTCAAAGCGGAGGACGAGATACAAAGAGCACTGCCTTGGTTAGACCGCTTCGATACAAGATCTGCACATATGTCAAAGTGCGATTTGAGCGATTCATGATTCATGCTTGCAGCTTCCAGGGTGGCAAGCTGTCTAGTTGTCCTTTTAAAACAATGAACTATGATACTTTCAAAAAGAAAGGGAAAGTGGAGGACAAGTGGCACAGGTGGCTGGGTGAAAGTCATTCCAAGTCCTTTTTGTTTGTCGAGGTGGTCAGCTGCTGCTTTGGCCAGCCTCCGGCAACCATCATGCCAGCAAGCAGGATCTCAGATACGCCAGGGTCTCAGTTCACGACAAATAATTCAATGTTAGAAATCCAATGCGCGCGCTTGCTCTACCACTATTGTGAAGATCTGGCAATTCAACTTGGTATGGTTGTTCAATGTAATTAGCTTGGAATCTTGTGCATTGAAAGTGTGTCATTTGGAAGTCCTCCGTTGGTCCAAAGTGACGAAAAGCTGACTGAGGCTCTACCAATGCAAGACACCACCCTGGCCGCAGAGTCCTGCTCAAGTGAGCATTGGAGTGGCACAGGCAGCCTGATGATTGACATGATTGTAGGTCCTTGGTTCCTCAGCAAGAACTCTCATGTTCCATGTTGATCCGATCCATGTTTATCCATTGTCCATCACAAAAAATCCATGGTATTCCATCGAAAAAACCGTGATGTCACGGGTGTGGCGGAGATTCGAGATGTGCCGAGCTTTTTTTGAGGCAGACGGCCGATGCCAAAGTCCTCCCTATGCCAAATTCGACTACGTGGAGTTGACACCTTAGCTATGCATCAGAAGCCTCGCCTTAGCTGCTTCGCTGTGGAAGTCCGCAGCATTCAGCGATGAGGCCATGGAAAATCACCAGGATCTATCCTTCTGAGTTTGATGAGAAGCAACAGGCAGAAGGCGACTTCTTCGCTTTTAATGTTTTTCTTAAGCGCAAAGAACGTGATGAGCACTTCAGATTCTTCAGATGTTGGACATTGGGAATTGAATGTCAAGAAGCTTAATGAGTCACGAAGAATTCACCATCTTTGCATGGCCGAATCGTTGATGTATATAATTATATGTGTACAGTATATATATATAGAGCATAGATAATAAAATATAAATATAGATATAATACTCTGGCTGGCATGGACACAGACTGACGTGTGAAACTTCCACTCCAGGTTTCAGGTTGTTCATCTCTGGAGAGAATTTCCTCCCAGCGAAAACAGCGACCTGTCGCTTGGGTGGCCGCATTTTGGCGCCCGCAGAGGCCGCATAAGGGCGGCCGCTGATGTCAGTTTGGTTGGCTGGTGACACCCAGTGAATTGACACCCAGTGCAAGGTGATCGGAACCAACTACACACTCTTGTGCATGGTACCTCCAACAGGCTTCCAACTCGCCAGCTGCTTAGACAGCCTTGTCACTTCTCACTTGGACGTGATTGTCGTATTTGTTGACAGAGCCGGACAGAGCTGCTGGAAAATCATATACTTTGTATATATGTATTTTATGTAATGAAATACAATGAATATATGTTTATATGAATATGTGTGACATAATAATGTTAAGAGCTTGCTAGAAGAGTATCACCTCAACGCACTTCATGAATGGCTCAGGAGGGTTCGCCAGGTGGCCGCACATACGAAGTCGAGGTTTGGAACTCGGCAAGGTCACATGATCACCGATGACAAGTGTTTTTCATCCTTTTTCTCTTTGGGTGCTGGTACTTCTGAGTGCTGTTGAATTGTAATTTGAAAGAGCCCAGAACTCACGAAAAACACATCGAGATTCACGCAGTAGACATGTACAGACAACACTTAACAGCCAAGTGCTTATACCGTAGCTCTGTAGCTGGCAGGTTGCCATCAATGGCCAGGACTTTGTTGGTGGCACTCCACCTGCCTGGATCATAGTCTTGGATAGTCTTGCTGTGTGTAGACTGTGCTTGTGCCATTCTATTTTGCTGTGGGCTATTTGCATATTCCGGTGTATACATTCACTTTCTTGGCACCCTGGCATTGCGCATTAAGCAAGCAGGGCATATTAAAGGGCTCTATTAATTTTTCTGTATCATGTTTCAACTTGTTGAAGGTGCTGGTGCGTTTCGTCACGGCCACTGCGATTGTCACCGCTGGGATCTCAGAGAATCCGCCGACCATGAAGGCACTGTAGATTGCTTAATTGCATTGCACAAGATGACTTGCCACTGTATGACTTGGGTTCAGAGTAGTTAATCATATTGACAAGACACAATGCAACACTATGGAGCGCTAATTTCTTGAAAGGATATATGAGGATATAGGAGGTTTGTGCAAATTGTGTTTCTCTTTTGTTTAATCCATTTTCTGATTTTTCTGTGCTTGTCATGATTTCCCTTCATAGACTCAATGCTCATCCACTATCTCCTGATGTTTGCCTTGCATTAGACTCAGGTGGAGCCTGCAAACGTCTCTGCTCTGGGGCACTTGCCATTGACTGTGGCAGGTCCTCATTGTCTGTGTGAGTGGGTTTGTAGGTATGTTTGCTGGTTTAGATTGAACTGAATTTGTGCAGAGCCAAGACTACCAACTGGAAATGCCAATGAAGAAAGCAATGGAAATATCCGGAAATCATGTTGATCTTCGCTGCAAATTGCAATGTTGGAGGATCAGGGCTGAGTGCAGATGTCCGCTATTGCATCTTTGGGGAAGATGAACGCGCCATTGAGGTGCCACGGGAAGGAGAGTCGCCTTTTTTCCGCCTTCACTCGAGTATAACAGGATACTGAATATCGACAGAAGTTTCCTATCCATTCTTCACCATTCTGCATACCGCAAACTAAAACAAGGGCTGCATAATCAAAGAAACTTTGCCCACTCTGACACACTTTGAAGTCTTTGCAGATGGTAAATTTGAAATTGAATGTCGTGACAACTCACTCCAAGTTTCAACCCTTTGAGCAAAAGCAGCAAATGTGGGTTAAAGCAGATAAGCAGTGTGCCGCGATGTGCCGCGAACAGAGTGAGTAAAAATATGTAAAATTGCATTGACCTTCGCAGCTGATAAGCTTTTTTGGGATGAGGGGCTGGACATTTGTGACCTTGATGTTCATTAATCCGGGATGACCAGCTGCGGTGCGTGTTGTAGTTGTTTCATGTTGTTTCGTTGTAGTGGTGGTATGTCGTCGTTGTTGCGCTTTTCCATGTTGTTGCCGCCCACGCCGCTTCCGTCCCTTAGTTTAGATGGGAGTACTCCAAATGAGAAGGTTTGTGCAGTGACGTTTGATGAGCGTCTACATTAGAGTCTACATGCCTGCTAAAGGATGCATGTACTAAATCATTTAAAAAATGACAGCACCAATTCAGCACCATGATAGTATGTGTTTTTGGCACTACTGGGTCGAGCACATCATTTCACTCCAGGTGCCTTTAGCATCACTGGCGAGTGAGCGAGAAGTGGTCTGCAAGGGCCTCAAAGGTTGCAGGTTTCCTCCAGGAAGGGGATGCCCAAGGGCGGATCACAACGCAACTTGGTTTGACGCTTGATGCCTCTCCCAGGCATCACTCCACATTGGGAGATTCGTCCTTATGGTGCTGTCTCCGAGCGTCATCCTTTGCATGGTTGAATCATGCATAATCATGCCACGTTGCTTCTACCAGTAACATGCGATCTCAGAAGTGTGGTTCGCAAAGTCGGTAGATCCAGTAGATCCAGCAATTCTTCCATGCCTTCTAAAGGGAATAAGCATCCAGCTGATTTTCCATATAGCTGGATGGTTCTTTATGCATTTTTTTTCGTTCACTGTATGTTTTGGTCATTCTTTGACAGGTGTCATGGTTCGACTTGCCTCTGATGGTGTGGGCACGGCAAGGAGTCCTTCCGCTTACGTCACCTTTGCAACCTGGCTGATATTGAAATAAACAGGCTTTCAGAACCGGATTCAACCGCGAGTGCCTTCGTTCAGACTGCCCCGAGGTTGCTTATCCATATGCCCACACTGTAGATCCAAATGAAGGGCCAGTCGAAGGTGCCTGGGCTGGAGTTTGTAGTGCTAGTCTAATTTCTAGAATAGTCCAAATTCATTCCTGTTCCACAGGCTTCAATTATTCGACACCTGGTCTTCATATTTACATGCCAAGATGTCCAGAGGATTCGAGAGGGGCAAGAGGAATGCATATCGACTCCTGCAGGCGGCACAATTGTTCGAGCGTATGGCCATCACTTCAAGCCCTATGGCGAGGAGAGGGGCCTCAGAATCAGACACGATGTCTTCCAAGACAATACGCAGCAACATACAGCAACCAATGACCAAGCAGGTGAAGTTTGGGATATCTGAAGTAGAAGATGAAAACGAAGCGTTCAATCTAGCATTACTTGGCTATACATATGCTGCATATGCATTATTGTGCATTATTTATCTTGCTCAGAGCGGTGCGTGTGTGACTTATGGCCTTCATGCTGGCTGTTTGCTTCAGTGTGTTGGCTCTGCAAAGTTGCAGGACGTCCTCATGCAGTGTGTCTTTGGCTCTCGAAAGAGCAAGGCCTGGCGGCCTGTTCTCCAAGTGTTCAAAGATCATCAAAGATCTCTGTTTTGACTCGATGCTTCCACAAGGGCTCTGTGTTTCCAGGCACTGATCATCTCTGACACCGAGCTGCAGTGTCTACATCTCATTTGTGAATCATCAGGATTTAACAGCTGCAGCTTCACAAAATCAACCCGTTGACCCCGTTGACTCTGTTTAGAGAATTGAAACTCGAGTTGTGAGGCACATCCCCACCAGTAGACGGAGCCTACTCACCTACAGGCTTTTTGGCCAATTTCGATTTGGAGGCCCAGCAAGTCTTGTTTTGCTTTGCTTCAATATGCTTCAATAATACGATACAACAAGCTTCAATAATAAGCATTGACAGCATATTGACAGCTAAATCAGGGTAATCATGGGCCTACACCTCAAGCATCCTCAAGCACTGTCCGCTCTTTTCAGCACGCATATCCGGGTGCAGACCATTCCAGCTCAACCCATGGTGAAGGGCACCACTCCGGTTCCTATCTCAGACACACGCAGACACGCAGACCTACTGGTCCAGCATGGTCCAGCTGTCTATCTCAGCATTCTCAGCGCACTGAGGCTTCCAATCAACAGCCCATGAAGCAGCTCACTTTCTACTATCGGCGTTTTGTTCCGAGCATTTCCTGGGTGTGAATCTGAGTTTCTCAGCATTCGAAGAGGTACATCTGTTAATCTATATCTACTATAAAATGTATTATGTTATAGAACATGAAAATTTTATGATAATACAGAATAATACACAATACGTCATAGCTACACATACCTGGTCCAGTCTGGTTCCCTGCAGAGAATGTGCCGCCAGTACCTTTAATTGCCCTGCAGGTTGAGCCTTTGAGTGGTCCTGAGTTTGGAAACACCTTGGTTTCTCTACGCTCTGCCGGGCGGCCCAGATGGGTCCAAGCTTCCAGTGGACAGCATGCACGAGACATCTGAGATATCTACAGCCTTGTGTCAAACTTTTTGAGGTATGACGGTATGACTGCCATAGCTATTGCTATTGTTTGCGAACAAGTTGTAAAGTTCACGAACATGTCAGACACCTCTCCCAGGATGTCCCAATCTTGAACTCACAGAACATCAAGTGCTTGTTCGGGAACATCCCAGTGCCGCTCTTCTTGGTCACTCAAAACGAGGTGCCCAAGTTGCCTTGCCAGTCTCAGTGAAGGATCAAATGGTGAACTTCTCTCTAAGTGGTCATGAATTTTCATTCGCGTGCACAAGACTTGAAATTGCACTCTCACGCTTTAACAGGCCACTTGCACTTCTCCCGCCTTTAATCAGCCTGGCATGGTGGAGCACTGCCGTCCTGTTGTTTGATATGATTGGAGAATATTGGAGAAAAATAAAGCTTTTTGAAACATTTGATCGGGTTTGAGATGAAGAGCAGCATCGTGCTGAAAGGGTTACCAGTCGTGGCAGGTTCACACTATCTGCGGATGGGCAGAACCGGGTGCAGATCGGACCCAATGGCGAAGCTGTGCGTCATGGCCTTGGAGTATCGAAGCTGCTTGCGCTCCAAGTCGAAAGCTGCTGATGCTGATTGCTATGTTTTTTGAACGTGTTAAATACATTCAAATACACCAAAAAGAAGTAGGAAATGCATCAGGCAGCAGCAAGAGAGTAAGTAAGAGTAACAAGAATTCGAATCACCTATAGGCATAGAATGGCACAGAGGAGTGTTCGTTTTGCCCTCTGCTTCAGATGAGATATGAGTTGATGAGGTCACGATATGACTCTGATGGTGGCAATCATTCATGCTCATGCTGCTGCTGAATGACGATGACGATGATGGTGACAATTATGATAGCGGTGGCGATGACGATGACTGATGATGATGACGACTGATAATTACTTGTGATTTTTATAGGTTGAACGTATGTTTGTGAATATGTCTGATGTCAGCCAGGAGTCAATTTTGAATTCTGCATCAGGTTTTACCTACTACATCACGCCAACTGTCGCCAAGGCTCCGCATTTTGAATATGCTTAGAGCGCTTAGAGATCTTAGAGTAGCCAGCGAGTGGATGTTGATTTGGCAGTTCTTCCCGGCCACCCGGTGAACCTGCTGCAAATGCAAGCGTTGTTCATTGCGGCTCGTTGTGGCTCAAGGGTTTTGCTTTCTTGCTAGGGAAAGACTATTGAAGGCTTGGATCGCGCAGAACATTGTTTATTATGTCGTCGAAGAAAGGCTTTGCGCTGATAGGCCTTGACCGGGATAAGCTCTTGAGAAATCCAGATGCAGTAGTCCGTAATCAGCGGAAGCAGATCCGAAAGAAGCTCTTAGAAGCTTCCCTGAAATCCGCCTGCACCGAAGGTGCCGAGGCGTGGTAGTTTAGCACAGGATAGCGCAATTTCGCAAGAAGAGCTTCGGCAAAAGCAGGTGGAGGAAGAGGAAAAGCGGCGCCAAGAGGAAAGAGAGAACCGTGAAGCGGAGGCTCGCCAAAAAGAGGAGGAGATGAGGGAAAACCAGCGCCAGCAGCAAGAAGAAAGAAGGAAGCGTTAAGAGAAAGGCAGGCGCCAAGAAGAGGAGAAGCAAAAAAAAAGAGAGCGAAAGAGGCAGAAAGAGGAGAGCAGATTGAAGACGCGGCAGGACAGAAGGCAAAGGCAGAAAGAGAAGCTCGTCAAGCCGAAAGGCAGAGCTAGATAAACAACAAAACAAGCAAGCGGTTGAGGGGCGGCGAGAAGTCTCAGCAAAGGCCAGGCTCAAAGCCGAGATGGAGGAGCAATGTGCTCAGCAGAAGCAGCAGGATTGGGAACGTAACCTGACAGACAACGCCCAAAGCTGTCTCCTTAGGTGGAAGTTTGATTTGAAGGACCGTGAAGGTGAGAAAGTAGCAGAGTTCTTCTTAGAAGGGCAGTGCGCGAAGCTCAAGACAAGAATGTGGCACAAGGAAAGGCCCTCCAAGCGGTGGCCCCCAGGATGTAGCCAGCCTGATCTACCAATGAGAAGGCTTCGGCTACTGGCTGTTGGCGATTGCTGGTCCAGGCGACTTGCCGCAGGCTATCGCGAACCAGGCTGAAGAGGATCATCAAAGAGAACTTCGACATCAGAGCGAGGAGGGCTCAAGGCGAGTCGCCGGCTGCAGTTTTTTTTCATTCTTTCTGTCGATGAGCGGCATACGTAGAGGCAAAGCAACACTTCAGAGATCCCAAGGAGGATGGTAGAGTATGACAGGTGGAGAGCGATCTGAAGCGATTTTTTGAGAACAACTCAGGTCCAAAAGTGCCATCCAGACACAGTAGTTTTTCCAAAGCAGGAGCCCTTGCAGTTAATGCGCGCCTTCACGCCATGATGTAAAATCTATAGACCACCAACTCCCCAGCCATTCAAAAGAACTGAATGGTTTGTTAATAGCCAGTTGTCTTCAAACCATGACTTTTGGGAAGTTGGTGGAGTGAGAAGGTGCTGAGATCACCCTGATCTCGTCTTGCCAGATATGCAGACCAGCCTGGGACACCGGGCAAGCCGAGCAGACAAAAAGAATCTAGTTCATGCGGTGGCCCTTAAAAATGACGATATGGCACTAGTTTAGTGCATGCAACCGCGTAATGACAATCATTCGGTTTGCATCGCCAGGTGACGCCGTCATTTGGATCATCCAGAGGTGGGACGATAGCCTCTTGTCTTAGAGTAATGGCTCGGTCGTTGATGTTGCTGCAAAAAAATGTGAATGGCAATACATTGTTCATTGTTCATGTCAATGTAGACCGGTTTGCCTTTGAGACAACACACAAGATGCGTGCTTGAAATTTGATTGGCAACCTGGGGCCGAAGTACCGTCACATAGCAAGTACATGCTGCTTTGATTTACGTGAAAAGCGGTGAAAATTGACCGTAGAGGTTCCACTGAATCAGCTCTGAGGTTCAACTGGAAGGCGCGCACTTCATCAACGATGGCCGGCTCACCTGCAAATTTGGGGATCTTACTGTGCCTGTTTGGGAGCTCAGAGTGTCTCATAAAGGTGCGCTGTGTCATTAATTCATTTGATTACAGAGTTCAGGCCTAGTCCTCCATAATCCTCCGCGCAGACTAGTCTACACTTGAAGATGTTTTTTAAATCTATATTAATATAATCCTGTCCACAACGGGCCACATTTAGTCCAAACCACCAACTCCAGCTTGAATTGGGGAGAAAACCCATATGTTTTCTGTTTTTTTTTTCTTTGGTGTGGCTGGGCCCCTTGTGTCATCCACTCAGATTGGTTTGTGGCACGATCTTACAACATTGCCAACGAGCTTGGTATGGGAAGATTAAATGCTATTTCACTGCTGGCAGAGCGTATGTAGCCTGTTATGCTAAAAACACCAAGGGGATAGTGAAATATAACAATAGTAATCAATAGTATACATGAAAGTTTCAATCATTTGGGGTCCCCAAACCACCAAATTCTTGAGGCGTTCCGCTTCATCTCCAGCGCATTGGTGCTCTGCAGGTCCAGAGATGAACGACTGAAGTGTTGTTTTTATTGTTCTGGGCCATTTGGGAGATTTCGGTGACAAATAGGGACAGAGACAAAGGCTGAGTCTGAGTGGCCTTTGAATTCCTATGAAAGATATGTGAAGATTGCAATTTTGACTACACAAATCTTGGAGACAACGTGATGACTTTTCTGTGCCTGGAGAGGACGCCAATTGCTCCACCTGGAGAGGTGCAGGCGCACAGTCAAAGAACTCAGTCACAACTTTGCCATGGAAGCCATAGCAATGTTTTACTCGAAACTCGTTCACTTATTTCAACTTAATTATTTCATATGAGTTCATTAGTTTTCAAGGATGTATCACTTCTGGCAGCGTAGTCGTGAGGTCAGTGTTGCATGCCAGTAAAGATAGGTAAAACAGAGTACCTTTTCCATGCCGGTTGCAGAAATGATGTTACTGTTGCTTATTTGTGGATCTTTTGCCAGGTGTACCTGTCAAACAATGGCCAGAACTTTACTGTCGCATCCCAAGAGCTGAGTTGAACGTACGCCACCATGCAGCGCTTGGAAAACGGAAGCAGGTTTGTACCTTGACCGTCCTTGACTTGGAAGTCACTTGTCAGTAGAGTCAAAGCTGAGGGTGGCAGTGACGCCAAGTTCCAATTCTTGGGTCCAGAACTCATTGCAAAGAGCATTAAAAAGAGACACGTAATGATCAAATACCAAACATGTAGAAGTCTGTGAGCCGGCAGAAGCCTCAAAGATTTGAGGCTTCACCTACTTCCACTTGCATCCATACCTGGGCCCAATCAGTGGGAACACCACTGTCTGGGCCTTAGACAAACAAGTGAAACTTTGTGAAACTTTGTGAAGCTGTGACACTAGAAACTCAAGCTTAGATAGCTTTAGAACATTGGCCAAAACAGCTTGAATCAGATAGACGAAGCAGCGTAAAATCTCCTCAGTATGTTGCTTTGGGGGACCAAAGTTTTAATCAACATGTTCGCAAACCATACTCCCCGCACCACACAATGTGACCCCATTGTATCACAGTGTTATTCTTGAACATCTACGCAACGCACTGTTGCACTTTTGCATCTCGGAAGGTCCTGGTCGAGTCTGCGACTGTGCCAGTTGGTGCCTCTTCATCGTTTGGCCCTGAAGACGATGGAATTGGATGAATTGGGATGGAATCAGCTGGACTTTGGGATAGAACAGCGTTGCTTAGCGTCTCGCAATCCCAGGATTCGATGCAGATTTGGCACCCTGACGGTGCCAGGCGTTCGCGTCACAGCCACAGAAGGGACCGCAGAATCAGAAGACATCAGAATCAGAAGACTATGACATTATGACTGTGAAGACTTTGCAATCGCAATATATCGCAATTGTTTCAGGAAGCACCTGAAAATCTGAAAATAAAGGGTAAGTAAATCATTCTAGGTTTCCCTAAAGCTTCGCCAACCTTTCTGGCAAGGTCAGCAAATTCAATGCTGTTATTTTTAGATAGTTGGGCTCTTCTCCATAAGAGAGATGGGGCATGATTGCTGTTGTGATGTTGGCCGATAGGTCACCTAGGCCATTTGGCGGACAGACGCTGTCAGTTGCTGCTTGAGCTTAGTGCCGACAGCAGCTTGATTTCAGGTCAATGACACATTCTTGCAGTGTGTGTCTCCTGCAGCGGGAAGCTGAGAAAGCTGAGAGAGCCAACATTCAATGGCCATTTCAGGAACCTAAATTGGAGGTACCTACCATATATAAGGCCTAAATTTCAGGGAATATCCCCACAAAATATGCCCAAAAATATGGTACTAACGTACCTCCATCTGTTGGATCCTGGATTTCCCATTGAAACATGTTGCAACGCGGGCAACGCGGAGAACATCGAAAGTGCTAAGGTTGTGACACAGGGCGAGGCTGGGGAGAAGGGATAGGACTTGGAGGATGATTTGGGGAAGCTTTTTCTGACAGCGGTGCAGGAGTTCTTTGTCCAAAAGACAGCAAAAGTGCTTACAAGGTGAATGATGGTGAATGTTTGTAGAATAACGAAGCAATTCTAGAATGCCGATCGCAGCAATCGATCGCTGTGGCTGTATTTGGAAGGAACAAGCCCGTGCCACCAAGCAATTGTGAGGGAATTCGGAAGATGCGATTCCTGAGCAAATTCAGTCATTCAAGTCTTTCGCTCGTTGAGAGAATGGGTCAATATCAACCTGGAGGACCTAGAGTTTCTGTTGCTTCACGCAGGTCAAGTTCGAAGTGGCGCTCAATCAGCAGGATTTCGTGGAGGAGCGCAAAGCTTTCGGACATTGACCCTGTTCTCAAGACTCATGGGCAAAGCAAGGGCATATTTAAACTGTTCCATACCTTTCGGAAGCAGGCAACTCAGAAGTTCCTCTACTACGAGAACCCGAGGTGCAAAGCCGTGTGCAGTAGTCGCCTTTTTGCAAGAACATGCAAGAACTGCATGTTCTTTTGCGTCAATCCACAAAAGAGCACTGGCAAAGTCAACTTATGAAAAGACGGCACAAACAAGCCGCAAGCAACAATTGAGTGTCCTGGTGCAGTTTGGTTTCACACTTGCCACTTGCTTGTGGGAAATGACATGGACAATATGTTGAGTACAATCTCGATATATCTCGATTCAGGATCACTGCAGTTGATCCACCCTTGGGTCCAAATCACAAGGGCCTCAGCATTCGACTCTTGGGTCGGATGCTTAAGAGCAGTTTCGCCACGGGCTTCACAAATCGATCTTCACAATGACACGTTTGAAAATGCTCAAAGCATCTCAAAGCGTCTCAACATGTCTCAACGCTACTAGAGCTTCATGTCGAATGACTGCCTCTACCATTTTCGAAGGTATTTCGTCAGCTTTGTTGACTCACTCAAAAAATCTCAAAAAAGCAAACGTCCACATGTCATATTGTGGTGCTTGTCAGCGCCGAGGTCAAGGGTTCATCAGCACGAACTATCTGAAAGTTCGATTTGGCGGCGTCCAGCTCTTAGATCTCTAAGACATTCTAAGACATTCTAAGACCTTGAATCCTGGCCAGCAACTGTTCGTTTCTCATGTTTCCCGTTGCCGAAAGAGGTGTCATGCCAGGCCATGTCAGGCGGTTTTTTTTGGGCGTTTTGTAAAGAATCGCATGCCACAGAATAGAATAACATTGAATAATTATAGATAGGCTGTTTGTATATGTTTGTATTGTATTGGTGAGGGTTTCACTTTAGTTGAAAACAGGCGAACTCGTTGTGTCATACTGTCGCAATGTCGTTGTTGCTACGCCATGCTGTGCCTCAGATCTCCATCGAGCCGGAAGGGCTGCACTTGGTGCAGACGGCACTCGCGTCCACGGACACAGAGGCAATTTCCAATGAGTGCAGGATGAGTTTTGCTATCACTGTGAATATACTTCTCTATATTATTTAGTATTATAAGTTATTATATATATATAGGTTATATTATATAAGTATATTCATATAGGTTATATTCATATCATATACTTTGCAAGATCCTACTGTTGGTTATATTATATATAGGTTATATAAGTCATACAACAAATTACTTGAAGTATCTTGAAGTAGGATCTTGCAAAGCCCACAACAACGTTCCTAGTGCCTCAGATCCTTGCAGGTTGTAGTGGAGCTGCCGAAGATCACCTTGAGTGAAGACATGACTCGAGTGCCCGGATGTCCCAGGGGAGGCTTGATTAGTTTAATATATTTTAATCATTTTAGACATGTGATTTATGTGATATTAATTGATATGAAAGATCATATTAAATAGATTTAAATAGTATCACTAATGTGATATTTTTGAATATGAAATTCAAATAAATTCAAGGCTTCAATCCGCTGACCCAGCTGGCAATTATGAAAACCAGGAAAAAGAGTGAGGCTAGTGGCGTGGCTTTCGCGGCATCATCGGTCCAGTCGACTTCTCTTGAAAGTCAGCTGCAGGCCTTTGTACGTTTCCAACAACGGGCAAAACTTTGCTCCTGAAGGCCGCATAAAAAGCCGTCAAATGCCGTGAATCTGTCGTTTGTTCGAAATGAGTCGTTTTGAGTCCCTTGTTCGAGGGAAACACAAGGGAAAGTCATATGGAGTCATAGACAAGTGAACTTCGACAGGGTGCTAAGAGATGCTAAGAGCCATAGTGTTGAGCATTGTTGAGCACAACAGAACTGTGGATGTTGAACAACACTCTTTCGGTACTGAGTGTTTATGAGTGTTTATGAGCCCTCTTCTTCAATCGCCCTGTTTCTTGGCAAATTCCACTGTTGCACTGTTGGAAGTCTCGTCATGTTTGTCATGTTTGTCGTCCCACATTTGGCAGGAGTCTTAGCTTGGGATCAAGATGAAGATGTCGGACTCTCCGCGGATCCGGTGATTTGCATTTTTGATTGCATGCACCAAATCATGACAATTCGACTGATTCTACTGATTCGACAGGTATTAAAAAATATTAAAAAAATGTACCAAAAAACCGGGAAAATGTAGAAGAGATGGAGGAACCGGGAAAAGGATGGAAAAGGAATGCAGCCAGCAATGGCCAACAAATAGAAGACTTGTAGTGACTGCAAAGCCTGAAGACAGATCTTGGATCTGGCACTTGCCGCACCACTTGCTTTGACTGACACGTCAGCATACCAATCTAGTTTCTAGATATTTCTAGATGTTTCTAGCTTCTCCAGTCCCCAAGGCTTACGATGTGGCGAAGAGTATGGCATACTTCACCTTCCATGAGCAGATTTTGTTGCTCGATGGAATTGGCTTCGCACTTTCTAATCTTGTTCGGAACTGCGTGGATTCCACTGTCATAGTAGATCTGTGTGCGTACAAAAATAAGATGCTTCGATTTTTCAGGGTCTGGAGTGGGAGGGGTGTGACAGCATGTGCCGCAAAAAGCAGAGACTCATTCATCTCCGCATGATCAGGATTTATCATGCCAGGACATGCCAGGACCAGGTGCTTAGTGCCAAGAATGCCGTTGGACATGCTTAGTGCCAAGAGTTTCCAAGGCTGCGAAACGTGGATCCGGAGGCATGTTGCATAGCTCCACCGTGGGCATCTCCCGTATGTTTCACTGAGGAACGGAGTAGCAACGCCAGATTCCACTTTCCAAAATACAAAGCGCAGGTTGGTATCACCTATGGTGGAGGCTTCGTTTCTGCAGGGCCCCAAGATGTTGTGGGATCATTGGTGCATATTGGTGCTCCATAGACGTTGAAGACTAACCAAACTTCTATAATTAATTTCGATAGCCAATGTGTTTCAATGCCGCATAGTTTGAGGTCTTCGGCTATGGCTTCCTAAACAGCACCGGTTTGAACTGCTCCTTCGAATGGATTGGTCGGATCCTCAAGCATACTCAACTGTGAATTGGTACCCCTGGTACATTAGATGTTGACATGCTTTTATGGATTTTTGATATGTTGCAATTGGCACGTTTTTTCAGCTCTGGGTGCAAGACATTGTCACTTTTTACCTTGACTTGTTTCAGGCTCTCCTTCGGTGGTGTTCATTTCATCCTCGCAGATCATGTGCGAGGCGACTTGCAATCCGTTCCCTTGTCGATTATGCACCGGATTTGCCTGCAGAAGCTTTCTTGCAGTGCAATGATTGCAATGTCAATGTGTGCAAGGTGCCCAATATGCTTGCAGCCCGATCCAGCAAGGCATCTATTGTCTTTGCAACATCTTTAGGGGGGAATATCATGTGCTCTGTGTCTCTGGCGAGATACGCCAACACTTGCTGAATATTTGCCTTGGTATGAGATCTGATATGACATGATATGACCTAACACCTGACTGTACTTCGAGGCTTTGGGTCATGCCACCTTGCGAGTGACACTGAACAACAGGGACTGGTGCGCAATCCCAGGGAAAAAGCTTTGGCCACTTCCAGTGTACTAGATTCTTACATGTCAATTGCAATACTCTGCAATACCTCATTGTTCAAATCCAGTTTGTGCTCGAAGCCAATGATTGAGCGGACAAGCAGCAGCGCAGCACAGTCGGCTGTCAGGTCGCGCACAACCTTGCCCTTCCGCTTTCTGGGCCAGAAACTTACCGCGGACCACAGCTAAACGTCGGACCACAAGCTTGTCATTGAACAGGATGTGATACCAAGAGCCTTGGGAGTTTGCTCCATTAAAAAGCCTGCAGAGATGCTCCCCCTGAAAGCACATGATAGCCAATGATGACAAGATCTAACGAGAGTTGGTTGGAAATCTAAGACTCCCTAGATCTCCCTAGCATTTTGGCCCATGAAAATGAAAATCCCTGAACATCCTAAATCTCTCGCAGATGTTTTTTCTCTTTTCACAGTGAATTCAGCACAATTTCCTCTAGGCGAATGCCCCATCGGTCACTATTGCCAGCACAAGAACTTCAATGAGCTGCGCTCCCAGTGACAGTGAAGGGTTGGCTCCTGATCTTGTGTCCACTGCGTCCAACAGTGCAAGCAGGTTGCGTCCGTTTATCCAGGATGGGTTACATAAACGTATTTGAAAGTCGTTGATATCCATCCCGTCCATCTCAGTTTCACCTTCCGCATCATGCCCTGCCCTGCCGGGCATTTCTGCGAGAGTGCTGGAATGAGCTAAGACCTCAGTTTGCATGGTGCAAACAACAGGTCAAGTCTGAGATTTGCCACTTCACCCTGAGATACCCTGAGGATTGTTCTGAAATTGTTGTCAATTTTGTCAGAGGGTTTCAGCGAATGAAACTTTGCTGAATCTTGGCTGTGCAAGCTTGACGGTTGACCGCTGGCAGGTACTCCGACACCATGTCCCCCGGGAAGTTACATGGCTTTCACAAGACAGGTCGGGTTATAGCTGAACCGGTGTTTGACAAAGCTATGTTCTTTCGAGAGGGATTCTGGAAAAAATACTTATTTTTTCATTATCTTCCATTATTTCCCTAATTTCCCATGGTTTCTCATATTTTTAAAGGGGGTTTTCTCGCCCCATTTGGCAAATTTGGGTCTCACCCCCCAAACTTTTCAGTAGTAGAAGACAAACGGTTGTTCACGTCTCTTATCTTGTCGAACGCCTAAGTTCCGGCTGGAATACAGATAGACAATGATCAAAGCTTTGGTATGGTGCTGGGAAACGACATGTCCAGTGTGGACGGCTCTGAGTATGCTTTGATTCCTGTGCGACAGGTTCAATGCCAGTTGTGCCCGAAAGGTTTCTGGTGTCCAGTCCCCAGAATCATCTGTTCAGGGGATTTTTTCCAACTGATGTGCTAGAACTTCCAGGTGGTAGTATAAGCACGTTTCAATTCTCCACCAGAAAAGAAGAAGAGCAAACATAATAACACACACACACACACGTTGGTCACACTGGCAACACCCAGGTCTCAACTTTTGGCAAGATTGAGTGATAGGGTGTGTCGTTGTGGTTGAAGAGGATTGAAGTATTTTGATCTGTTGAAGCAACGTGGATAGCCTAGAAAATGACTCAAGGTCCTCGTGCACGAATGATTGAGCCAATTGCTTGTCGTCGTGGTTGGGTTTGTGATGAACCAGGCGCTGCGGGCAGGTTCAAGAAGATGCATCTGATCGATTTTGACTAAGACAGTCTACAACTGTGGGCTCAAGCATGGTCAAAAGATGTCAAAAGCATAACTACTCAAGTTTGTCGCAATTGTTCAAGAGCAAATACCACCAGCAAGTTGGGAAGACAGAGGTTTGGATGGTCTATCTTGTTCTGAAATACGTGTGTGTACTTCTAATCCTGGTGTTGGTTTTTAAACCTACCCCTAGAGACATTCAGTCCATCACGGGCTGTCAAAGGTGACAAGGACTCTCTATGCAAACCAAGAATCACAGGAATGTATTCACCTGATCTGCCCTGCATGACATATAAACGATTATAAACCAGGGAATGCGATCAGAGTGTGATTGTTCCAGGCTTGGTGGTGCCGTACAAGCGATGTCCACGTGGCTACTACTGCTTGGGCCCAATGTCCATGGCAAACCATGGAAAGCATGGAAAGCCTTGATTGGGGATTCGGTCAGCATTTTTTTTTGGTACTACTATTGACTATTGATATTGTTTTCGTTTGATTGGCGTTTGAACACCAAAATTACATCCACATAGAATGCATCTTCATTGATTTGGCTATCCAAGGCGAAGAGGGTGTGGCCACGCGCGAACCGCGCAGCACGTTTGGGCGCTTACTGCTTGACAAGCAGCAAGACGATTGACACCTCGTGAGGTGACGTAGACGACCAAGATGTTTGCTCCGGCTCCTAGTGAGGCTTTATTTGGACAAGAGAAAGCCCAAGCCCTGCTCGGAGCCAAGAGTCAAAAGCAGTGCAACCAAGATCTGAATTTCTTCCACTGGCAAAACCTGTTGTGGTCACCCAACGCTTCTGTCCTGAAGAAACTGAGCAACTCATCGGTCAGCTGTTGTCATTTTTTGTCTACATATTGACTTGTATGCACCTGCCCTTTGGATACCTTTGATTGATTTGTTATGCTCCAGTGACCGGATTTGTGACATCAGTCTTTTGAAACTAGTTTCTTCTGCAGATGTCTGCAGAGTCTTGACAAAGGTCCACCTGGTTTGCACTGCTTCGAGGGGGCACAAGCACAAAATTCCAAGCCGGCCAACTTCTCGACGCCACAGCCCTGCTATCAAGGCCGAAAGAGCCAGGGGAGCGCTGTCATCAGGATGCCTTTGTTATCTTTGTGTAGATTTTCCTTCCAGGGTTTGCAATGTGTAAATCTCCAGGAGAAGATAGGAGGAGCCAATTTTCAATTTGGAATCTTCATGAAACGTCAAACGTCGCCGATCTCTATCTCTCGGAGCTTTGTACATCTCTGCACAGGCTTTTTCTGCCCACCGGGCAGCAGTACAGCATATGGTGCCGGGGCATGTCCACTTGGGCCTGATCCACAGATACCGACAGATGTCCACAGGTATAGTGGAGGATTTTTCAGCACCTGGACGTTGTTCTGCTTTGGATTTAGCGGATGTCGGTCGTTGCTTTGGTCAAATCGGAGTTTGTGCTTTGGATATCAATGGCTATTTGCCGCGAGTTGTGAGAAGAGCCATTAGTTAAAGCATGTGAAAGTGCTTTCCCGGGCACTGATTTCCAGGATTCATCAGGATTCATTGAATCCTCCCAAGGCGATATTGCCCAACTCCAAGACACACTGGCGTGTCTCTCAGGTATTTCTTTGAACTGACTGAACAGTTCTTGAAGTGGATGGTACAGAAAATGTTCATTGCCGACCTGAGACTGTCTCACAGTGTCATTCTGAAAGAATTTATGCTGACGTGTTTTTATGTTTTTGAATCTTGGACCAAAAAGAGCTTTACGTCCATTGGGCCAGAAGTTGTCACATTGTTTTGCAAACAACGTTTGCTGCAGCGCCGCTGTGTCTCAAGTTTGAGTCGCAGAACAGATCTGCAAATATCCGATAATCTGCCAATATCTTTCGTGCCTGCGATAGGTTGTCAATATGAATTTCGTTCTCACGTTTGTGGCCTTCACGTTGGTGTGCCATTCGACGGCACTCCGAACATCACCGGCTGCGGAGGCCAATGAAACAGGGACCACCAGGTGCCAATCCTGCAACCTGGTGGACTTGGACAAGACATTTAGCTTGACCTGGACCGTCTTCCCGCCATATCCTGTTCCAGGCAAGAATTTGGGAACGTGAAGTAACGATGGTTGACCTGAATTAACATGGTTTAAAGTTTAACATGGTTTCATTGACATGGTTCAACACCTTTTATATAACACAATGCAGTATTTATGTAGATTTAAATGATTTCTCACACAAAGAATATTCAAGACATAGAGACTCAGAGAGTCGTGCTTTGAAGCACTGATTCATTCCGTGGTTGGCAATTATGAACTGTATTAACTATACAGTACATATACAATTATATAATATAATTGATTATATATGATATATTGCATATGATGAATGCTGGAACTGCACAAGGCTGCTTGAAAGGACTTGGAAGGTCAGGTTGGCCTTCTCATACATTTTGCCTTGATTTGCAGATGTTGCATGTTTTTGCAGGATACAGCCTGTCCTTCTTTTGCTCTCCACACATGTTGGACTGGGATGAAGACCCTGAAGTCGACACCGTTTTGGAAGAAGGCTGTGGCCTTGATGGCAAAGATGCAGATGAGTTGGGTGGCGACAACGAGAAATGCAATCAGCAGGCTGCTGCAACGAAGAAAAGAGCTGCTTGACAGCACTCAGGCGATTCACTCGTGCGACTCACGCAATTAATTATTTACTTGGTTTATCTTGGTTTAACTTATTCCCCACCTGCCAGGTGAGGGTTGTTAGATTTTATGTCAGTTGCCTCCTCCTGCCTCGTCCTCCTCCTCCTCCTCCTCTCCTCCTCTCCTCCTCGTCCTCCTCGTCCTCCTTGTCATCCTTGTCGTCCTTGTCGTCCTCGTCGTCCTCGTCGTCCTCGTCGTCCTCGTCGTCCTCTTCGTCCTCGTCCAACTGCGACCTGCGATCCACAGTGTTCTCTGCGGACCTCAACCACGACCATCCACGCCCAGTGTTCCACCTCAACCACGACCATCCACGCCCAGTGTTCCCTGCCGGACCTCAACCACGACCCACGCCCAGTGTTCCCTGCCGGACCTCAACCACGACCATCCACGCCCAGTGTTCCCTGCCGGACCTCAACCACGACCATCCACGCCCAGTGTTCCCTGCCGGACCTCAACCGCGAGTATCCACGCCAAGTGTTCCCTGCCGGACCTCATGTAGGAAGATATGGGACAAAGAATGTGCAGAAGAAAGTTAGAAAGAATGTCAGAAAGAATGTCAGAAGATATGCCAGAAGATATGCCAGATAGAATGCCAGATAATATGCCAGAAGATATGCCAGATAGAATGCCAGATAGATGCCAGAAGATTTGCCAGATAGAATGCCAGAAAATATGCCAGAAGATATGCCAGATAGATATGTCAGAAGATATGCCAGAAGATATGCCAGAAGATATGCCAGAAGATATGTCAGAATATATGCCAGAAGATATGTCAGATAGAATGCCAGAAGATATGTCAGAATATATGCCAGAAGATATGCCAGATAGAATGCCAGAAGATATGTCAGATAGAGTGCCAGAAGATATGCCAGATAGAATGCCAGAAGATTTGCCAGATAGAATGCCAGAAGATATGCCAGAAGATATGCCAGATCATATGCCAGAAGATATGCCAGATAGAATGCAAAATAGAATGTCAGAAGATATGTCAGATAGAATGCCAGAAGATTTGCCAGTAAGAAAATGTATAAATGTCATGGTGGGGATCACACGAAGTAAAGTAATTTCGCATTTTTCTTTCAGCATCTGTCAGCTAGCGAATGAATTTGCCTGCAGTCCTTACGCCATTAATCTCATTCTTTAGCCAGCAGTTTCCAGGGCTGCAGGTGCTGTCAAGGCAACCCACCATTATAAAATCATGTCTCCTTGACTTTGCAATGTCCCCCTTGCTGAGGCTTCTTACCTGGGGATAAAACCAACCTACCTGCGGCAGCTGGTTGTGTGTGGCAGATGCACGGTCCCTGAGTCAAATTGGACCCAGCAGTGCCACCTAGAAGGTAGCAGAGCATCAATGCAGGTTGACTTTGAAGACATTCGAAGACCTCTTTGCTAAAGAGAGAAAGGATGTTTAGTCCTTCTATCCAACACAGTCTGTCAGACATGCTCACAACAAATTTTGATACGCGGACTGGTACTGTAACCTTAAACAGGCATGGGTTCTAGGTTCCATCTCATGATGATGTTGCTTTATCGTTGCTTCTTTATGATTCTTTGATGTTTTACTGGCAGATATTTCAGTACGCAGTACTTAAATGTCCTTAGTACATGATGTAAATGGTAAGTCTTGGCCTCTAACAGTACTGTATCTCATTTTGTAGGCATCACAGTATGTTTTGGGCGGATGATAACTATGCATAACTATGCCATACTTCTGTTATATTGTCACTGGTGTGTTCTGATATCTTGTCGATAGATCTAGGTTGTCACAACCTGCTGGAGCTGAGGTATGTACGGTTTTTGAGAAGGTTCGAAATCTTTGGAAGAAGATCAAAGCTGCAGTGCAGAAAGTTGTTGACAAACTTCGTTCTGTCGCTTGGCTTAGGCCCAGGAAATACACAGCAACGTGGAAAACTGTGCTTTGTCGCATTGGCTCTTTGAAATTTCTCAACTGGACTAGTGAGACTTTGTCACATTTGCTGAATGTTCGTTGTAAGAAAGGTGGAGAAGCACACTATTGAGCTGTCAAAATGTTCACATCCTTCTTATCCTTCCCCAAGCGAAAAAGAATAAAAAGACAGGGCACTGTACCATACTGTACTGTACCTAAGGTTAAAACAGCTTTATTTGGATACAGCTACGCACCGGCATTTGTGCGCAGTGAAATGCAGCAACGATTTGATGGCTTTTTCCCAGAAGATGATGGATCAGCGCGCTCGAGTTCACTTCTACAGGAAGACGAACACGAAATCACAGAGGAGAAAGTTGAGAAGGCATTGCATGACCACCTTGCTGGTAAACCGGACAAGTTTGTGCAGAACCACCTGTCTTTGTTGCAGCGCAATTTGGAAGAAGTGGAGCAGCACGAAGAGGCACTTCTGGGATGTTTGTTTAGAATCTTTAAGATGCCAGACTTCCGGAAATAGATGGAAACACCGCAAGAATGTCACACAACATCAAAAAACATGTTTGAGCTTCCTAAAGTCCTTCAGATTCGCATTCTGTGATTCTGTGATGCCTTGCTCTTTATAGACTGTGTTTATCATTTCACGAAGTCTAACTTTCCGAAATCACAGCGGGTTACGGTTACCCAACACATCCTAACACAATCAATACTTCTCATCCTTTTGGGTTGACAAGTTTGCAACAACTCGATGATAAGCCTTTGGAACTTTTGGTGTATTGCCTGTATTGCCTTAGTCTCAGCCCTGCTGGCCTCAGCACGTGAGGAGTTGATGAGAGATGCCATGCGACGTCTCAGGGACCAGACGCAGAAGAGTCAGCAGATGTTTGAGCAGAAGCTTCCAGAGATAATCAACAACAAGCATTGCCAAGAGGTGCCAGTCCCTGTGCCATACTGGAACTCAGTAGCTGTTCATGGCTATAAAAAGCCAGCTGTTCACAACCGAAAAAAACCATCCATCCTGGCCAATCACTGATGTCAGATGGTCGACGCGTTCTCGGTTTTATCACAACATGCACTCAGTCGTCGTTTTGAAATTTCTGTGCAATGGCATCATTTGCTTGGCATGAAATGAATGAAACCTGACCTGGCAACCTGGAGACACGTGATGATAAGTTATATAATGTCATATATAAGTTATTAAGTGTAGTTGGAACTTTCCGTCACATATGGTCTTGGATAGCCTTCTACTCGGTAGGCTCTTGGAACGTCGGCAACGGGCAGTTCTTTGACTTCTACTCTGACAGTATCTTTCCCAAACGTGGCTACTGCAATCTTGAATGCCGTCCTTCTGAACTTCGCTGGTGCCTTGTACGCCCTGATTCCGGGCGTATACATGTCTGCAACGCCCAAAGGATTTGAGTCAGTAGGAAGCGTCGATCGATGTTTGGAGGCACTTCAAAAGAATCAGCTGCCATTGCTGGACTCGTGCAACCTGGCTGCAGCTGTCATGACTCGCTCTTCGTGTTTTTCTGCATTCCAAGAAATCACTAATGGTATGGTTTCCACTCATGGTGTGGTGTCCCTTGTTTTGGGTGCAGACAGCTTTGCTGCCTTAATAGATTAATGTATGTTATTGTATTATATAACATATATATATATAATGATAAGAATAATAATAATAATAAATAAATAAATAATAATACATAATAATAATACATAATAATAATGCTGATAAGTGTGACAACTGATATGTCTCCAACTGGAGACTTGCTTGTCACATCAATTTTTGCTGGGGAAGTGTCTTCACGAGCTTGCTCTGGAGCCTTCAAACAATAATAATAATAAATAACAATGATAATTTAATAATAAATAATAATAATGATGATAATGATAATAATGATAATTAATAATAATTATTATTAATAATAATAATAATATATTATAAATATTCTCTAAGAGCCTTGGCCATTGGATTTCTCAGGTGCTCAAGAGCAGCCCCTCATGGCGTGTACTACGCGGACCTATCAGCGGATCATGGAAAATGCGCTTTCTGAGCAGTGGTGGCCTTTGATGCACAACTCTGAAGGGACCTTTGGTTCAATCGATTTGGGCTACAAGTACGACGAACTCATGAACTCTCTGCGATGCTCTTCCAAAGGCAGCTGCGTCGAGAAAGGCTTGGATCACTTGGGCAAAGACAACTTGAAGGAAATCTTGGAGAACAACAGCGCTAAAGAGGCAGGGTCAGTGTTCTGCGCTCCTGTTTTTCAAAGAAACAATAACCGAAACATATCCGGAACAAAGAATGAACAGATTACATAAAGATTGGCATTGTGATTTGATTTGTCATGAACGGATGAATTTCCTTTGTCACAGTCTTTTGGATTCTGAAACGAAGCTTTGGCGAGGCTGATCGACTCAATGAGATGCAATGCTCCTTCGCAGCAAACCGTGTGGACTCGGAAGATCAGCAGACGGCGACATCTGGATACACTTTACCGGTGTTTACAGACAAGATTTGGGCCGTGGCATTAAAAGCTCATGGTGCAACGTTTGGAGATGTTCAGGATATCAACAAACCATGTCCCGACATCTTGCCCTGGGTTGTTGCATTTTGTGCTACAGAGTTCAGCTGCATGGACACAAGCTCCAGTGATCTTCAAGTTGCACAGGCTCGTGCGGCTGAGACAGTGGCACCATTGCAGGAGAGTCTCGGAAGCAAGTCACTTTCCGAAGCACAGAAAGAAGCTTTTGCTGAGAAGTGGCAAACTCTCGTCCATTCCAAGTTTGATGGTTTGGATGATGAAGAAGATGCTTTTCAGTGGAGTCTACTTTGGCACATGGCCAACGCCACCAACAGTGCTGGCCTCATGTCGTCTTGGCCAGAGATTCTGGAGGCTTTGTCAGGCAAAAGGACAATAGACTGGAGCAGCACTCGACTCCATTGGGAAAAAGTTCTATTCACAGCACTTTTGAGACTGCAAATTCGCGAAGTGCATTCACATGATCCTACTGATGTTCAGGACAAGCGCTCATTGTCCCAAGTGCTCTTGAACTTGCAAAGCATTTACGAGACGAAGATTTGCTCGCCGGGAGCTCTGGGAGGTTTAAAGGATGAGCATTTACGCAGATTGGGCGTTGGCAAGGAGGATTTAGTCCAACTGGCACTTCATCAAATCGACAAGGAGGAAGTCATAAAGGGCTTGTGGAGGAACTGGATGGTGCTCCATGTGCAAGTGCCCTCCTCCAAGAAGCATTTTCTGAAGGCCTTGAGAGAGAGCAAGTGCCGTTGTATGTGCTACCAGGCCTGTCATGATTGTCATGGCCAGTTCTCCCTGTATCTCCCCATATCTCCCTGTATCTCCCTGTTTACAAATGTAAACACGGCATAACAAGGCCATACAAGGCCTATGCGGGGTGAAGTTTGGTAGAACAGTTCCAGAATGAGATGGCAAATGGCGTGCTTTGTACGGAATATTTCCCACGTTAAAGTCCCCTGCAGAAATCGATATATGTGTTTAGTTTCTCAGTTTCTGCTATTTTTATGTATGTTCATCTATATTCAAACTTCTACTCTAAACAAGAGCAATGCCCCTTTCAAGAGAGTGGGACGTTGTGAGGGCCCGTGTTGTTAAGTGTTTTTTCTCTGTTTTTTCATATGTTTTGTGTTTTTTGTCATTTACTGCATATTTTTAATGTGATATTTATTAAGTTCATAGGATTTATCAGTTGGTACTACCTAGGTATACAGCTAGATTCATGATGTCAGTTGGTACTTCATGTATATATATATATATTAAAATATAGGTACTACCTAGGTATACAGCTATTGCAAAGACGGTGTGTATATATATATATATACGTACAAAGCACTTGGTATTTGCATTGGTGGTTTTTGCTATTGGACTGCCAGGTCGCCTTTTGGTTGACACGACAGTTCCAATGGAACTCTTTTAGCAAAGGAAAGTGCAAATTCCAATCTACTGGCCCTGCTCAAGTAGTTGTAATATTTTTTTGGCATACTTCATGGTAACTGGCTGCATCGATGCACAAAACAAGGCTGCCATTCTATAGATACAATTGTTTGGTAAGGTTGCATAGGTGTTTCTTTTACTTGGTTGTGTGCCCTTTTGGATACCATGATAAACTTGTACTGGATTAATTTAAGTTTTACCCACAATCATGAGTACATTTATGATTCTAAAATGTATGCCGTTATATTTGCAGTGACACAGCAAATTACCATGGAATATGCAGGAAACGCCTTTTCTGAAGCAAGGGGGAAATGGAAGTGCCCTTGGAATTTGCCAACTCTTGTGATCAATCAATATTTTAAGCAAAGAGCTGTTATTGCATTAAAACCTGGAAGAATACCATTGCATACGCAGGAAAAAATGTACAAAACTTGTGCCTGTAAGGGCATAGGTGACTTACATGCAACCCATTCCATAACTGTATGTACTATATAAGAAAAAATGTACATATAAAATAGTTGCATTCTAAGTGCATATGCAGCTTGGATGTGTTGACACAGCAAATGGCTATGGTATCTGCAAAAAAAAGTACTGCTTTTATCACAAGCAACCCTCTAGATATCAGTGCATGTTTGAAGCTGCCATTCCTACTGTATATCTACTGCACACTTGTGGCAATGTGCTTGCATACTGCTTGAAACCATTCACCCACTGAAGCACAAACAACACCTGAGCTAAGAACAGGAGTGAGTATTGATCAAAAGGATGGAGAAGGGACCCTTCTCCATGCGAATGCATTCTGGGAGATGCTACTTCCTAGTCCAATGTGTTGTGTCATAGCTGTTTTCTGTCCAGTTTTATAAACAGTCTTAATTCTTTTTGGGTGTTACTCATCCTGTCATATGTTACTCATCCTGTCATAAAAGCGCAGCCAAACAATTATGGTAACAGGGTATCTGAATAGATGTGCAGTGGCATAGCAAATTACTGTGAAATATGCAGGAAAAACCTATATGTTTGGAGAACGGTTGGAGTTGCCCTTGCCATGTGCCAACTCTTATGATCAAAGTCAGTTGCAACCAAAGAGTCTTTATTGCAGTCAGTCCTAGAAGAATTGCATTGCATATGCAAAGTACATGTGGAGAATGTGTGTATGTATTGGCATGCACTACTTTTATGCACCATTCATATCATAGATGCATACAGTAGTAAGACCAAGGAACATGCAAGTTCATCAATATATATATATATACATATATATATATATATGTACACTTAATATGGCTACAGTGGCATTCTAAACACATATGCACCTTGGGTGTGCTGATACAGCATATGGCCATAGCATATGCAACATCCATGTTGCCTATATCACAAGGAGCTCTTGAGACATCAATATCTACTTGAAGACTGCTATTTATATGGCATATAGACATATTGTATACCATACCTAGGACCATAACCTCTTGAAGCACTGAAACACTTATATGCCCTTGCATGTTCCTAATCTGTCCCTACTTTGCCCCTCACCCCCTTGCATGTTCCTACTTTGTTTCCTCCCCTTCTCCTGTGTCTCCATATTGTACCCCCCTTGTGCGCCTCTAGTTATCTTCCATGTCTGTCCCTAGTTTGTCATCTTCCATGTCTGTCTCTACTCTGTCCTCTTTGAGTGTCTCTATCTTATGTTTCCCACTTTGTTTGTCCCTATTTGTCACCCTTGTGTATCCCTACTTCTCCCCCAGGTGTCCCCTGTACTTGTCCCCAGGTGTTCCATTTTTTTTAACTTGGCATTGGCATCGATCTAGTCCCCACTGGCCACATCCTGCGCATTTTCTTCTCACAGGGAGTTGGGGGAGGGGGGGGTCGAGCAAAAAAAAGAAAACATATATATATTTTTGTTCGACCCCCCCTGGAGTAGCGTTATATTTATATATATATATATTATTTTATTTTTTTTTGCTCGACCCCCCCTCCCTGGAGTAGCGTCGCTGAAACACATGCTTGTATAAATCCTTCAGGGGAAATGGAATAGATACGTGTATTTGATGAAATGTGTACATATATACAAATCCTTCCAATAGAAGTCATTGATAACAGCAAGAATAAAAAAGAAAATAACTAAAAATCAGCAAAATTGCAAGTATGTGATTTGTGGGCCCTGGTGGCGTCCCTTTCTGCCTTTCAAATGTCTCAGCAATGGATCCGATAGACTAGCGTCAATTCCTTTTGACCGTGCCTGACAGGCATGTGGAAAGTTTAATCTTCATCCTTCTGCGGCGGCAAATTGTCAGGAAATAGCACATCCTGCAAACATCACTGCTCATCAAGAGAAGTGGACAAGGATCAAGGAGATCAGAGTCAAGCGCGCAGTCATAGATCGCATAGGATTGCCTGCTCATCAAGTCCTTACAAATGCAGTGTATTTGAAGGCAAGATCGCTCAACGGGATGGGAAACATGAAGGTTGTTCAATGTAGGCTTATGTTTTGAAGCTGTTGAAACACGAGGAAATTCTGGTATGAAGTCACTTTGCAGAAAAGGTGTGATATTCTTGACCGTATCTTTTCAAGATCGAAATGTTCGATCTCTGTGAGTATGGCGTTGGCATCTAGAACAGTTTATATATATATTATAATAACAAAAGATCAAGATCACAATCTTCAATTGCGGGAGAAAATATGTGTCAATGCCCTGTCAGATTCTCCGGAAGAAGACGATTAGTGGCTGCAGCAGTCAGCTCGAAGTGAGGAGCAGGTACTCTCAACCGTTACGTGGGTTTATTTCAGCGTGTTCCGTCCCAGAATCCTGACTGGAACAGATTGGATCAAGATGTTGCTCATTTGACTCATACTAGTACTTTGTATATCTCTGTATATCTCTGTTTTGTTTCCTTGGGCCTTGGGCACGCAAATACATGACTCAGCTTGTTCTCCGTCACTATCTGGCGCGACAGCCAGCATCATTCCCCAGATTTTGATCCTCTTGGACTTCACTCGGTTGGCTTTATGGTTCTTAAGTTTCTTTTGTTGTTGTCTCTAGCTATTTCGGCTTTAGAGGTTAAACGGCTTTGTTAACATTGGCTAGCTTCGTTAGAGACTATATAGGTGATTTGATGTGGTTCGGCTATGGTCATCAGCTTCTTTGGTTTTTATTGTTTGATTTGGCCTTGTTCGCTTCCAGCCACACACTCAATTATCAGCTTTTGGCTGTCTTGGAGACTTGCTACTCATTGTGCCTCATGGTCAGGCTATGCACTTGAGCAAACGTGCGGCTGTTTGTGTGCAGTTAGAGATCCATTTCTAGTGAGAAACTGATTTTTGACAAAACCTCTGCTCTGCAGCTGCCATACCCATTCTGAGCAAACCTTGAACTGTTCGCAGTGCTACTTCCCCAGGTGCATAGGAAAACGATGGAAAACGGCTCAACTTCAAAATGTCTCCCAAGCGGCTTTCCTGATCCGGGGTTGACAGTACAAGGTTCTTGGGATCTAAACTGTGGAAACATGCGGAAACCATACTCACTCATGCTGACTCATTCCTAGCACGTCAGAACTGCATACTTCCAATTCTAAATCAACGTTGTTGCCTATAAGATGTTGCAAGCCTGACAGATAAGTGCCTGTGCAAAACAGTGCAATTGTTCAAGTCAAACATGCATCCTTCCTGACACAGGCATGTTAGGTTGTGATGTGTTGGTCCGTGGCATCCACTAAAGGATTTCTATTACAGTAGGATGGGCTTCTTGTGGGACGCGCAAGGAATACTTTGAACAGAGTGAAGATCTGGGGCTGACAATCACACTTTGGACGGATCCTCGCCATGAAAAACTCTACAGTTATGATGATTTTCTGCGACTACATCGACCATACCGGACCTGGTCAGATGCTGCATTTGAGGATGAGGATGACGAGGACGACTACCTGAATGACGACCATGATTCCGATGAAGTTACGGATCTTGATATCGAGAATCTTGATCTTGATTTCGACACAAATGACGACCATGATTCCGATGAAGTTACGGATCTTGATATCGAGAATCTTGATCTTGATTTCGACACAGAGGAACAATGAGGGCAATTTGTGATTCTAACTCAAGCCCGCTGCTGACAGAAAAGACGGCTTGAAACCTAATTTCAAACAGCTGCAAACTAGTCTCTCGTTTCTTAGTTTGTGTGCATTTCGAGCAAGCACGCTGCAACTGTGCGTGTTTTAGTGTGTCAGCAGATATCAGCAGTGTGTGTGTATGTGTGTCGTGTCGTGTGGGCGTGCGCGCACGTTTGCGTTGAAAACGAACCCTTTGTTTGGAGCAGTGGTCGTGAGAAACAAAGGTATTGTCTGCCAGGAGCGGTACATGCAGGGTTCTCAGTTTGAATCACGTGAAGTTGGCACTCTTGAATTGATTATAATTGTCTCGTGTTGTCTCAATCATTGTTTGGGTATGATGGCACTGCTGCAGTGTCCATGGTATCAGAATCGCTGCAGGTGCGGGCCGTACCCCGGCAACACAGAGCCAGTGGCTTGCCCAGCAGGACGGCAATGGGGAGACAGACCCTAGAAAGGACTTGCAATTTTGAGCCAACATGAGCCATCCATGTGTTGCTGCTCTTGTCAGATCGACTTATGATAGCCGCAACTTGTTTGCTGCTGCTAAGCTGCTGCTTTTTGCCAGGCTCTTTCAATCCTTGGCAAGGCCAATGGAACTGCACTGTGTGCTTGGAGGGAGGCGTTTGTTCGGAGGCTCAGTGCCGGTTTTCATGACTAATTTCATTTGGATGATTTGGACGCACTTTGTGCCAGTGAATAAAGAGTTTCAGTATGTTTCAGGACATGCCAGCGAATTTTGGTCCTTTGTATGTTTAAGATCATCAGAAACCATCATAGATCATCATAGATGATTCATGATTATCTTATGTCCATGCATTCATAATCATTCATACCTTAATTAGGTATCCTTATATGTATCCTTATGTTATCTTATGTTGAAACATGACGCTTGGTACCGAGTTCAAGCAGTTCCTGAATATTCCTGAGGCCCTCACAGTCGCATGCGCCTCCCATTGCCTTGCCCATGTGGCTACGAGTGCAGTGTTGACCTCAGTGGTGCAACAATTGGGACTGGAGAATGGAAGCGGCCAGGCGGCCAGAAGCACTAAAGGGGTTAGGTTTGATAAATGGATATCCTTTAAAGGGATTAAGCACTTTAGGGCATTTAAATTGATATTAAATTGATTAAATGCACTGAAGATTAAGTCAATACACATCACCAGTTTTGCCTTGTTTTACCGTTCAACATGTAGTAGAGGAATGGGTATCCTATTCACAAGATGTTTTCCTCGAATTGCTTCCAGCCTTTGAGGGGCTTCGATTGAAACTCCAGCAATTTTGCATAAAACTTGCGGGGTGTTGCCACACTTGCAGTTGTTTCAGTATGCCAGAAATGTCAATGAATGTGAAAGTTGATATACAACTGTAGTACAATATACTCATTACAAAGAGTCCATGAAAATGGGTTCAAACTCATCACCATCGTCAATGCACTGATATGTTATGATATGTTGAGCATTGTACATTCTGCCCTAGTTTGACCATATTTGACCTACATGGATCTCCACATATCTCCACATTCAAAATATGCGACAGGAGATCGTGGCACTACGCGTGCTCAGAATCTTTGCCCAGCTGGTCTCATGTGCGACGAGGGCGTCACTCGGAGAAATGGAAGATGATCCAACTGATCTTCAATTGATCCATGCAGTGAAAAAAAGAAAATGTCCAGTCGAACTTTGAAGCAATGCATATCAATGCATAGCAGATATAGATATAGCATGATATAGCATGATATAGCATGATATAGCGTGATATAGCATGATATAGCAGCATAGCAGCATAGCAATGACACCTCTTCAATGGAAGGGCCGGAGAGGCCAGCATTTCGCAGCCTGTCAGTTAGCCAAAAAGAAGGCAAACCAATGATGATGATGTTTCCAGTACAATTACAAACCAATTACAGTACAATTACATAAGTGGAATGGAAAGAATTGGGTGTTTGATTATGTTTGATGTTTCCGGGGACGTATGATTGTCTGGCTGAACATCGACATCGTGACATCGATGTAATTCCCAGTCCCATCACCTCGTAAAGAATTCCGACTTATCTACAAGGACATACAAGTTCAAGTGTTTGTTCATATTCCTTGATTGTGGAATCGGTGTAAAACTACATAGAATATGTAGAATTCTTCACTGAGCATCCTCTCATGTCCCAAGCTCTTGATGCATCGTCGTCCTTCCATTTTGTTCCCAAGGTCGCAACCAATATCGAGCCCCAGCTCTGTGAACCGAAAACCTTTGACATCCGAGTGGACACAAGTCTGGCACTCAGGGCGATCCGCCGTGGGAACCAATCATTGAATAATGGCAGATGAAAGAGGATGAAAAGGGTGATTGGGAGCAGATTTCAGTGACAATTTTGAAATGGTGCTTTCCGATGTTTTCCGGAGAGTTTGGCAATGTTTGGTGTGTCGCTTTTTCGTTGATTCTCAGGTCTTAGCAGAGAAAGAGAGAAGATTTGTGTCTACGGCATCGGGCAGCAGTTTGTTGAGTACCAGAGGCGATGCTGAAAACATCTGAAAACATTCCATTAAATGATCCAAACAGCTTTCCAACAGCTTTCCAACATGTTCAAAAACATGTTCCAACATCAATTCCAGTGGCTTCAGAAGGGTTGTTTTAGGTGGAGCCCTCACAGCAGCCCTCTGGATCCATGCGGACAAGCATCATGCTCGCAGGTTGCTTACAGTTCCTCGAGTGGCAGAAAGGTTTGGTTGGGGACAAGATCAGGCGAGGTCAGAAATGTCTTGAGAGGTTTCAGCATTGCAAATAGTTTGTTTCGATTGGATCCATTTTCTGATGGAAGGTCCGGTTGTGGTTGGTTAGGTTTCCAGCCGGTGAGCATCTCTCGTGGAAAGAATGGTCGCTTTGATAGTACAGATTCTGGGCACAATGATCTTAAAATCTCTGAAGATTGAAGATGAATCCATTTTGAAAGCGTGCTTGGACGCATTCCAGACCTGCCATGGTGTTTGCGGCACATGCAATGTTCAGTTCGTCAACGGAACTTTGGTGGGTAGAGCAGCTTGCTGCTGGTCGTTGGGAAGCCCGAAAGTTTCAGGTCCAAATTAGATTCTTGGTGCAGCGGAAGATGTGTAGGCCCTCCATGGTCCTTGCAACTTGTGAAATCTTTTCTGGCTTGAACACGTTTGGAGCGACGTGCTCTTGGATATGTATTTTTTTAAAAGACAGCCCGACACAGCCTGAGCATTCTGTTCCCAGTCCCATCAGTCTTAGAGACATCTCCATCATCTCCTGAGCCTTAGGCCAGAGAGATTGTCCAGTTCCTTCGATAGCATTGCGGCAGACTTCAAGGCTGCAAATGTCTGTTGCCCCAGAACGATCAGAACGTCGAGCCCATCTCCCATATCTCCCATATCTCCCAATTGACTGGACAGCGACTTGCTGATAAATCATGATAAATCACCACTTGGAACGATTCCGAATACCAAAACATACCAAAACCATGCCGGCTAAGGACACCCTGTCTGCACGTAGTTTCGCACGCTTGTCAGCCTCAATTCAGAGTCGTGAGGACACCCAGGAACTGGCAACGTGCGCTCAATGTGGGAAGTGATTGTGCAAAAGGAACATACCCTCTGGTAATTTAACATAACTATGGAAAATCACCATTTTTAATGGGAAATTCCACTATAAATGACCATTTTCAATAGCTATGTTAAATTACCAGAGGGTAAGTGGATAACGTTTGTAGTAACCCAAGTGGATTAAGCCAGTCGACCCTCATTTGATCTAGGTGAAACTCCTGGGTTGTGGAAAGGAAAACCATGGAGAACCACGAAGCATCAGCCCCCAAAAAACAATCCCTGCAGTGTTCCACGTAATCACCCGTTGTACCTAGAAGTTCAAGGGAATCACAGACTCACAGACTAACTTGAGATGCAAGCATTGGAATGGAATTTAGTAGGCCTGACGGCCTGACAAGGACTCAGCAGGAATCTTGTTGGAACATGTTGGGACTTCAAGCTCCAAGCTGCTCTAAGCCGTCTTGTTTTACGAAGGTTTAGTGCGTATATGCCATGTGCAAGTGTGTGTGTGTGTGTGCGCGACATCATTTTGTTGCACGAAGTCCCGACGTCACTGTTGAGGAATTCCAACCAAAATCTTTTGCAAACCATCACAACATGTTTGGCTACAGCAATTTGGGCCAAGTAAGTAAGGTGCTCTTTCATTAATCCAGACTCTCTTCGTGATACCTGGAAAAGGATCGATCTGTTCTTGCTTTACATGCTTTACATGCTTTTGGGATGGCCTCCTAATGGCATTCTATGATATTCTTCAATATTTTATGTGTATGTGTGTGTGTGTGTTTTTTAACGATGTGTTCATGATGTTTGATGTTTCACGATATGTTTCATCACTGTCTAAATAGATGTTTTGTTATTTATCAAGTCCTCCAGGTTGTCCAGGTCCTACTTGGTCCTCCTGTGTCAGGGACTGCAGCAGAGCGAAACCTGGACCTCTTTGCTCCAGGCATCCCATCGGTCCCCGAAAATTCGGGTCAAGTCTTGGGCTGGACTCACAAAACGGCCACAAAATGGGCTGTTAATTGTTGTTAATACATATCAAACATAATGTTGTACATGTTAATATCATGTTAATAAGTGTTAATATGAAATGTTCATGAATATTCAGAATACCATACCATCCATCTTGGAGATATATATAACAATTTTATAGAATTTTGACCTCCCTTTTGCCAGTATGCGCTTGAAAATCATTGATCAAACATCAATGGCAACGGGTTCAACGGGTCGCAGGCTTCGATGGCCTCACGCTCTTGAACATCACGGATGACCAGTTCCGAGAAGACCTGGTGATTCTCTACCCGAAGGCGTTTTAAAAACCGACGGCGATCTGATCAACGGGAAATTTAAGGATTTTCTGAGAAATCTAGAGGAAACATCATTGGAATCATGAAATATCCGTTTAAAAAATCGTAAGAATCCGTTCATAGACAAGAACAAGAACCTTTACCCTTCCAATTAAATTTGATCAATCTATGGATTACCGTAAGTGTAAGTCTACAAACCCATTCGGGAAGATGGAAGGGAACAAACCCTTCCAAATGTTTGAGCCACGGAGAAGCAATGAACTTGTTCCATTGTCAAAGGAATCACACATGCAAGGTCCATCAGATACAGCCAAGTACGTAGCCTTCGTCCTGAGGGAATTCGCTGGAAAAGCAGAGCCGTAATTAACATCACCTTGTTTGAAACCTCGACTTGTCGACAGGCAAGACAATGGCTTCATCATTACATCGAGAAGTTTGTTGCTCAGAGATGCCAAAGGATTCCCAGAGACGCGCAAAGAATCCCAGAGTGTGGAGGACATGTTGCAGGTCATTAAGGTCACTGAACTTGTCGCAACATGCCGAAACCACCTGCCATATCACCAGATTTTTTCACCTGGACAGTTGCCACACCTAAACTCCCCAAATCGCACAGTTGTTTTGAGGCTGTGGAACTTCAAGCGACCTTTGCTGATTCCTCAGTCTTAGACTTGCTGTTGCACCCAGATGTAGAGTGAAGCTTCGACAAGGTGGTAGTGTTCTTGACTGTTGACTCAAGTGAATGAAGAATGGTTCAAACATGTTCAAACCTTTGTTTTGGATACCTGATTTTGAAAGAAGCTGAACCAGTGGGCTTTCTATTTCTATGGAGTCCCCTCGCCCTCCGCGCTTCAATTCTTATCCCATTTGCTGTAAAGAAGAACGGAAGACATATGGAAGACGATGGAAGTTGCTAGGTCTATCAGGTGTTTCTCGAGCACACTGAGGCCATGTCCCTCTGGCGCCTACTGTAACGAAGGTACCTGCTGCTGCCTCAGTACTGTAATCGGAGTTCACAAATTATGTATCACTTTGGGCCTTTTTTCCGCATTGAGCGTGTTCCAGTGCTGAGTGCTAGCCGATTCTCGCAAATTCTAGCTGGAAAAGGGGTCCGACTCTGCCTTCAAGGTTCAAGCATTCAAGCATTCCAGTTTCATCTACCCTCACAGCACGTTGATTTTATTTACATTGATATTACGGCGTGGCTTTTCTTTGTACCCTTTGTGCATGAGCGCGAAAAAAAGAATGACAGTTGCGGGATTTGAATGGATTTGATTGGATTTGACGGATCTTTCAGTTCAATACATCCCAGACTGTACAGAGCAGACCTGATGCATTTCCACAGGTTGAAAGAGTTTGAATTTACTGAACAGTACAGTACTGGTAGTGAGTCCGACGGAAACGGCTGTTGGCGTCCGTGCTTCAAGCATGAAGAATGCGAACAGGGCACAGATGATGCATCTGAGGCCCTCGCTACTTGCTCACTGGTATTGTCGATGTTGACTTTGACCGTGCTAGTAACGTCGGTACCTTAAAGTCGCACCAAAATGTACCAACCTTGGTACAACTAGTGTTGATCCCACCGTAGCATGGTCTTGGTGCTGATCAGATCAGCTAAATGCATGACCTCCAATCCCCGCAACATTCCACCAATGCTCAGAACATCCCCAAACTAGACCGAAGAATGATAGACTTGATAGACTCCTGACTTACCTGATTATCGTACATGAATGTACATGCATAATATGTTTGTCTTGAGACATCAAAGAGCAACAGTGTTTCCGGACGCCCAAACAGATGAATCTATGAGCCCCAGGCCATCAACGAAGCGAGACGCTTGGCAGAAATGCACTATTCTGATCTGATTTATCAAACCTGCCTGGGCCTCAGTGGCCATGGAAATACATGGAATATCATGGAATCCTTCGGCAGCGTGGTGGTGGCCATCAGTGGCCATTGAAATTTGGTCATTTGATCCGATCTGACCGATCTGAGATGTGAACCGCTCTCGCAACGACTCCAACTACACCAATGTCCATCCAGGCTTCGTGAAGTATAATAAAACACAATGGCATGCTGAAAAGAAAGAGAGAAGTCAGAGAAGTCAAATATATTCAAATATGGTCAGATTATGTCCTCAAGTACTGTGCTTGCATCTGGTGAAGGACATGTTCAGGAGACAAAAGTTGCTGCTGGGCTTGAACTTTTCATTCCGTAATGCAAGCCAGCATGTTCCTGTCTCGGCGAGGAGAGGATATGGTTTTTGCGAATACTTCTGGCGACAATTGGACCTTCAACGGATCCTTCAACATTTCCAGGCTCGGTCAGTGCAGACCAGTCGTCAAGGCACAAGACACTGCAAGACAGGCGTGGCATAGACAATATAGATAGATAATGATAGATATAGATAGCATCTTCAAAAGTGTGGCATCGTGATGCGTCGAGAGATTTGCAGGTGGGACATGCCTTCTGACTGCTCTGATTGCTTCCCCAACCAGTCCCAGCACACCTTTGTGAAGCCGGGAGAGGCAGGTTGCCGCTTTGTCGAGTCATCGAGTCCTTGCCATCTCGAATCGAAACGAGGCTAGCACCATGAGAGAAGCTTACCTTCATGTGCACAGGGAGTCGGAAGCCTCTGAGAATTCGCTTCGTTTAGTTTGCTTCGGTTTGCTTCGGTTTGCTTGATTCATGTCTTCATCATGTTTGATCATTTTGCTTACTTTGTTGGATAGTTGGCTATAAAATTTAGTTTTTACGGCCTTTTGACATGTTCATTTCACATCATTTCACTGCAATTACTTGCCGTATCCTTTGTCATTGAGGGTATTTCGCTGCTACAGTCTAGATTCCTTCGCCGACGACATGGCGACGACCAAAAATCTGGCCGTGCCATGATGCCATGAGGTTCGAGCAAGCCGAGTCTCTGGGGGCTCCAGCACCACGCATGCGGCAGAACTGGCAGATGTTACGAGTTCAGTGACCCAACATGTTGGGAACACGTTGCAGCTGTTGCCCAAGGGATTTGTGGTCTTGGAATGTTGAGAGAGTTTCATCCTGGACTTCCAGGGACTTCCAATTTCAGCTACTCATGAATTGCTTCTGCTTCTACCCTTTGGCATCGTGGGTGTGGAATGCGCACCTCTCGATTCCAAAGAACTCAAAGGACAACTGAATGTATTTCTCCGTTTTGAGGCTTAGCTGTTAAGGCTCAAAGGAGAGACTTTGGGTGGTCTCTGGGAGCCATGCTGTTGACAATAGCAGCGTTGGCATGGCAGGCCAGATTGCTCTTGCTGGTCGGTTTTTTGGCGGGAGCATAGAATAAATATGGAAATATATGGAACATGCAGAGATTACTGTCTGAATTTGGCTGTTACATTGCTGGTACCCTGGTACCCCTGTGTAGTTCAGTGTCCAGGTCGGAGCTGCTCTGGAATGTCCCAAGCCCGTGGAGAAAGCTCCAGTGACATTTCCACAGGAGTTGCTGAATGACTTTTCAGATGAGCGAATGTTCAGTGGTCACTTGGACTGTTTGGATGATGCAACTGTTGTCGACTAATGAAATCTATACTGCAAACAACACCTCTCCCCAGGTCTTTGAATTGCCTAGATACTTGGGAACATGACCAAAATGACCAAATCTTGCCTTCAGGGGGCCTTTCTCAGGCTTTCAAGTAAAGATATGTTTTCGCATGTTTTCGCAAATGGACGTCAGTAAGAATCACTGCAGCCATTTATCATCATGTGAATATATGTGAATCATTTATCATTGAGGATATCCGGTGGAAGCTGTGGGTTGAGCAACCCGATACTGTTGGCCAAGTCCCCACTTCCATTCCAATTTGACGAAGGGTGCAGTGAGTGCAGAGAAACATGTTGCAATGGACAAGAGTTCACACATTGAACTGTCTCAAAACCAAGATAGAACGGAACAATTGTGTGTGTGTTTCAGATTGTATCAGCACAACATCCGTGCAGTACCAAACAGAGGCCTTGTTTTGAATTGGGGAAAGGACGAGCTGGTGGGACAAGCGATGGGACTCCGGTTGGCTCGTGCCAGGTTACATCAACGTGACGGACAGGGACTTCCTGTTCTATTGGTTTGTCGAAGCCAAAGACACGCGGAGCAACGGCAATGCCAACCCTCCGGTCATTCTTTGGAGCAACGGTGGACCAGGTTGCACCTCAATGGAAGGGGCAACAACAGAAATCGGACCTTTACTCCTCAAGGGAGTGAAGACTGGAGATGGATATTCAGGATTGAAGTTAGACAGTCTGGTCAAACTTGGTCAAACTAAGTCAGATTTCATATGGCTTTTATCTCCATCGCAGTTCTTTCAGTATCTTTCAGTATTTCAGTTGGTTCTTTGCTTTCCCTGAAGGACGCTTGTCCTCAAACCCCTTCGCCTGGAATCATCGAGCTCACATTATTTTTGTAGACCAACCGCGATATGTTGGGTATTCCACTGGCTCCGGCCCTTTTGTCCTCTCTTCAAAAGACGCTGCTGCAGACATAGTGCAATTTATCCGAGGCTTCTCAACTGCCATGGATTGGTTGAGTTTTCTGCATCGCAACCTGACGCCTTATGATGCCTCATCTTTGTAGTTACAGTATGTTACAGTATGTTACAGTATGTTACAGTATGTTACAGTATGTCATTTGTTGTCCTTGTTGATTTTCTTTGATCCTAATGTACGTATGTCATTCTTGTTGTTTTGCTTTGGCTGTGTTGTTCTTGATGCTGATTTATATTGAATCGTCTTGCTCTTATTATTGTGACCTTGCTGCTGTGATTGTGCCCCTGTGATGGTCATGGTTTTTATGCTCTCAGAAACGGGGACTCAATTGGTCTCCATGAGGATCATGAGGAATGTACATGACCGGTGCCAAAATTATCAGCATGAATTTGCAAACTCCCAAGGGTCCCAAGCAACTACAATAGTCAAGAAGGAAATGCAGGAGAACGCTGACCCACGTAAGCCAGTTCTTGATACCAGCAATTGGTGCACAGGACAGCAGGAAGATACAGAAACATCAGAGCTGTTTAAGTCTAAAGAGTCCCTCAAGTCCAGCAGGACACCGAGGAAAAAGTATTGCAGCTTGCTCTCACGCCGCATTGCCGTATGCCAATTGGTAATTCAGAACAACGGGATCTGCAAAATGGCCAGGGACAATAATACAAATGTGTATGTTCAAAACCCAAGCTGGTTGATGATTACAGGGGTTATACTACCGAATAATCATATTGAGATCCATTTTGGGAATCCCCATTAAGCAACCAGGGATTTTCATTTAGACACTGCTCAAATGGCACACAGTCCCGTTTGTGCCTGGGTGTCGCTGCAAATGTGTTTGTTTTGTTTCCCTGTCATGTTTGATGTCATTTTTGTTCTTTTGCCATAGTTTATTCGAATTCATGTTTATTATTAGTTTCTCGATGTTTTTCGATGTTTCTCGTTTTGCACCTGGGCATGCTATTCGAACCTGCTATTCGCCACAACCTGTTCAGGTTGGCGAAGACTTTTCCCACAATTTGCTAGCTCCAAGTTCGTCCTTGCCACCGAGTCATATGGGGGTCATTATGTGCCAGCCTGGGCGGAAGCCATTCTGGAATTCAACAGAAAGAGACCTGGCTGCAAGATCTGCAAGTGAAGATGAAGAATGATGAAGATTCAGTAAAACTAACGGTTACAGTTGCGGTTTCCTTGCTGACGGAGTCTCAAATCTAAGGACACCATCTGAAGAAATTTTAGTCGCCGGTGTTGTGCTGAGCAACACATGCATTGATCAACGACTTCAAGGCCACTTGTTTTCATTGCCACCTTTAGTTTCGACCTCCCGCTCGCTTAGGAGATCAAGGCAAGTGATCAAGGCAAGTGATCAAGGCATAAGGTTTGGGGTGGCATGTGTGGATCAAGCTGTTCCAGGCTTATTCTCCCCACATACCCACATAAGGAAACAATAGAAATCAGAAACCTTTTCCTGGGGCATTCAACACAAACTGATGTGATTGGTTGTAAGTCTTTCGCTGTGACCAACGGAAGCAAACCTTAAGTCGCGAAGTTCTTTTACTCCGCTCAAATATTGACAATTAGGATCAATTAGGCATTGATGAGGTGAGACGTGAATGGTAATTTGTTGCTTCATAAAAGCAAGGGTTCACAGCAGAAAGTAGTTGCATTGTTTAGGAATTGCAGACGAACTGCAGAAGGCAAACTAGTATGGGCATGTCTAAAAACAAGGTATACCGTATACGGTATACCCCAAAATGTGTAATATTATTAAGTGATATTAAGTGGAAATATGATGAAATATGATGGTAAACCCCATTTTCAGACAAACCCAGGTTCTGCGGTATGTTCATGAGCTTGCCCGCACACGTGCGCACGCACTGACAACCAGATGAATTGTAGAGGGAGAGAGCTGCAAGTGCTCGCAGGTTTCAGTGCTTTCAAGCGCTTTGCCAGAAAGCAGTCGCTAATTCCGTCTAGTGCTCATCCCAGCTCTATGGCATCTGCGCGGCCACTTGGTGAGCAGCCACCAGTTGCCAGTTGTTGATGTATTCTTGGCGCTGAGAACTGCTTCCAAATATTTCATCGCAGAACTGAGGTTTCAAATTTGCAACTACAAGAAATACATGCCCAATACGTACGACTATCGGAGAACATCCGCCGGCTCTTGCTGCGGATGCATGGGATACAACTACTCTAGCTTCGACAGGCAGGAGTCGGATAGCATTCGTACTATTTCGATCTATTTCGTATTTGTGTTTTCTCTTAGTCTTGCAGGCCTTGCAGGCACACTTTCGATGCCGTTTATGCCGTGAGGTGGTTCTCTTCGGCCAACGTGCGCAGAGCACTAAATGTTTGTGGCAATGCGGGCGAAGCGTCCTTTGGGGGATGCGGTGCTGGGTGCATCACCTTCCCCAAATCCTTCGACGCTGGCGAAACTGTAGACAATGTGGCGATAATTGCAAAGCTGTTGGAGCTGAAAATTCAAGTTTTGATGGTCTATGGCATGAAGGATACCACATGCAACTACGAAGGCCAGTTGGAGTCTTCGTCCTGGTGATATCATGTGTTGAATGACTCTCCTGCTCGGGGACACACGTGGTCCCCAATTTTTCGAAACGTCACAGGAACGTCATAGGAACGTCATGAATCATTGAAGTTGGTCGGATGTCTGTGGATGTCTGTGGCATTTCAGAAGACGTCGGCCTCTTGAGGTGAACTACTTGAAAAACTGCAGTCCTATTCCTCGACCTTTTAACACACCGCTGGTTCGATCTCTTTCGTTTGTTTTGTCATGTTTTGTCGAATCTCGATTTTTTCTTTTTTTGCCAGGCGGCTATGCTGTGGCATCTGCCTTGAGATGGAAGGAAGCAGATCTTTGGGCAAAGTCATCCCCGAAAGACCTCTTCCTGAACGGGGCGGTAGCTGGGAAAGTACAATCTGGCGGAGGATTGACGTGGATGCAGCAACTTGTCAGCTGAAGGAACGAGTGATGAGCGGCTCTGAGCAGTCATATAAATAGTCATATTATATTAGTTATTAGGTCCCGAAACACACGGTCAAGTTCTATGCCATGAACATATATAACATCTGTGAAATAGTACTGAAATAGAATAAAGAAATGACTCTCTCAAAGGTGTCCTGCAGACCAGAGCGGAGTTGGCTTTGTGTAGTCGTCAAGGGACATGCTATACAAGGTATCAAATCACTGAGGGTAAGTCTGCAAGACTGTGCATACAGGGGTTTGGAGCCCACGTCATTCGTGGAAGCATGGTGCAAACTGTGCAAAATGAACTTCCGCTTGCGCCTTGGAGACTCACTTTGTGGAGGCTTCCCACAAATTGTGCTTGACAATGCAAGCCCGATGCAGATTGTGGGAATGTATGTCCAGCACCTTCTTGCAGCGCCAGCCCAACTACCTCAGAATATCAAAGGACAATGAACCGTTCAGTCTTCAAGCAAGGATTCATGGAATCTCCTGCGTCAGCCACTGGATGCTAGCAGACTTTGGTTTCTGCTCCCACTTGTTACAATTATGTTGGACCAGCCAATGGCAGATTTTTCAGCACACCTTGGTGCAGAAAATGAAAGATATCCACCAGCTGAACCCCCCGAGTCACCAGCTGTTGCTTTGACATTCATCCAGAGTCAGACGCCTCAAGGATTGAAGAAGCAGGGCACATGAACCCTGCAGACAATCCTCGGGCTGCTCTCTTCGCATTCAACAAGCTCTTTGATGAGACTTGGAGGGATGAAAAGTGGCTTTCATATGCTTTCCGAATTTGAGAATCTGCATCGGTTTCGAATAGATTTTGACTGGAAACGTGTTTCCGTTTGGGCACAGTGGCACATGAACAGACAGGCTTGAGATTGGTGAAAGTCACATTGAGCAAAAGTTTGCATACACGACGTCAATTTACCCTGTCACACAGAGCAGTCTACGGTATACATTCTCAGAGTCTATGTAGAGAAACTGAATGGTAAACGGTAGTGTGGGTGATGTTAATGTCAGGGTGGGCTTTGATGCTGCACATCATGTGTTGGGGTCGGCTCTGGTGCGGGTTTGGTGTCAACTTCTAAGATGCTCTATTTGCATCTATTTGCTGTGATGTAATCATAGCAAAATGATATGTAATGCCCAAAGAAATCTCTTCAACGTAATGTACAAGCAGGACAGGTTACTTGTAGCAGGTGCAGGTTGCACCAAGACCCAAAAACTCCTCAGAATTAAACACAGAACGCTCATAGCGACAACACAGCCCTTTTCCACCTCATTCTCAGCAGAATTGGCAGAGCAACAGGTGCAAACAAAATCGCTAGGCTTCGAATTCACAGCCAACCCCACTGAGGATTTGGATCTAACGGAGTCATCGTCGCACAATGGCATCTTTCAAACCAAGGATGAGGATTTCATGCCATCCCAAAGGATTGGCAGGCACGTCAGGTGTCCTTTTTGTTAGTGTGTGGATGTTTATGTGCTTTGCGCAGTTTTCTGCAAGTGGATGCAATCTCGTTTGAATATGTTTGAATCAGTTCTGATTCTGGCCAAATCGTTAGTTGAAGCATGTCACGATGTAGCTTCGCAAATCTTCGCTAGAAAAAGAGCATATTTATTTTGCTTCCCGTGCCAAAGATGGGACGCCAGGCAAGATCCCGGTACATGGCGGATAACGACGTTGCTGCTGGGGCTCTTTTTCACTCTAGTTCTTCTCATTGCTGTGGGTAGCATTGTCTGGCGAGGTGTCTTGACATGAAGGATTATTATGCAGTTTGTTGATGTGAAGAAAGATGAAGAAAGACTACTTCACCTGGCATCAAAAAGCACGTGGCAATTTTACTTTCTTGCTGCCAATCTCAGGGGTCCGATATTTTTCATTACGAAAGTTAAGTGTCCTGCACACCAAGACCAAGGTTTCGTTTTGGGACAACTCGACGTTGAGTGTGTAGACAGCAGAGAGCTTGAGCTGCAGGCTTGTTCCCATCTTTAGGTGGTTTTGCATCAGGGTGATGGTTTGTGAGTTTCTGCTTTTGTCAATCAAATCAAAGCATTGCAGCATCAGTTGACACATGTTGACACAACTTGAAACGTAATAAAGTGATAAACATGTTCACTGTCTGCCAACTTGGATCACGATGATTACGATCACATATTACCACGTAAGAGTAACTGTAAGATCTGTAAGACCCCACCTGGCCGACTGCCAACGCCAAGGAGCTGACAGATATGCTGACACATGCCGAATCCGATGCATTTTAAATTGTACATTTGATCGCGAAACAATAGGATTATTGATTTTTGATGATTTTTGTGCAAAGCCTGCCCCTGTTACCCTGGCTGGGGAAGGGCCACTTGAGCAGGGAGACTAGCATTTGGCCTGCAAACGTAGTCCAAAGATGCCATCCTTTACCTGTTGACATTATGAATTGCAAGAAGTGTTCGCTGATTTGCCCGTTTACTACTGCACAAGATCATTTCTCAGAACAGTTGTGGTGTTGTATCTTTTTTCTGCTATTATATACCCATACCAATATCGCTATTGTCAGGCAGCTTTGGTTGTCGCTGTTAAGCAGCGGCTCAAACAGAGTCCTGACATATGCGAAGCATTACGTCAGGAAAAGGTGAATTCTGTTCTTGGTCGGTCACGTCCCAAAGTCTAAGGGGCAAGAGCAACTTGAAATATTTGTACATTCATAGTACTGTACACATATATATATATTATATTATATATATATTATATTATATATATATTATATATATTATATATATATTATATATATTATATATATTATATATATATATTATAGAAGAATAAGCAAATCACTGCATTCCACGGCGCCTAAGACTCTGACAGCAAAGTCTCTCAGACAGGGACGTTTACTTGTTACGTATGTACTGTCATGATGACGAGCTGTTAATCAGAAGAGCTATTCATACATTCTCTTGGTAAACTTCCCTTCAGAATCTCTGCCTGCCAGCCCACCAATCTCATTTTTCTTTAGAATTATTTTATGAAGTCTTAGCAGTCTTAGGAATACCTTAGGGTGAACGGCTCAACGAGTTTGGCAGACTTTTGCCGGAGACCTCTGATAATTTCTCAGTCGTCAGCCTTGAACTTAGCAGTTCTACCAGTTCTACCATCCTCCTGTGCCAGGTCGGATATGCCAATGCATGAGTTGTACGCTCCTGGGGAAGCGACATCACTTGTCTGCAGCTTACATGGAAAACCCTTGGAGCATTTGGAGCTTTCCATGACTTTGGTTGCTCTGAAGACTATGTCTTCTCCAGCATTGCAGACGCAGCACTCTAATGAAACTTCAGCTGCTAAGATACAAAATAGGCCAATTGCATGTGACACATGAGAGCATGTGATTATCAGAAAAGAGCATGGTTGAGGATCATTCATATTGTCATTTTGAATAATCATGAATAATCATGAATATATCATGAATAATCTATACATTGTTTGGATTTGTTTGGTATATACGGTATAACATGTTCCCGGTTCCCATTAATGTTCCAACAATGGGGGTATCCCATTGTTGGACCAGAAAATTAAGTGACGAGTCGCAAGGCGCCAGAGCTAGCATTAAGGCAGCTCGTGTCGCAGAGGCATCGGCATTTTTTCCACATGTTGGGACCAGGAAAGGCAAGGATCTCTATACCAAATATGTGTATATTCCACTTAAAGAATATGACAACATGTGAGCACATACTTTTAAACTGCTGTTCAGGTCTATTTTTGAGAGCTTAGGAACCATTGAGAAACTGGCCAGAGTTTCACTTTATGAATTCTAATCCATCATGCCTCCCATTGTGGGAGACTCGGATTTGGGATGCTTGATGCCGTTAGAGTTGTAGCGAGATGGACAAACCATATCCTCCACCATGCTCTTGGAAAAACTTGACGTGAGCAGATATCCCCTGACCAAAAGGGAACCCCTTCGAATGATAACTCCACACTCCATATGCATCAAGCCCAGACAATGTTCCCCCCACATTGATTCAGGAAGTCCGGACAATGGCGAGAGTGGATGCCGCGAACTTGGCAAATTACAGATATTACAGTTCGACATCTAGATCAGCCTGGACGGGCCCTGTGTGAGATTTGTGAGCGATTCTCATCTTCGTGCAGCAAGGACCGGAGCGAATGTGAGTGCTGGAAATACTTCCATGTCCAGAAACGACAGCGAAGCTTGGAATGTTTTGCCCTCAGTTTGGAACTGACAGCCATGGCTCGCTGATTGTTGTCAGATGAACAAACATTCATATATAAAGATACATTACTGTATACATACTAGGGCCCGGTTATGCCTTCTTTGTAAACGATAAGGGACTCGACACTCCAATCATCTTCAACCATCTTCACTCAGGCTTCTGTGGCTTACACTCGCCAGCTTCAAGAGGATCAAGTGCTTGCCACCACAGAGGCCAGTGTCAGAGCTTCGCGTTGCAGAATGTTTCGGAAGACCAACAGTACTAGTGGCATTCACATCTTTCACACAAACGCTCGATTGTCTAAGATGTATGGCGTACAAACCTCCGATGCTAGAGGGATGCGTTTTTGGATGTTCTTTCGTTTTCAAAGATTTGGAGTCTCTGCAATTTGGACAAATTCGCGTCATTTCGCGTCTCCTCGTGATTGGCCAAGAAGAAGGCAACATGCAAATGTTACTTTATGTGTCTTTCAAATGTGCTTTATTGGATCAAAAAAAATAACTGAATCTGGTCCGAGTTACATATTTCATCATATTTCTACATTCCATATCATTCCATTAGATCCCGACAGTGCGGCTTTTTGAGTTGCCTTCAATTTCACTTTGCTGAGCTGAACTTTCCGTTGATTTCACCGTTGATTTCACCGTTGATTTCGGTGTTGGCAGTTTGCCCTTCCTGCGATCAACCCATTGGCCATGCGAGCTCCACAGTCATCTCCTTGGATGATTTACCGACGCAGACAAGGTCGAAGCATGGAAAGCCTGTCATCAGGAAATGTGAGATGACGTTAGATCATGTTATGATCATGTTAGACGTGTTAAAAATAAGTTTATGCATTACAGATGACAACCAAGGCAATGTATGGCAGGCACTTATTGCCTGTCCCTCAGTCTCCACTTGGCGGGACAGAACTTTCTCTTCAAAATGCTCGCAGCAGCGATAACTGGCATAGCTGGTCCATGCAACTCCAGCACGAGTGCACCTAGCGCACTGATCTTCCCTGGTCTACAAATTCGACAAAGTCCAAGTCAGAGTGTCTGAAGACTTGTGCAATTTGTGCATCCGCCGCTGGAATTTACTGGATGCATTTTGCGTCTTGCCGCTGCCAGCCCTGCATTTCATTCAAGCTGCAGTGTGGGCCTGGTTCTTTACACACTCAAATAAAGTGACATGTCCAAAATCCGAAGCGTTTGTTTTTTCCATTCCTTGTGGTGCTAGCACGCAGTGTCGCAGTCATCCTGCAAGGTGATGCTCGGGCCGCATCATCAGCTGGAACGGGCTTATGTCCAGCAGGGTCAGCTAATTGGGGCCGTGGGGGGTCGGCATTTCGTTTTCCACCCTGGTGACCCGGGCCTAATCGGGTCGAATTCTTTGATAGGGATGATAGGGTGCAGAACTTGAAACCCAACTTGAAGTTGGCGGTGTTACAGCTTGGAGATCGTTTGCGGCCTTTCATGTTTGGACTCCTCTCTTCCTGCGAGTACTCATGAGTACTCATTTGAATTCAGACTGACACACTCCCAGTTTTTGCCCAAGGCCATGTCCGCATGCTTTATGATGGTCATGCTGGCCAGGAAATACTGTCCCCCTGGCTCCCCCATTCCGGAAGAGGAGCGCCATGATTTTGTAGGAAGAGATGCGGTGTGAAGACAGTCATGGCATCTCGTGGCATCATGATAGTCATTGTGGAAAACACATGGAAAAAGACTTCTTGCTAGCACTAGATAGCACTAGTAGCAGCATGTTTTTGGTATTTTACAGACAACAAAGAAACTGGACTGTGTACGACACAGTTCGGATCGGTGTTTTTGTGCTGCTTGGATCTGCTTGGTAGGTTTTTCCATGATTCTCCATGTTTTTCCACGCTGACAAGGCACCAGAAGGAGTCTTCGTGGACGGTTCTGGTAGTGTACGAGGTGTGCAGTGTCGAGCTCAGGGGAGATCGGGACTGAGAGCCAAGGAAGGTGGGAGGCTCGGAGGCGACCTTTGCCGAAGCACTTGGCTCAAGCAGAAGGACTCCACTCCCAGGCCCAGGTGTGCGAAAAACATACCGCATGGAGAGAGGACTCTTTGACTATTCAATCCAGTGAGATGCCAGGTACACACCAGTGATTTGGACATAGCCCGATAGCACCAGAGAATTGACAGCTTGAAAGGAAACCAACCGGTCCGCAGGTATTTTTTTTATACAGCCATGGCGAACATTAATTGGCCTGGCCTGCTGGCTTGGAGCAACTTGACCGTTGCTGAAGACTGTTCAAGAGTACCCGCTTGCACCTTGTTTAGCTAAGATGTAGAACAAAGCATGGTACTCGTATGTAAGGATAAATGGTATATAAATGGTTGACACTGTCGAAGTATGTGGTGTGCTTGAATTTGGCATGTTCACATACTTGTTTGGGCGGTTTTCCCATATGGGTTATTACATCTCCAATCCCCCAGGAATGTTCTTGTGCCATCTTGTGGTGACCCAAAACTAGACCAAGGTACAAAGTATCACGATGGCACAGCACCATCACAATTCAAGCAGATGAGCGAAGAGGATAGAAGGCAAGCAGTTTTTGCTGAATGAATAGTTTAATGAATAGCCTGTCAGGAAGAAAAGATGATGTGTACAAAAGGGGCAAAAATCTTGGAGCGCTTGATTAGTCTTGACACTGCCTGCAAGCAGGTTCTTGGAAAAGGCACTCGAAGAGGCTTTCGGACAGATAGAGGTTGGGCACAACGAGAAAAATCTCCGTAGACCAAGGTTTTGCTGATCCCTCTGAAATATTGTGAAATCTAGCGAAATTGTGTAAGTGTTTCATTCACAACATTTGAATACTTTGGATATGCACTGAAGACGTTCCGGTCAGGATCCAAACCAGGTAATGCAAGAGGTGCGCCGTTGAGCTTTATGGTGGGCCTCCACGTAGGACCCATGATGAAATTGTTCACCACCAGACGGAAATGCATAACAGGATTGTGGTTCTCAGACAATCACTCACTGTTTGCAAATGGACATTGCCAATATGCCACAATGCAGTATTTTCATTATTTTCATATCAACCAATGCGAAATTCTTTGCAGCCACCAAAAAAGTCTATCTGGAAGATCTCCCCATGCTTCTCACGCGAAGTGATTGTGAAAGAAATTCATCAGTATCATCAGTATCAACATGTATCAAGCCATCCAGGCACAGTTGGCCCGGAAACATCAGCATAAACGATCTGATTTCCGTGTGACTGTTGCAGGCTGCAGAGCAGCTGCGTTCAGAGTGTCGTAGCGAGGAGAGTGTATCCACAGCCTTGGAGGCAGCGGCATCCTGCGGCATCCTGCGGCCATGGAGATGACAGTTATGAGTTCATCCCCCTGACTTTATGGCATCAAAACTCTGGACATCTCTAAAAACCATATTCATTAATTAATCATATTATAGTATCATATTAGTTACATGATTCACATATATATATATATATGGGTATGGGTCAATACCTATAGATACATTACTATAGTGGGATGAACATCCATAAATCCCAGCTATTTTGATGTGAACTACAGGGGGATAGGTATATTCACATGATGTTGGGATTGGGAGCTTGAATGCAAATTGTTCCATGCCGTAAACATCCGTAAACTGTTGAGGTCATAGATCGTTGCTGTGACGACCCAGATTGCGCACGCAATGCTGAGAAGTTCCTTGGTTGGCGTAGTGGAAGTGGTTCCTCGTTTTTTTCACGGCAAGAAAGTCGGCACAGTAAATCCCAGTAAGCTGAGGCACTGATTTCGTTTTCCTGCTCCATATTTTCCTGGTTTTCCTGTTTATCCCTGTTTCGTGTTTGATCATGTCATGGAAACGAAGCGTAGTCTACAGTCGAGTCGCTGACTGAGACGACTGAGCCTCCCAAAAAAAATCGAGAGTCTGGAAGAAGTTCTGGATGTGTAATTTTCTAGTTTCAACTTGGCGATCCAAGTCTGATCTGTCTGAAGGTTAGATGTTCTGCAAGCGCTGCTGGACCTGCTCCCAGCCTATTCGCCCGCAACTGAGATGCGGATCCAAAGATACGAGAAATACGAGAAATCTTTGGCAATCCACTCAATCCACGTGATGGATCCACAACGGTGACCAACAAATATCAACAAATCCAGCGTCAGGGGCGCAGTCAGAAACAGGACTGTCCAAAGTGGTGCTACGGGCCCGGCCTTGTGGGCCTTGTGGGCTTTGTGGGCTTTGTGCGCGGGGCCGTGTGGTGAAAGATTCATTGCCATTCTGAGTTGCCAGTCAGTCAATGTGTGATTCGGTCAGGACTTTCGAGATTCTGGCCCTGCTGTTTTCAAACAATCCAAATATCCAGGCCAGGAATCCAAGTGATTTCCCTGCAAGAGTTGTTTTATGTTGTGTTCTCAAAGTGGAAGGTGCCACAGTTACATGGTTTGATGTCATACTGTTGCTGCATATACAGATCCTCACTATCAGGGATTGTGCGTGGTGGTAGTTGCAGTATGTTGCAGTGACAGTACATCTTCCTACACTGATGAACCATTCGCTGAGCTAGCGCTCGTCGATGCTGCAGGCTGCTGGCATGAAGCGTGGATCTTTGAACATTTTTTTGCAGATTGCTGAGGTGCTAGCAACAGTTTGTTACTCTTTTCTCATTGACAGCGATGCACAGTTTCGAAATTTCACTGAAATGTTCTAAATTGTCAAGGAAATAGAATCATCAACACGTATTGATTGTCCGCCATGTTTGATTTCTCATATATGATCATGTATGTACATTGTATGTAAATTGTATGTATATTGCATGTACTATGTTCAATTTGTTTGCTCTTTTCCAGCAACTGGGCGATATCACTGCAGGAGAGCAGCGTAGGCTCCGATGACCGATCCAAGAGCTTTCGTGCCCTCGTGGCGCTTGTGAGGAACGTCCAGGATCGTCTGGCTCTTTGCAGACGAATGGTGTCGAGGTGTTTCTGGTAGAGAATTCATGAGAAACAGCAAGCAAAACGTTGTGACAACACTCTTTGGGTTCTCAGTTTGACACAGGAGTTTGAGAAATTTATGCTTGAACAAGAAGCTGCTCGTCAACTTTTGCTCGCCTGTCTGAGTCCAGAGGAGTCTTTGCCGCTGCTAATTTCCCTGCACGGTGTAAAGAGCCTTTGGTTTGACTACCCTCTGGTAATTTAACGTAGCTATTGAAAATGGCCATTAATAGTGGATTTACCCATAAAATATGGTGATTTTCCATAGTTATGTTAGTTAGTGTAAATGTCAAAAAATGTCAAAAAGTGCAAAAAGTGCAAAAGCTCACGACATACCAACCTTTTCCTCTTGGAGTCTCTGTGAATCTGTTGGATGCTTGTGACTGCGACTGCTGGTGTATCCTTGCACCGTGAAGGAGCTGCCAGGCACAAGAGAGAAGGCGCACTGAGCTGATCAACAAGATGTTTGATGATTCAATGATAATGATGGCTCCTGGACTTTGGGCAATGGATGAATTCGATTGAATTCGCGTAATTCGAGAAGAAACATCTCAAGCACAGCTTCCATTTGAGGCAACTTCCTTTGTTCGCTCCCTCGCCGAAAGCGGCAGCTTGCAAGAGGAGGCGACCTACATCATTTGTGCAGTTCATCGCTGTGTGTCTGTGTGGGTGGGTGTGTATGTCTTGGTTTTTATGTTTTGCAGACAATTGAGACATAGAATGGCTGATTCATCCCGGCCATTCAAGACCAAAGTCTGTATATGATGTATAAAGCAGTGTTACGATGTCATGAAACCATGATGAAAAAACAATCTCTGGTCATCTCTGGTCATCTCTGGTCACTGTTTGATGCCAGAATGTTGAGCCATTGGTTGCCGCTATCTCCAAGCTCTTCGGCCATTTGGAGGACCGATTTGGAGGATTTGGAGGGTTTGGTACACAAATATTATGTGATGGAGAAATATGGAGAATATATTATGATATGATATGACAAAATATGACACAATGCGATATCATATGATGTATTGACAGCATTGGACAGCTCCATCCTTTCATGGCATTCCCTTTTCTTTGTTTTCAGCAGAGCCTAAAATACAGTTCTTCCCGCGGCAGATGGCACTTGATTTTCTTTGCATTGACATAACATGCAGCATGGAATGCTGTGCCAACGGTTGGACAAGGACACTGGTATCCAGTACAAGGACTGATCTCGACTGATCATTTCTTGTTTGTGGATTGATCATGTTGAACTGCCACACTTCAAGTGCTGAATGATTGGCTGCTAAATGCGTTTTATTGTACAAAAAGAACACGACATGATGCCACGCCACACTTCAATCAAGACTATGAAAGCTTGTACTGGTGGCGAGGGTAGCGACTGTTTCAGGGTCGAGCTGCAACAAAAGGAGACCCTGAGCTCGTGTGCCTTGCAGCTCGCTACAAGCTTTAAGGTTCGCCAATCCATAGCCACGGTTCAAAAGCGTAGGCAAACTATAATGTATAAATTACGGATTTTATATGATTTTATGATTACTGTATATGTTTACATATGTTTACCTAATTGCAATTATTGACATATGTTTAAATCATTCATATAGAATATGTGAGCAATCTCCGCAGTCAAAGCCTTGTAGCGGAGCTTTGGACTCATTAGTTGCCTTGTGCCTATGTGGAACGGTTTAGCAGGCGCAGTGCGGCGGGTTGCAGGCAGCAGCAGGACTCTCAGAACTCCAAGTTGGATTCCATTGAAGGTTGCTGAAGGTTAATGATTTGTATCATGAGTGTGCACCCTGCGCAAAGTGTGTTGACAAGTGGTGTAATTATTTTCAAGTATTCGCATTGAATCTAATATACTAATATACTCTTTTGAAATCCTTGGATGTTACATTTGATGCCGATTGTGACTGTAGCATGTTTCCGGTTTGGTATCCTTACCTCTTTTGCCAGCGCGCGGGTACAAAGAAGGTATGCACAGTAGCATACAGCCCTGACTTGCAAGATTGAACGCAAGGTTGGCATGAATCCTTATAAATCGTAGTCTTGTACCTTTCAATTGAAAATTCGGAAAGCAGTTTGAAAACGACTCTCATAAAGTTTTGTTTGGATTTGTCTGGTCTTGAGGTGGAAGGGCGGATTGCAGAGCTGCAAGCATCCAAGGATCCAGAGGCTCTTTGTTGAAGCTTACACTGGCTTGAAAGATCTTGAAAGAGCAAGGCAAACGCAGAGAACGGAAATCATCCGAGTCTTGGCTCACAATGATCCCCAAAGACTTAGATGATCTAGATGCAAATGTCAGATGAAGCGCTATCAAGGCTGAATGCAGAGAGAAGCACATAATAAAGATATGTAAAGATGGTAAAGGCGGTTCATTCCAGTTCGAAAGTCAAATATATAAGTAGCATTTTATTAGCTGTTTATAGATGAAGTACTCTCATTAGGAAGTACATGTTGTGCAGTAATGCATCATTTGCATTCCTGCTATACAACGAAGTAACCAGGAAAGGCCAATGCTTTAGTCATGTTACAGACTGTTTTACGAATTAATGTCCAAGATTGTCCAAGCAGTTTTGATGGCATGGATTCTCATTGAATCCGGAAAAAAGGAAAAGTCTACAACGCATCCAATAATCTATGAAATCAAAGTCGGCTGATGCACAGGCCGACAATGAGATGGAGTCCCTGAAGCATTGTTCAGCTGCTCTGAAGGCGTAGGTGAATTGTGCTCGCTTAGATATTGCAGATGAACGTGAAAACCGTTAGAACACCATTAAATACAATTGTAGGTCATTGTAAGTGGTCTAGGGACTGCTGATTTTCTCGAAGACACTCAGCGTGCAGTGTACAGCTGCCAGCACGCCGTGTGCATGAAATAGCACCTTTGACTGCAGAGTCAACAGAAACCGGAAAAGGCGAGACTGCTGGAAAGAAATGCCGCCAGCTGACAGAGCTTTGCGAACGCATTGTTTGCGGGAAGTTGTCGACGGCAGGTGCTAGAAGTCTGAAGATGTTTGAATTCCAAGCTACTTTGTGATCTTTGTGTTTACGTTGCCGTGTTATGTTCATGTTCGAGCAAATCCAACCCTGAGGTGCTTCCCTGGCCAGTTCGCTCCTTTCAAGAACACACCTCGGTGCTATCCATGTCCAGCAGGAGCATCGTCACTAGCCTAGATGGGCCTAGATGTGTGGCAGACTCTCTCTGCTTGCTTTCTTGCAGTGTCGAGCTCAAGTTGGGCATTTGAACATATTTGAAAGTCGTTCCCTGTTCCCAACAGCTCATGCTCCTGTTTGAATCACGTGCCTTGCAAGGGTCCATCTCAGGTGTCCAGACTTTGGCACGACTACTCCGTCTGTCTGGCAAGCATTAGCGCCGTTAGCGCACGTTTGCTTAGATTCTTTGGGTCCCTCGCAGCTTCGTGAGCGATCAGGTATTCAACATGTATTCAACAATTGTTATGGTAGGGACTTCCGGTGCTGCAAGGAGGTGATCTCCCGCCAGGTTCATTTGCCCTCCCGGCACCTTCCGTGAGCCGCAAAGAGCTCAGCATGCTGCACTCGCTTTCTTTTGGTTGTGAAATGTTGTGAACTTGCATCACCTTGCATCATCTTGCATCATCTTGCATCATCTTGCATCCAAAACAATAGCGTTACACAATATAGAACCTGGTTTCAAGCTGTGAGCGGTGCCGGTTGGATATTTTCTGGAGACACAGACCAGAAATCAAGGATGTATTGATTTGGTTTTTGTTTTGCATGTGGTTTTGGCATCATGGTTTGCGATGCTTTCTTTTCTTACTCAGATTCTCCATGCCGTCATTTTGCTGTTGGTGTTTAGATGTGTTTAGCATGTTTAGCACTCTTGTAACAATCCATGTGTATATATTGCCATGTTGGTAGTTTCTATGTATTGACAGCCTGTGAAAATGGTTCCTGTACACTGGTGCTAAAAGTTTCCTGGACTGTGGGAAAGGATTGCTATTTATTTTTGGATTTTTTTTCACGGCAGGTTTTGGATTTTTGGGGGGGGTTCCTAGTTCTATGCTTTCCTGTTTCTCTGATTTTCTGCGTCTATGCTTCTCTGCTTTTCCTGCTTCTCTGCTTTTCCTGCTTCTCTGCTTTTCTGCTTCTCTGCCTTTTGCTTTCCCTGCTTTTCTGCTTTTTGCTTTTCCTGCTTCTTTGCCTTGCTGCTTCTCTGTTTTCCCTGCTTCTTTGCTTTTGTACTTCTGTGCCTTTCTACTTCTACTATTCTACTTTTCTTTTCTTCAGTCATGTGTTCTTGCTGCTCCACTTCCTGCTCCTTTGCTTCTTTGCTTCCTGTCTTTACTGTATCTTTGTTTTTCATGTTCTTTTGCTTTATTCTGTTCTGTTTGTATCCGAAATGAAACCCTAGAGAGACCCTAGGTGAAACCCAAAGAAACCCTAAAGAAATCCTGATAAGAAACCCTACATGAAGCCCTAAATGAACCCTAAAGAAACCATAAATGAACCCTAAAGAAACCATAAATTGATCCTAAAGAAACCATAAATGAAACCCTAAAGAAACTTTAGATGACACCCTAAATGAAATCCCAAAGAAACCTTAAACAAAACTTTGAAAAAAGAAACTAAATGAAACCTTAACTGACACCTTAGCTGAAACCCTAAATTCACACCCTAAAGAAATCCTAAATGAAACCCTAAATTGAAACCCTAAATGAAACCCTAAAGAAACCCTAAATGAAACCCTAAAGAAACCCTAAAGAAACCCTAAATGACACCCTAAATGAAACCCTAAAGGAACCCTAAAGGAACCCACTTGAACTTTTAGAAATCGTGAAAAGAAATCCTGATAAGAAACCCTGGAATGAAGCCCTAAAGAAAGCTTAAATGAACTCCTGAATGAAACCCTAAATTGAAGCCCTAAATTGAAACCGTAAAGAAACCTTAAATGAGAGCCTAAATGAAACCCAAACTGAAACCCTAAATGAAACCCTAAATGAAACCCTAACTGAAACCCTAAAGAAGCCCTAAAGAAAACCATTTGAACGTTTAGAACTCCTGATAAGAAACCCTGATAAGAGACCCTACATGAAACCGGAAAAAAACCTAAATGGAACTCTAAAGAAACCCTAAAATGAAACCGTAAAGAAACCCTAAATGAAAGCCCAAATGAAACCCTAAAGAAACCCGAAATGAAACCCTAAATGAAACCCCGAATGAAGCCTTAAATAAAACCTTAAATGAAACCCTTAATGAAACCTTAAATGAAACCCTAAATGAAAGCCTAAAGAACCCTCAAGAGACCCACATAAACGTTTGAAGCACCAAAATATAGCAAATACCATACAAATGAGAGGTTGAAATGCCAAAATATGACAAATACCATGCAAAATGGAAGGCAAACGTGGCCAGATGTAGCAAATACCATGCAAAATGCAAAGTGACCATGCCAAAATGTAGCAAATACCATGCAAAATGACAGGTTCTAGTTACAAACTGTTGCAAATACAAGGCAAATGGTACCGGGAAAGACAGCCAAAAAAAACAAAACCTGAGGCAAAAAAACAAAAACTATTCTACACCCTTTTAAGGCTGAAGCCAAGTAATTATCAATCATGATCAGTCTTATATCTCTCAAACCAAGTATTTTCCCGAAGGCTTACCAAACCTCCCTATAGAATATTATAGAATCAGGGGGTCCTCCACCCCAAATGGTTCAATGAAGTTCATCCAATTTGAATTTGACCTTCAAATCCCATGGATCTGATTTTCAAATCTACTTTTCAAAGCCGATTTCCTAATAGCCTCTGGTAAACTAACATAGCTATGGTATAGATGGCCCATTGAAATAGATGGTTTACCTATTAAAAATGGTGATTTTCCATAGTTATGTGGCTGTTTACCAGGCCGGGTAGCTCTGAGGTCATTGGGCAATGGCTCTCAGAGCACGATCTCCTGTGAGCCCTGCGCAGCGGGCACTTGGCCGGGATGCCCAGCCAAAACTGTGGGATTTGGTGACCCCGTTGCTCTAAAACGATTTGAAACGATGTTATACATATGGGTATGTCTGAAAATGGGGTATACCATGGTATACCCCCAATGAAATAGCCATTTAGTAGGGATAATGATCATTAACCATTGGGTGTAGGGGTACACTATTTTCAGACAAACCCATTTGAAACGATGTTATACATATAATACACATTATGAAATGTTAAAGCATTGAGATTTATTGAGAATGATTCTCAGAATGATTGATATAATATTCTGTACGTTGCAACGAACCCAACTGGCCTGAAGGATTTGAAACAAACAAGCCACCTCACGGGCCAAATCCAGTGCAGGTCGCACTACGAGTGGTCAATGGGTTGAACATGTTGAACAGCTGGCTCATCAGAGATCAAGCAATATCAAGTATTCAATGATTGCAAAATCTCCGCCACCAGTAGAGCACAGGCACTTAAAACGGCGGATTTGCTGATGAAATATATGAAATGAAGGGTAGTTTGCATCCCTTCATTTGAATGAATTTCCTGTTTTGTTCACTGTGTCTATATATTCCGGACCTGCGGACTACCTATACAATAAGTTGTAACGCAGTGTCCGAGGGCAAACATTCATTGACTTTCCTGAAAGTGTGATCAACCTGGACATACTTGGACCCTGTGTTGGCAGACCCGAGGGAAATGCTACGCTTGGCACGGCCTGCGCCATGGAAAACTCGCTGCTGGCTTCGATGTGGAACTGCCGTCCTGTCCACGAAGACCCAGCCCGGAAGCGCCGGAAGGCCCGATCGAGATGACGGGCCTGGTTTCGTTGCAGCTTGGAAGGCCTGCCGTGGGGAAGAGCGGCGGCAACTGGCAGTGATTTCTGTTTCCGGTGCTGCTTTGAACCTGGGTTTTGGTGTCGTTATCCCAGCATTGCCAGTCCTTTCACAAGAGTTGGGCTTTGGAGCAACTGGAGTGGGGCTTTTGCTGGCTGCCCCAAGCCTAGCAAGGGTGGTGTGCAATCTCCCAGCTGGTGCTTTGGTGGACAGCTTTGGCCGAGTTCCTTGCATGATCATCGGCGAGATGTTTGCTGCCCTGGGGTGTTTGGGTACGGGACTAGCTACGTCTCTCAGTACGATGCTGCCAGTGCGCTTCATGGGCGGGAGCGGCGGAGCCCTCGCCGCAGCCGGCTCGGCAGCCTACTTGGCAGACCTGACGGAGAGGCCACACCTGATCCTCTGATTGCAGGAATGAATGTTGCGTTCTGAGATCACCTTGTGCAACTTATTATATGAATGAATATAATTAATTCTGATGATCAGATGCCTGAGTTTTGTTGGAACATGCTGTTTAAATTGTGTTTGATAGGCTGTGCGATCTCTTCTGTGTTTGCGACACTTCACATTAGGTTGCATCATGTAAAATCGAACTGTTGATTCCATGTCCCTACCAAGGAAGCCAATGCGCGGCACCATTTTGGGTGCACAGGGTGGCCTAGTAGCAGCGGCCTATGTCGTAGGCCCAGCGATTGGTGGAGCTTTGACACACTTCTATGGTGCTCAGACTGCATACTGTTCAGTGGCAGCGCTCATTGGAGTTTGTGGAGCTGCGTATGCAACCCTTCCAGAAACCAGGCCTAAAGAACAGTCGACTTCTTTCCGTCTGGCAGCCGCTGCCAAGGATTGGCAACATTTGTTGCAAGATCGCCGACAGCAAGCGCTTTTTGCTGCAAATTTAGCCCTGTTCATGAACTACTCTGCTATGGTGACAGTTATGCCTTTGCATGCCTATCACCTCTTTGCAATTGGAGCTGGAGAGATTGGAGCCCTATTCTCGGTGGGTTCTGCTGTTGGAATACTGTTGGCTCCGGTCATAGGTACCTTGTCAGATAGATATGGGCGAACACCTTTGGTGGCTCCATTCGCAGTCCTGTGCGGAATTGGCTGTTGTGGTGTGGCCATGAGTCATAGCTGGGAAGTTTTCTTGGCATTTTACATGATGTGGTCAGTTGGGGAAGCAGCTTTGGCACCACTACTGAGTGCTTATGCTGCAGATATCGCACCCAAAGAACATGTCGGCTCCGCAATGTCGTTGAGTCGACAAGCAGGAGACTTGGTCTCCTTTGTAGCACCACCGTTGCTGGGTTTTATGTACGATACTTCTCCTGGACATGCCGCCATGTCTCTGACCAGTTTCATGACAATTCTGGGAGCTGCCACTTTCTGGAATCGGACGAAGCGGATGCGGACAGGATGAAGCTGTTGCTGACATGAAAAGCTCGAGCCCGGCAGACTTCAGACTTCTGTTGTTCCCAAGAGATTCTCATAAATGCGATTGCTGCAGTATGCTTCAGGATTAAAGATTGTCATATAATATAATATAGATAGATGTTTCATCATGTTTATCAGTTTCATTTCCAACAATTATGCATGGTAGCCAATGATAGCGTGGTACTTCATCAATACGCATTTGACTCGAACAACTCAGACAAGATAGTTTGTATAATCATGTATAATCAGAGAATAATGTATGACCATATAATCAACAAATACTGCTGTAGTTGTTCAATTGCCTTGTCTAATATGCCGCTTTGGGGTATCCCGCGACCGACAAAGCCATGACGGCCAGGTCTCCCTGGCGTGGCACACCGGACTTCTCCTCTTGCGAGCCGTGCCCAGAGGGCAGAGTCAGAGAGCTCAGAACATCGGCAAAACATAGGAATATCATGGAATATCATGAAAATATCATGAAAATATGGGAATATAATGAGAAACCATGATTTCTTATTGCCATGATTATCTCAGAATTGATCTATAGGAAAATCCACAGGCAAGTCGACAGGAAAATCCGCAGGAAAATTCATAGATGTTTGGATGGTAAGAATCCTCGTTGCCTTTGGCTTTTCCCTTGAATTAATCCATCCAGTGACATTTTGCAACCCCAAAAAAAATCGCAGGGAATTTCCTGGTATCATGCTTGACGCTGAACTGTTGACAAGATGTGGAAGCTGAGGTGTGCCCGGTTGGAACTGGTAACGTCTCTCAGGGAACCATTTGTCAGACGCCCAGTGCTGTAATTTGAAGCTCGCTTAGCAGCATTGGAAATAAGCACACAAACCAACAGAAGACACACTTCAAGAATGCGAATCCAAACAGATCCTACCCTGGCTTTCAAGGTCCAGAGGGCCATATTTGCAGCGAGGGAACAACGTGGGGAACATAGCGGGACTAGCGGGGCTGTCAAAGAGGGATCCATACCGTACCAGGGAAGGGCAGCATGCCAAAGCTCCTTACTGACTACGCGTCCCGTCAGTCATATGGGCATAGCTGGAGAAGTAATTGTTCACAGATCTAATTACTGTACAATTTTCTGTTACTGGAACCTCTTTCTGTCTTGAATCTAATTGTGCTTTGATGCGATCCTTGGATCATCTTGGATCTGGATGGATCTTGTCTTTACTTTGCTGATCTCAGCCATAATTAGTGGTCTGAAGTGGGCCGTCGCCGCGTCAGTGTCACCTTGCCATGGCTGATGGCATCGGAGAGGCAGTCATTGGCAGTTGGGCCGCCAGGTGTCGAAAAGTGCCTGGAACGCTGGTCCTGACAGCAACGAGGCTGATTCATCTTGCGAACGCTGCAGGAACGAACGATGCAGGAACCGGACAAACCGCAATTGACCTCACTGGAGTGAAATTTGAACTCACCAAGAAACGACCTGGCTTTGACCAAGCCTTGGTGCGACTGTCAAACCTTTCCGAGCATTTGGGTGGCAGACTTGTAATTGAATTCATAGATATCATAGATGATCAAACCAAGGATCAACAAGGTCAGACTTCCGTGACTTCGCAGAAATCGAATCAGAAATGGTCAAATCTCCGGGAGTTTTCAGAGTTGATGCAGGGCCTACAAGCCAAGGAAGGCAAGGAAGGCAAAGACAGGGAGGCTGAACAGGCTGAGAGCTCCCTAGCAAAGATACACTCAGTGATGTCGTCAGAGCTCAGTAAGCAGTACGTCTATTTAGTAAAGCAGGCAGCTGTGATGACGCCTGAGAAGTTCATAGAGATTCATTCCAGGGAGATCGCAGAAAATTCTCCACTACCTGAAGCTCCTTCACTGGACTTGGCCCCCTTGCGAGTTGTTGCAGCTGCACAGCGCAATCAGCGAGAAACAGGAAGGGTCAGCCAGGTATCTGAAGCTGACAAGGCTGCAATATTCAAAGAGCTTCCCGCATTGAGTCAACTGTTCAGTGCTGCAGTCCCATCAATGATGACGGAGCCTCAATTCTGGGAGCGCTGTTTGAAGAGTCGCTACTTCTTGAGTGCTGCTGGACACCAAGTGCCTCATGCTCATCCTGAAGATCGGCTCTTCGACTCATTGCCCATGCCAGTCAAACCTGACCTCAAGGACAAGGATCGTGGGCCTGGGCATCCTGAAGCCGACCTCACAGGAGAGTTTGAGCGTGATAAGCTGACAGATAAGCTGAACCAACGAAGTTCTGCCAGTTCTGCCAATCTCATCAGCCGTTTGAATGAACGCAGTGCAGGCATTCTGTCACAGGAGGCCAGATCTCAGACAGAGGATAAACTTGCAGTGCACGTGGAAAAGAGACGTGCAATGCTCCGAAATGCGGCGCAAACATTTCAAGATGACTTGGCTGCAGAGCCGGGCATTTCAAGAGCCAAGCCGCAACGGCTACAGCTAAAGCCAGAGGCTGGCTCTTTACTGCCACAAAAACGGACAGAGGAAAGTGACCGATCAACTTTGAAGCCGTTGAAGCGCCAAAATTTGACGCGCGCGCCAAGCGGCGGAAGCATTTCTGAATCCGGAGCCAGATGGGTCTTGAAGTCATCGCTGGATGAATTGTTGAAGGCTGAACGGCTCACTGAGACAGAGAACGCGAAGGCTGAGTCTGCTCAGGTTGCAGGGGCGATGGCTTTGCTTCAGCACATTTGGTCCAGCAGGTGCACCGAGGCGGATCTTCGCGCGAAGTTGTGTCAAGAAGCTAAGAGGCTTCTCAATGACCTTGAGAAAGTTGAGAAAGACAAAGTGACTTCGGAAACGGCACGGATGGCACGGTCACTGCTTCCGTCCCTGCGCCGGGCAGTGGCATTGGTTGAGACGTGGCAACCTTTCGACCAAGAAAAAAGATGTGGTGAAATCGTCTAGAGTCTACTGCCTGTAGAAGTATCAGCTCCAACTTTGATCTGTTATTTTGGGGACAGAGTTCGTCTATGTCTATGTTTTGCTGCAGTTTTCAAATGTGTCTTGTGCTGAGATTGAGTCGTTGCTTGCTCCTACTGGTTTTGCATGGTTTTGCAACTTTCACAGTGAAAGTTGGGAAAGTTGGTCGTTCAATGTCTTTCATATGGCTCATCCGAGCATCTTTGCTCATTTTGCTTGTGCTTTGTGTAGAGGCCTGAAGAGCAGACTGATGTACGTTGCTATGACGGTTTCTTCTGTCGCTCCTCCACAACGTTGGGGACGCAAGTGATTCGGGTTCAGACCAGGAAGGGCGGTTTGTTGCGACTGAATGCATACCGGAGATTATGTCACATCCAAACATAATTCGAAATGTCATGGCGAAAGAAATGGTGTGAGTTGAAGCATTCTGGAAGGACTACACTTGCCACGATTCATGTCCCTTGTTTATGAAAACGAAGCAGGAAGAATAATGAAGAATACAGAATACACAAAAATACATATTTAAGAAGAGAATCCCAGCAAAGGTGAAGGTGCTTTGGGGCGTCATCTAGTCCGCACCTTGTGAACATATGGCAACAGTAATTACTGGTAGCGCTATCATGAAAGGATCACCTATCCTGATTGCTTGGCTCAATGCACAGGACAAGCAAACAAACAGCCTTTCTGTAGACGTCCATGTGACTCAAGATCACATCTTTATCGCAGCTCCTCATTTGGCACACGACTAGATTGACTAGATGACTAGATGTATGAAAATCAGCAGAGAAATTGGACAGCCACACTGTAGAGTATCACGATTTTTGTCGAGAACTTCTTATCACACGTGAAGGCTCCTCGCTTAAAGCGATGGCGGAAGCCAAGGAGGGTGATTCGAGACCCAGCTAAAATCAGACACCGGCTGACAAGCGGAAACTGATGTAGTCAATATCCGATCGTCTAAATAGTCTCAACGCACTAGCGACACGACTTTCCGTTCATTTTAGAGGCATAAATTTGTGTGCCTCTGCTGGCATGCATCTATGCAATCAATATTTGAGTTTATTTGAACATAAACTTATAGAATATGTACATTATATACGTATATATATATTATACATATTATACAGTATATGTACATATATGATAATATATGTACGTATAATTACGTGTATATATATACATACACTCATACATTAATTCTGTAAGTTGCCACTTGCTAAAATTTGGTTGCCGTTTCGCAAAGCGCTTCAAGCATGCGCTGTGAAGACTTGTGAAGGTGTTGTCATCAGCATCGCCATCACCACTACCACCAGCATCAGCATCATCATCATCATCATCATCATCATTGTGTTGCATGTGTTTGCTGTGTCTTCAGCCTCGGCCTCTTCATTTTTGTTGGCCAGCCTCAGCCCATCCTTTACCATCTCTACCGGACCAAGTCCTATTCGCCCTATTCCCTTTCAAGCATCAGATATCAGCGGCGTATTGGGTCGACAAATCGTGAGATTGATCAGATTTGATCAGGATCATCGAGATCTTCAAGAAGTTCGACAAAAATAATGATGGAGTCATTTCAAAGCAGGCAGGTGCTGGATAATCTGGATGGCTAAGACCGAGAATCACTTGTTATTAGATTTATTAGAGCACAATCTCTAAGCATGCGAAGCTGCTCTGACTTACTTGAGGTAAGAGCAGGTATTCTCAATGTCTCACAACGCAAATGCAAAGTTGATTACGCCGGTCAAGCCAAGTGTGTTGCTTCCAGTGATGTGAACGTCGGAGTTCAACAAGCAAATGTCTTCGGTGTCCACAATTCACCGTGCAAAGAGTTTTTGTTGACAAGTTACTTACAAGGAAAAGATAGGAAAAGTGTATCCTTTTCTGGCATTGTTTCTACATTCTCCTTCGCTTTCCATCATCCAGTCAGATTTTCATGATGTCCATGGTTCATCATAGTATATAATAGTATATGAATGTATATCAGCGTAATTTATGACAAGTGACCAGTGTTTGTTTGGCGTGAGCTCCTGGCGCAGGAGCTCACTGAACTCCTCAACGCCCTGGGTCCTGACATGTTCTCAGCAGAAGCTTGGCCCTAACATAGCTCGGTGCGGGATACAATGGGATACCATGGAACATTTTGGAACTTTGGAAGGCAAGGTACAGTTCAGTACAACCAAACGGAAAAGATAGGGAAGTGAAATCTGCAAGTGGCCAAAGCATGCCAAACCAACACACTGCCAGGTCCGAGGTGAGTGTTCCTGCAGCATGTGGCCCCTGCATGGTTTGGCAGTTTGTAGGTCTGATTGAGCCCTTGTACATAGCATATCAAAACGTGTAATATTCTTTAGGACTGATGAGATTGCTGAGATTGATGAGATTGATCAGCGCGCTGTTGTCCTTGACAGCTGCCATACGGCCCATGCAAGGCACGGATCAGGCGGCCAGTCACCGGCTCCAGCCGGGCAATCAGCTTTGCTGCTGCCATAAGACCATGGCCCCTGTAGAGATCTGTGTGAAGGACACAGCGGTCTTTGCGAAGGTGGACTTCAAAGACGGTTTCGCACAGAAACCCCAATGGTCCAACGGCTCTATCACAGTCCACGAAACCTGGGAATATCACGATGAGATTCTTCAGGAGGACACATGGACCAAGTATTTTCAGTTGCAATATCTGGGTGAGCTTGAGGCACCCACAGGCCTTGGCTTGGGCAATCCGAAATTTATGGATTTTTACTACACAGAGTATAAACATGAGGAAAAGAAGGGAAGAAATGCAAAGGGTGCAGACACCTTTAACCTTTGCACTGATCGAAAGCACGAATGCTCCTGTGAGTTCTACGATGGGAAGGAGCTCAAGGACTGCTTGGAGAATCGAGTAGAGCATTGCTCTAGCACGTTCGACTGCAAGGAATGGATGAAGGTCAACAAGTGCACCCTTTCGACAGAGCAGACCATGAAACTCATGCATAAGAATTCCAACATGCGCATTGGAACTTGCTTTGACAAGAAGCAGCTGAAGACTCGAATGATGATGGCCCAGTGCCCTGATGGCTATGAGAAATGTGATTGCAACAACAAGTGCTGATGACATCGCAAACCTGCAGAAACCTTCAGAAACGGTCAATAACCGTCAGCTTGCAGTGGCCCTTCAGATGGGATCCCTTTCCATGGAGGGCGCTGAGATGTGCTCAAGACGACAGGGCAGCGCGTGCTTGGGAGAAAAACAAACCTTCTGGGTTGCCAAGAACTTTTGATAACTTTTGTGGATTCGTGCAGCATTGTTTGCTCTTCAATATGTGTATAATTTATATTGATTGATTATGATGATTGGATGTGATTCGACATTTTTATACGTGGGCCTTGCCCTGATATTGAAGCACCAGAGCTGTCCTGATTTGTCAGCTGCAAGGATTCTTTGGAAAGCCTCCTGTCAGCGATGGACTCCAACAATGATGGAAAAGTTCTGAGCTTAGTGATATCAGCTGCTGCGTTGACAATCTTAGGCACAGTGACATACAGTGGCACAGTGTCGCAATTCTTGGTGCCAAAGACACCGAGCCTTTTTGCCTTACCAATCTGGCCGTCGAGGTCCAATATGCAGAGTTTGTTCACTGGCTGACCGGAGATGAAGATGTTGCTGAGGCCAGTGCAACAGTGCAACAGTGCAACTGGAAACAACAGGAAGCAGTGAAGATCAGTAAAGCATAGTAAAGCTATATAAGTCTAAAGTCTAAAGCAAATGCTAAAGCTACTTGATGCTACTTGCATGTCCGTAACAGCTACGTGCATGTTGATTTTGCCTTTTCAAGATTGGCATGTCAGGAAGCTTTGACGTTGTGAGTTTCAATTGTTGTGACTTGTGTGGTTTGAAACTAGAGCGCCTTCATTGGCTCATTGGCTGTTAAGACATGTTAAGACAACTGTTCGGCGAGGCCATCAAAGTTTGGGACGTACGGATCTGAGTTCTTCTGAGTCGAGCATTTTTTACCACAAGTTGCCGCAAGCACTCAGCGACCTTAAACCCAGATGTGCAGGACCAAGTAGTTGCAGAGAAGAGCAACTCTAAATTGCCCAAAAATTAGAGGTATGCCGATGCACCTCCTCTCTCTCCATCTCTATCTTCTATTTTCTGCAGCCTTGGCTGGTCTATGCTAATTTTATCTTTTGAATTTGAAGTTGTTTTTGTAAAATGTGTAAGTGTAAGTGTTTGTAAACGTGACGTTGCAAGTGTGGTATATGCGTTGTCTACGTGGATGAGTGTTGTGGTCGTCTAGGTTGCAATGCCGGGCAAGAACTTGCCCAAGAGTGCTGTGGCACGATTGGATGCCATCATCGGAATGTGGCTTGGCACGAAGCTCTTGCGGATCCGGCGGATCGACAGCGTTACATCATGTTACATCCTCATCCTCAGATCCTCGAACCCTGCCATCAAAAAAAAGCATTTCATCTTCACCCGCGCGTCAAAATGTGTCAGATGTTTGGAGGAGGTTGAGCTACTCAGGAAATCATGAATCTTGTAGGTCTTTGAGCTGAAAACCGCACACTTCTTGCAAACTGCTTGTGCACAGAAGTTGAAACGAAAGGTCACCGCATTTGTCTGGCAACATGACTTACCAGGAGGCTTAGACCTCAGAGGGTGGACCAAGCCTATCAGAACGGAGTTCAAAGCAGAAGCAAATGAACCAACAGTGGCTGCTGCAAATTGTTCAAGCGTAGCCACTGGAGGCACGTAAGGAACTGGAGAAAGGTGAAGAGGACTGACGAAGTTTGTTGAGTTTGTTGGCAGTTTGGTTGTGTTCCTTGTGACGGTCCCAGTATGTCCCAGTATCATGCTGCCAAAGTCACTTTCGCTATGATGTTTTTTTCAACTGCGATATCTTCTAAGAAGGTTCCGGCTGTTGACATTGACATGCTTGAGATTGAGTTGCAACTTGAAAGATTTGAGTACAGCTTCCAAACTTCCATGATGATCGAAGCAGTTTCAGTGCCATGAGAGGAAAGCGCATTTCTGCACCTTCCTCAATCGTCAGTGTTCAATGCATACCTAGGGCTACATGGGATGCACCAACAGATACTTGTATAGTATCTTGTGAAATATGTTTTTAATTATGGGATATTAAATTAAATGATGTGTAATAATATGCAATAATATGTAATATGTATAATAAGTGTGTGCAAAGCATGAATAGATGTTTTTGGTGGCAGTCTACGCTTTGGATCTCTGGCACTTGGAGTCCGAGGTTGTCTGACAAACTCCTCTTGCAGTTGGAAGCCGATGTGGCTTGGATCGTTTTAGGACCTAAGTTACAATTTTCGGCCGTGAAATATCAGGGGAAGTGATGAAGTATTTTGGAGTATCAGTGGGGATCAACAAACGTTGAAGTGTGAGGCCTTGTCCTTGATTGGTATGTTTGTTGGTTGAAGCAGTTGAAACTTTAATCTTTCAGCTGGTATGTTGAACTATGTTGTGTTTCAAGTCCATGGAGAGGTCTGATGAGTTTCACCGATGAGGCCAATCGTATTGATGCTGCCTTCATCAGATTTGACTACAGCGGAAGTGGAACTTTGGATGAGTCCGAAGTTGCTGCCATGCCACTTGGCGCACTTGGTCTTGTCGACAAGTTCCTCATTTTAGATATCTACTATATGGGTATCTATATCTACATATCTATATCTACTGTACAATGTGGCTGTCCGATGCTATCCGCATCTTAGGTTTCAGTTCCTTGGCTTCCCGGACCCATCCGAGGACCTGCCAAGCCAAACAAAAAACGTCTTTTTGGGGTCAAGTTCCGGTCAAAGCTTCCTGGAAACTGTGTACACAGATGATCCAAAGCATTCCAAAAAGTTCTTACCTGTGTTTCATTGTTTTCCGATTCACAAAGGATTGTTTGATCAGCGTTTGCCTTGAGGATGAAGGAGTCAAAGCTCTGATTAAGAAGTTGGACAAGGACCAGTGACACCACATGAAAAAGCTGAGGCTTTTCTGTGCTTTTCTATTTGGAGGATTTTGGATGTTCAGAGGTGCTGAATGATTGATTTGGGCATCCAAGACGTGCAACACGTGATGTGGTTTGCCTGTTGCTTTCTTGGAAAGCCAAGCTAGAAGCAATGGAAGCAAGGCACCTTTTTCCTATGTAAGAACGTCAGAATATCAGTAGTTGATATGTTGTCCCAAAATCTATGAATGTGTTGAAGATGTTGAAGGAAGAGTTCAAGCATTTCGTGGAGGAGTTTGGAGGCAACAACAATGTGGCAGTTTTGAGGATTAGGGTGTCATTGAGTGGATACGGCAAGAGAGAATGCGGATGTAACCCGATTTGTTGTGTGGTTTCTTCCTCCTGGTAATATGGTAGTTTTCCAGGCACACAGCGTGGGCGGAGGGCAAGATGCGTTTGTGTATTATACATAATATGTACATATTATATTGTAGATCATGATGATGTGAGTATATATTACATTATATTACTATGTCTTTTATATTCGGTTCAACAAGAAAAACATATCTCATAAGCTGCCTGCGCTGACAGCTCGCACCTGACTGTGTGTTTTGTTTTTGAAGATCTTAATCTGGAGAAGTTTGGAGATGTCTGCAGATGTTTTCTTTCCCTGGATTTGAGATGGTGCAAGCCAGTGCAAGCTGATGTCCGTCAAGGCTGTGATGCGCTGTTTGAACGCCGACGAGCCAAAGCAATGCGAGTCACTTGGCGACCACGGCTGCTGTATGCTTTGGAAAGTTGGCCGTTTGAAGTCGCGCGATGCTCGTGAGTCTTAGTTGTTGACTGTTAACTTGTGGCCCCAACATGCCCTAACTGGCGCAAAGCAGTTTCAATCTCAGCAAAGACAGCATTCTCAGCTTTCACATGCTTGAAGTATAGCAACTCAAACTATCTCAAACTGTTGTTCATCAAGGTTCAGCATGGTTGAGCCAAAACTGTGAATCCCAGGATGTCGTTGGAAGTCGTTGGTCACCTTGGTCAGTGAACATTCCCTGCTTTCCCGGCGTGAAGATGTGGCCTGAGGACCGGGGCACGACTCGCTCTGTCTCCAGTGGTTCTTTGAGCTCCTTATCCAGGGAAGAGATCCAGGACAGGCTCAGCTCAGCGTTTTCACTCCAAGCTGGCTACACAGCTAGACATAGCTAGACAAATTTGAAAACCTCAAGATACTGAAAGCAAGTATCAGTAGGTGCTGTATCATGACACTAAAGTTGAAGAGGCTGTTGTTTCCGAATAAAGAACAAGAAAGAGGTACCAATTGGCAGGTTCTACATGTTGCTGCTGTACATTGTTCTGAAGATCATGGCACAGTTTGTCCTTCAATACAGATAATACAGTCGGAAGTGCCACATCAGAGAAGATCTCGTGTAAATAAACAGGTGCATACAGTTCAGAGAGAGAGAGAGAGAGCCCAATCCTTGGATCAGGACAACATGCTGGGTGCTGGAATCGAGCCAGATGCGCAAGCATATTGGGAAAAACACTTAGTTGATATAGCCGAAAAGGCACAGGTAAGGTCTTTTCACGTTACATGTTTCCATCCCTTCTGAGAGTAGATGTACAAAAATGGTGTCACATGTTGCATATGCGGTTTGTTGAAGAGGTAAGCATCATGAACCAAGGAATTGGTCTTGCCTCCATCAGAGATCGAGAATGTTTGCTTGCTCACAGGCCCGATTCTCAGACATTTAACACTGTCATTCTGAGAGGGAGATCAGCATGAGCCAAGCCCCCGACTTCCGCAGGATGCCAAAAACGAGCTGTTTCGAACATCCGCCGGATTGCAAAGGCATGCGATCAGGGTCAGCAGTCAAAGGAAAGCAATCGACAAACTGAGTTGGACAAGAGGATAACATTGGATACCACTACGACTCAAATTTAACTTGCTTGTTGTATTTTTTTGACGAAGTCAATCTGGAAGATGCCAATGGAAATCTGAGTGCCAGGTAAATCACCAAAAGCACCTACCAGCACTGCAGCGGCGCGTGGCTCAACTAGGTTTCAAAGACGCTCGGCCTGACAGTTCCAACACTGATAGCAGTTGCCACGTGGGTTTGTCTGAAAATAGTGTACCCCTACACCCAATGGTTAATGATCATTATCCCTACTAAATGGCTATAATTGGGAATATACCCCATTTTCAGACATACCCACGTGTTCATTTTGGACGGATATCCGATATATCCAAAGCTATCGGCTTTGCTTTTTGATGAGGGACCAGCATATATTCAAAAGAGGCGCACTGCGGCGAACTGTGAGGACATGGACTTGTGGACAACACTTTCTTGGGTTCGCGACTTTGCGCCTCTTGGTCGCAGTTTTAAGTTCTTCGATGTTGTAAATGTGTGGCCTTGGTTACGCATCCATGAATCCGATTGCCACAAGCGTTTGGCTGGAACTTCTCACCAGATTGTACCGTACCATTGCTGCCTGCTAGGCCGTTGATTGTCCACATCCACTTCGACAAGATGTGCAAGTTTCTCCTCGAGGCAAGTGGTGTTGAGTACCCTGACCGATTACTGCGACAACATGATGGTGATGCTTGGTGTATTTTGCTGCATAATTATTCGTGGAACATCTTGGATGCACAAGTATTGTCGTTGATGGTTATTGCTGTTGCTATTACCCTGAAAGATGAGTTTTGCAGGACACTCACTACCGTTCACAGCCACTTAGCGGAACAAGACCTCAGAGAGTGCAAAGATTGTTAAACTTGGGCTTGTTTCTACTCGATTTGTTACTCCATGGTTCTGTTGAATTTGTTGACTCTCCAAAGGTTTGAAACTGGAAGTTCCTGCGGCCTCAACAACAGGGAGGTCAGAGCAAGATGGGAACGGGACCTTTTTCAAGGCCGGGAGATTTCTCTCACTGGACATAAGCCTGAAATTGATTTGGGAAAGTTGGGCATCAGAGTTGTTCATCTCTGTGAGATATTAGTTGATTCCAACAGTATTTGTACTTTCGAAATCCTTGCAATAAGATTTTGTTGATATCATATCCCTCACTTTTGCTGCGACGCTAGTATACTCATGTATTTTGCGTTTGCTGTTTCATGCGAAGGTGCTTACGACGGTTGCAGAGACTTTGAACGACCAAAGTATGGGGTTTTGAACGTCCACAACGACTACAGAGGTGTTGTCCGTGCCAAACAGTATGGCCACTTGGTCCTGATATAATCGAAAGGCTGGACAAGCCAGAACAGTTCAATCCAGATGGCCAACATTGATTTTTTTGGTTGCGCAGCAGTTTGTAATTGACTTGCCACAAAGAAATAATATCATGATTATCATGAGTCAAGTCCCGCCTTATAATGATTCTATGCCAGGAATTTGCCGTATCATCTTAGGTGATTGCTACATGGTGCTGAAGGATGCCCGCTTGCGAACCACTTTCTCGCCGGAGGACTGAAATTAGATCAGTGACAACTCGCATAGTTTGCCATGGTTCAACTTGGATGTCCTATCACACGTCGTTACGTGATCCCTGAATAACAAATCCACATAAACCATCAATAATCATCATAAATCAACATGTTCCATCATTTTCCTATATGTTTCCTTTGTTCAAGACTTGCCAATCTTGTGACACTGAAGAATTTTCTTTTTTCAAGGACTCGGCGAACTTGAAGGCCGAACGATTGGCCTGCCTTGACTACTACGCACATGCATCTTTGGCTCGCTTGCAATCGCTTGTATGCATGGCAGCTTGTTGCAGGCAACATGTACAGTAGTGTAGTGGATTCAATTGCTTCAAATCGCAGTCTGGCTCAGGTGCTGTATGAATATACTGATGAGGAGCTCAGAGAAACTCTAAAGGCCCTGGTTGTTTTTTTGCTTGCAATCTGATTTGAGGATGGTTCAGACCATTGGCCCCTGGTGGTGCTTTGAAACTGATGAATTTGACCATGGTCAGCCTTAGGTGGCGATTCCAAGATGCATGACTATAATGATTAATTACTCTCCATGACCTTCAATCACCGTCGGTTCCAATCAGTCACCATGTTGTTTCTTTGATTGTTTGTGTTTTGTGACCCAACAAATTTCAAATCGGGCAGGTCGCAACCACTGGGAAGCTTGGAAGCTCTGACACAATCCTGGCAAAAGGTCTGAAGTACAAAGAGGCCACAAACATGGCCTGGTCAAGATTTGGGGCTGCACTGCTGAGACGGAGCAACATGAGCAACACTCGCATTTTACTGTAGGATTTTACAGCAAGAACAAGAACTTGCATACAGTGTCATAAGATTAACAAATAGATATTAAGGATCGAAGTCTTCAGATGTGTTCCGGTTGTTCCTCTTGGAACTTTTTTCGTGGCACGAATTTGTCTTCAGTTTAGGCGCCAGGACCAGGCCCTCTGAGTCTGTCAGGCTCAGTACCACGGTGAGGTGGCATTTGCTCGTCATGTGGAGCGCCTGGTGTTGCCCAAGGCGTGTAGTGCTCTACCGGTTGTGAGCGATGCCAATTCGATAGCAATTGATCTCTCTTTTTGGGGAACCCCCTAGTGAATCAACAGAGTTTATTGGTCCACAGTTTTTTGGGGAACCCTAAGCAGCACTGCTTCTGAAGTTGCACTCAGTACTTATGACTCTTGAATAACAATAAAGTGAAAAAACATAGACTGAGAGCCACATTTTAAAGAGTATCAACCGAATATGGATATAGTATGATATAGTCCGATATCGGAATGACATGTTCACTTGCCCATATCAAGCCATTCAAAGTATATGGGGCCAATATATGTTGACAAGCAGATCGTATATTTCTGCCAGGTGGACAAATATACTGGCCGCACAAATGAAATCAATGATGTGTGCAAGAAGAATGGCTGGGAGTCAAGAGCTGAGCAATGACAAGTTGCAGCGGGTTGCAGCGGCTTACGCGGGGCTTAGCAGCGCTCATCAATGATCGCTTCAGGTGGTGCTGGATGGAGGAAGAGAAGGCACGCAGAGAAGCAATGGAGGTGCAATGGAAAGTGTGATGTTTTGGTTTGTTGCTGGAGTTACAAGTATGTTGTTCTTGTAACCATGTGTAGCACAAGTATGCGGTACATACCGAACTCACATGCTTTGATGATATAAATAATTCTATACATGTGTTTCCTTGCATTTCACATTATTTTTTTCCTACAGATGTTCGGTACGCTTCCGGGACGTCACTGCCTTTCTCCACTACACCTTGTCGTGTCAAGGCAGAAGATGCTTCAGATGAGAAGATCAATGCCTGGAAACAAAAGCTAAAGGCTAGACATGGCCTGTTTGGATGCTTGAGATTTTCACATTCAACACTTCCAGCTGCTGATAGACAAACCATGACAAACATTGAGACCATGACAAACCTCAAAGGCTAGATTTAAGATCGCAGCTGTCGCTTTCTAACGTGTTGCTTGTGGATTTGTGCCAGGCCATGGCAGAGGGTCCCAGTGAAGGTGTCAAGGTGCCCGCAGGTGCGCAGGACATATTTTTTTTGTGGGAGCACAGTGTAAATTCGACCTTCACGCAGCCTTTTTTTGAATGTTGATTTGTCACAACTGGATACAACTGGATACAACTGGAACCAGGTCTAGTTTCAAGGAAAACATGGCAAATTGTGCAGTTGAGAACATCGCACGCATGTGGAAATAAAAATGTGGTGCTCGGTTCGTAATCACAATGTTGGTTTGTGCAGTGTGTCCAGGAGAAAATCGTATTTTGCACCTGAGAGAACAAAACTAAAGTGACAAATTGACCAAAACCGTTGCACTTCCTCTACCCAGCATTACCCAGCCATGTTCTCACCAATTGGACGCTTCACTGCGCAGGTTTCTGTGTCAAGGGTTGCGGAAAGCCGGTGGCTCCTGGACTCACCAAGAATGGAAATCCTTACAAGACCTGCTGCCGAGGCGGGAAAATACTACTGTTTGAAAGAGTTGCATGAACTTCCCGGTAGTCGCAGGATGAAACTTGTGACCTGGGGGTTGGAAGATCTCTGAATGGATTGGATGGATGCATTTTCCCTTCAGCCGAAGAGTGTGGAGCAGTTGGATGCAGAAACTGCCTTCCTTTCAACTTCGGCAATGATCATCTTTGACATCCTTTGACATCCTGGATGACTACCCTCTGGTAATTTAACATAGCTATTGAAAATGGCCATTTATAGTGGATTTTCCCATTAAAAATTGTGATTTTCCGTAGTTATGTTAGTTTACCAGAGGGTAATTCTGACTGCTGGATGTTTTTGGATTTTCAGGTTGCGCTTTGGGCTTTGGCCATGACCTGCGGTGCGGCTTGAAGGATGGCGAACGGCCTCCGTGCAAGATGGGTTGTGGAATGTTGGCGGCTCCAGGCTGGCCGCAATCTGTGGCGGAATGTGGCGGATTGGATTCGGATTAATTATCTACACAATTTTTTATTCTTAGTGTTTTATCATGTTTTATCTTGTTTGACCTTGTTTTCCTGCCACTCTTGGGGGCGCAAATCTGACTCTGCATGCTTCAATCACTTGAATGTCTTGTGTGATTGCTATCAGCCACAGCCATGCTTGAATTCTGAGATCTCCACAGCTGCATGCTCCTGTTCGTTCTTTTTTGGGGGGGTTGATCCTGCGCAAGGCAAGACCTCCAAAGGAAGAGCACTGGACACCTGCTGTCGGGGTTGCGCCAAAGGCGGTGAGCATGATGTGAGATGTCAGCAAGATGCTGCACCTTAAAGTTGCGAAATTGAGCACTCTTCGGACCTTAGAAGGGTCCCTGTGGCTCTTGAGGGAACGTCGAGAAGTATTCACCTATCTTATTCTAATGGTTGTTTGGATATTTGTTTGGTAGATCCTTCCGTTCAAGAATCTAGAGCAAGTAATTACTTTGAATGGGGCCTAGTTCCCAGCTGATGCTATTTTATATTTGGCCTTCCTTAAAGGAAGAGGCTCTTCTCATATTCACCCAATGCTTGACCCCGTTACCTTTCCGGGCGACGCCGGTGGAGTCATTCGAGGTTCTCCTATTGTTTATTGTGGAGAACCTAATGCTAGAGAAAAAGAAATGGAGGAAAAAAAGAAGCGGTTCACGAAGTCTTGAAGCCTGTGAGTAGATGGGAGGAGGAGTTTCAAGACACTTAGAACGTCTTAGAACATCTTGGAACCCACATGTCACAACATGAAGAGAATGAAAAGCAGACTCAGGTCCTCTAAGGTTATAGTCATAGTCTTTAAGTTGAGACAAGTGATTGATGAAGCTGGACCTTTTCCAAATCCTCTCACGACTTTCACTGACTTTCACCGACCTTGCCTTGATCCTTCTGAGGCCCACCAGCGTCTATCGAGACCTTTGCCCCCCTGGGTTCTACTGTGCCGAGGTGCAGCATGAGATTGCCTGAGTTTGTCGCTTCGCCCCTCAGATGTTTACTGCGTGTTACGATGTGTTTCCGCTTTATTTCATTGGTGACACTTCGTTGTCAGGCCACTACCTATGTCAATCGTTACAAGTTCCGATGCCCAGAAGGCTGGAATCCAAGACCGGGCGTTGCTGGACACATCATGGAACAAGGCAAGAATCGTTGAGATTGCAACATGATGTGAACAACTTCAACTGTGAACATGCTTTGAGTAATTTTTGTCAACATCATTCAAGTGTCGTTCTTATTCGTTGTATAGTATCCGCACACTATTAGATCTATTAGTCCCAGTTACGGACTTCAAAGGAATCTGTATGTGAGGCTTCTATTGCCCAGAGGGCACTGGAGCTCGGGATGACTTGAAGCAGGGGCCTTGGCATCACAGTACTCGTACCTCAATATCCTCAATGGTCATTGAGCCCAGTGAGAAAGTTCAAGCCACTGCTGCAAGCAGCAGCAGGTCTGATTACAGTTCCCTTATGTTCCCTTATGTTCCATTATTGATTTGTGGAGTCTATCATTCCTGTGAAGGGAAATGATATAGGCAAGTATGCACTCCATGGTCCATTGTGCAAAGCAAAAATATGCAAAACTCATACCGTTGGAATAATAATATTTGGCTGGTTGGTTTTGGTCCTCAATATCTTGTGGTGTTCAATATAATTCACTCTTGACATACTAGTCCAAACAGAAGCATACAGTCATGCAATCTCTCTGCTGGTGATTTCATCAGCTTTTGTGGAAGAACTGCAGACTGCATGTAGTTTTCTGTTTGCAACCAAATTTGAGGCGTCCGCTCATGCACGGAGACGTTTGCGTCATGAAAAAGGATTTCTACCTTGCACAGAAGGTCGGCGTGTTGCAGGATTTTCCTGCAATGCACTCATACAAGTCTTGTAGACCACCAGGTGATTTTGTTTGTATCTGATTGTCAACTTCTTGCCTCTTCAAGATTGTAGTAGAACCGGACAATTTCGAAAGAGAGGATGATTAGAAAATACTCTCAATACTCTGCCGGGTCTTTTTTTCGGCGGCTCCCAATGGGTATGTCTGAAAATGAGGTATACCCCCAATGAAATAGCCATTTAAAATCGGGATAATGATCAGCAAAACCATTGGGTAAATGGGGTACACGACATTTTCAGACACCCACACCCCAATGGTTAATGATCATGGTAGCCCTGCTGAAAATTGGTTAAATAGTTACTAAATGGCTACCTCCCAATGATCATTATCCCATGCCCAATGGCTTGGCAGGTAGCCCAATTCTGCTTGCGGCAGATCATGCGAAATCGCTTTGAGTTTGTGGCTCTGGAACAGCAACGTTTGGCACGGGCATGGGAAACCCAGCGCAGATTCGTTGGCATCGTGGAATGATGCCGTCCAGTTGATTGCATTGTTGCCACATCATATACCTATGGGAAAAAGAATGCCAAAAGGAGAACAAGGAGCCAATTGGTATCAGATGATGATAACTGATAACACAGCTAACAATTCTCAAAGCATTGCTTGGCAACTAAGCGGGAACAGAGCGTGCAACGGTCGTTTAGCAATGCAAGGAGTGTTTGTCTGTCGAGTCTGAGGCCAATTTACCCCTGATTGACAGGAAGGAAATGACGGAGATCTGGGCCAGCTGGATGCAGGCTTGACACCTTGACCATAGCCACGCTTCAGATATGTCAATATACTTCAAGATCCTCCAAGAGTTTGCAGATGCTGACACGTTGACAGTTTGCTTGCCAACACCATGCAACTCCTTTGGCGGTACACATGTTTCTTGGCGATGATACAAACACTGCAGAGACCCCCAATATCCCCCAATCCTGGGTTTCCCTGATTGGTTTCTGCCCGGCGAGGATTTCGAGTTGCAGTACTGCCAGGAAGATGCCATCATGGCTGTCAACTGCTCAAAATGCCTGATGGAACGCAAGAAAGTTTGCTTATACGTTTTCTTGGCAGACTGCAGCCCGTGCGGGATTAAAACTTGCAAAGTCGGGTTGGTGCAAATATAAAGCCGCGTCAAAAGTTCATGCACACTTGCAGTCTACTAGATCTACTAGTCTCTCTGAAGAATGTATCAATATGATTCAATATGCATCAATCTTATTCAAATATTTCAAATTCCTAAGCATCCGTAGCCAGGGACTGATTGCTTACAGCCATCGTCCCAGGTTTGGGAGAAGTACTACATGAACGACATCAAAGCAGTGGCCTCAACGGAGTGTTCAACCGGAGGACATGATGGACCTGATGAACCTGATGGCCCCTGCTGATGCTTTTTTTGGATCGAGAAATTCCCAAGGGCAATGACGTGCGTGCGGGCATCCTTGCTATGATCCAAGCAATACAAAGTGTGGTCCAAGCCTTGGATGGCACAGAAACGATCAGAAACGCCTGGAATGTCTTTGGACTATCTTCGGATATTATCGGAATATCCTCCAATTCAAGGAACTGTGTCACATCAGGTGCTGCAGAATAAGGATGCACGGTGCACTTTTTTTTCTGCATACTATGTAGCCTGAATCTATTTGCCTTTGAGATAGGTCAGCACTCCTTATATTTGAAGAACACTGTTAAGCTAAGAGAAATACTGTAATTATATGTAATTATCTGCGAGTGGTTTGAGATGGTTTGAGCAGATTCCCGAGGTTTCACCTGTCCTTTTGTTGAAGCATGTTGAAGGGTTGCAGGTCGACAATTGTTGAAAGAGAAAACTACCGCTGCTACCGGGTTCAGGACTTCCTGAAGTCCCAGCTGTTGAACAAGCTGCAGATTTTGCCAGAGAACTACCGCAATAAGTGGCCAGCTTGGATTGCTCAAAGTTGAGCCCGACACGAAAAATTGGGAAGACGGACGAAGGCATAGGAAGACACTGAGAAAGAATGGAAACAGCCAGTTTGCTCGAGAACATTAAACGCTTTCGAGCTCCCATGTTTATGGTCTAAATATGTTTGATACGTCCTGCGTCCTGGCCCATTGCTCAGAGACTGATCGTTGCGCCAGGGGAGTGGCTCAAAGCTGGATGTTGGGACTTTCGTAGAGACGTTGCTTAGTCAATTCATGACAATTCTGTACATACTTGTACTATTTTGTGCTACAAGAGCTGTAGACACAAGAGCAAGGGCAAACCCAAGGTGTGTTTTGTGTTTGGTGGGTTCTCATGTCAAGCCGTTTTGCTTGGTGGCACTTTTTGTGAGTGTTCAGCCACCCACAAGTTTCGGCACAGATACAAAGCAAAAGGGCAGCACGCCAGCAATCTGCAAGGTCATATGGCATCGTTACACGAGGAAAAGGTACTGCACACAACAAGCAGAAAGGGCACTGAGGGCACCAGTCTGCCAGTGCGATATTGTGCGATTATCGACGGCTCCCCGCAGACCTAGTTGGCTTTCTGCCATTGGGCTATGCTTACCAGGGCTGAATCATCCACTTGCATTCAGGTGAAGTTTTTTTGGTGCGAGGCATTCTACCCTCAAACTGGATTCTGAGGTGCAGTGAGCACAGCCCCTTGCTCGGCGATCAGGAGTTTGCGTCTGACACCTAGACTACACTTGTTGTTGGTTCAAAGCTAGGCAGATGTTCAAAGCATGGAAGAATGCAGGAGAGCTCTTGAGGTTTCGCTCCCTTGAAGTTTATTGCTTAACAATTTTACATGAACGTGTCAATACGTCATAAAATGATATAAAATGTCTATATGTCTATTTCGCGCGAGAAAACGTACAGAGGCATGGGCGAGAAAGCGCCTGTGCCAACTATTTTGATTATCTCTTTTGTGAGAAGATGTCTGTTGTGAGCTTTGACAAGGCCAAGAGCATGTCCAAATCCTGATCAGTCTGTTCCTCAGTGAATTGGCAAGCTCTAAACACTCTAAACTCCAAGTCTGTGGCTGTGACATACCGTGGCATGCAGTGGCTGTGTTGCCTCTAAATCGCTTCAGGCCGTGCAACAATGTCTCACAATTGGAGTGCCTGTGCAAAGCACGTGACGCCAGCGAGTTTGGAACCGGCCCTCGTCCCAACTTTCCCATTCCATGAAAATTGTTTGTCTTCATGAATTCAGCAGCTGCGATTGAGATGTTCAGAGTATTGTGGATGGAAAATGAATGAGCATGATGATGCATGATGTAAAATGATGTTGATGGAGTTGAATTGCTGTCATTGACACGCTGACTTTGCCAGCATCTACGGCGAAGATGCTTGACTGCTTCGACGGAGACTATCCAGATCCACTTTGTGTGAACACTGCCGAGGACTCTCTTTCCTTACGGTGTGTTGCTGCCGCAATGCATGGCAGACTGTGCTTTTGCTTTACTGTAATGCATTGTCCCATATCTTCCGACAATTGGTTCAAAGCTGGCATTGTGGAGACAGGCATGACAAGACGTGGCGTGTGTGTGTGTGTGTATGTGATATATATATATATAGTTTACATATTATGTAGCATACATACTTATTATACATGTGTACATTTGCACATATATGTACATATCTACAAACATTACACCACATACATAATATACATTAATAATTACATTACATCTGCACTAGACACTGCGTCACGTTACGTTACGTTGCGTCATGTTACGTTATCATACATACATACACCACATACATTACATGCATCAGATGCATTACATGCAGTACATACACGACATACATTACATACGCTGCATACACTACATACATTATATGCAGTACATACACTAATTACATACGTTACATGCAGTAAGTGCATTCCGCGCATTACGTGCATTACGCACATTAGACACACTACACACACTACATATAGTAGATACATTACATACACTACATACGTTACATACACTACATACACTACACTCCCTACATAAATTACATACCTTACCTCACACACACATGCATACATCCATCCTTTGTCACTCATTTATACACACACACACATACGAACGAACATAAGAACATACGAGTACATACGAACATTTCGCTCGGGGGCTGACGTTTTCCCGAAATCCACGGAATTCCATGCGGGACTGCAATCTGCTGTGTTGTTTCCGTGCGTGTTTTTCGCACAGTGCGAGCACGCAAAATATTGATATTACCTGCGTCTCATGGCAATTTTGTGCTTACCTAAGACGGTGCCAAAATCACCTTTTGAAGCGTATCTTAAAGATATCCTTCGTAATTCGCAGTGTTTCGAGCCGTTAACTGAGACCTCAACAAACCGCAAGACTTTGAAACAACACCAAAATAACCTAACCCTATAAATAAACTCTAAACAAACCCTAAGCCAACCCTAAATCAACCATAAATGACCCCAAATCGACCCTAAAACAACCGTGAGCAAACCCTAAAAATCCCTAAAACATCTAAAACAACCCTAAATAGCATGAAAATTAACTAAACAAACCCTAAACAAACCCAAGAAAATCTAAACCAACCCCAAGCAAACCCTAAAACAGTCCGAAATATATCGAAATATATCCTGAACAAATCACAACGTCTAAACCCCCAATGAAACGTTGGGCGAACGTCCGCCCCAGAGGGGAACATTTGATATATACATACATGCAATAGATACAATACATACGGTAGCAATAGGATCAACTCCCACCATTTGCCCCGCTTCTGGAAGAGTTCGGCGGGATCATTATCATCATTATCATCATCATCATCATCATCATCACCATCACCATCACCATAACCATCACCATCATCATCATCATCAACAACAACAACAACATCATTGGTATGATCATCGCCGTCTTCTAACAGAATAGTGGAAACCGGTTCAAAATGCACTGTTCCAGCACTTTTGGTTGTACTAACAGTTCAAACAGAATCCTAACACATCGTTGCAAAATGCGCAGTTCCAGCAATCTTGTTAGAACGAACAGCTCTAACAGAATCCTAGCTGCTAGAAAAAAACACCCACCCCACCCCACCCCACCTTAAACCATGATAATTGGAGCGTCTTGGGCGCAGCATCTACACCTTGCGCAAGGTCATATGAGCGTTATCATCGCCCCATCATCGCCCCATCCCACTCCACCCCACTGATGCAGCATCAAAGTCTTGTGCAAAGTCGGGTGAACGTTAGCATGCCCCCACCCCACCCCAGCCCACCCCACCCAATGTGAGCGTAGCATCAACATCTTGCGCAAGGTCGAGGGAATGTGGCCGAAGGAACGTTAACATCCCCACCCCACCCCACCCCACCCCACCCATGTGAGCGTAGCATCAACATCTTGCGCAAGGTCGAGGGAACGTGGTCGAAGGAACGTTAACATCCCCACCCCACCCCCCCCATCCCATGTGAGCGCACCATCAACATCTTGTGAAAGTCGAGGGGACGCGGTCGAAGGAACGTTATAACATCCCCACCCCACCCCATGTGATCATGGCATCAACATCTTGTGCAAGGTCGAGGGAACGTGGTCGAAGGAACGTCAACATCCCCACCCCCACCCCACCCCATGTATGATGTGAGCGTAGCATCAACATCTGGTGCAAGGTCGAGGGAACGTGGCCGAAGGAACGTCACCCCAACGTAGCATCAGCATTTTGTGCAAGGTCGAGGCAACGTGGTCGAAGGAAGGTTATAACATCCCCACCCCACCCCATGTGAGCGTAGCATCAACATCTTGCGCAAGGTCGAGGGAACGTGGTCGAAGGAACGTTAACATCCCCACCCCACCCCACCCCATCCCATGTGAGCGCACCATCAACATCTTGTGAAAGGTCGAGGGGACGCGGTCGAAGGAACGTTATAACATCCCCACCCCACCCCATGTGATCATGGCATCAACATCTTGTGCAAGGTCGAGGGAACGTGGTCGAAGGAACGTCAACATCCCCACCCCCACCCCACCCCATGTATGATGTGAGCGTAGCATCAACATCTGGTGCAAGGTCGAGGGAACGTGGCCGAAGGAACGTCACCCCAACGTAGCATCAGCATCTTGTGCAAGGTCGAGGCAACGTGGCCGAAGGAAGGTTAGAAGGAAGGTTATAACATCCCCACCCCACCCCATGTGAGCGTAGCATCAACATCTTGCGCAAGGTCGAAGGAACGTGGTCGAAGGAACGTTAACATCCCCACCCCACCCCACCCCACCACACGTGAGTGTAGCATCAACATCCTGTGCATGGTCGAGGGAACATGGTCGAGGGAACGTTAACATCCCCACCCCACTCCATTCCACCCTACCCCATCCTACCCCATGTAAACTTTGGGGCAAATGGTGGGCGTTGTGTCTAGCAGTACATACGATACATGCGATACGTTCGATGCGTGCGATACATGCAATACATACTATGCACTAATTCAATGCATACATACAAGTGAGATGTCAAGAGATACAATCATACTTGCGATACATGCATGCGATACACACTCTACAGACGATACTTGACACATACGATACATGAAACAATACATACGATACAATTCATTACATACGATAGATACATAGGCTAGATACATTAATTCATACATACATTCATTCATTCATTCATTCATACATACATACATGCATACATGCATACATGCAGACATGCAGACATGCAGACATGCAGACATGCATGCATACATTCCATACATTCCATACATAAAGATAGATATAGCAGTAATTGGCATACACTAACTCTAAATATCACTAAGTATATCACTTTAAAATCTACCACCAAGTACATAATAGTTGTTCTACCAATATGTATATATATATATATATCACACCATATCTCACTATATTAATATCATTTTATATCACCAATGTCATATTTATATATATTTACATCACTATATCTCACTATAGTGCTATGTATACGTGTATACATCACTATTTCACCACTACCACTTTTGCATCACTAGTTACAGCTATACGTATATTAATATACATCACTCAAAACACTACATATCACTACAAGTCACTCTATGCATATAGATGTACAACGACATGTATGTATATCATGTTATATCATATCGCTCTATGTAGCTATATGGCACTGTATATCACTATACATGTGTACATGTATATAAAAGCATATGTGTGTATCTAGTGTATACGTAAATTTGTACCGTTTTATACATATGTACATAGTTATCTAAGATCTATATATAACATATATTATAACATATAATATATGTATTTGTGCGTATTTGTGTGTGTTGTGTAGTTTATGAGTATTTTTCCCAGACAAAGCTGGAAAAGACTGATAAGAATCAAAGTCATAGTTTGTCCGCTGACTCGATTTCTGTTGAGGACGGATCTTGCTTGGATCCTTCCACAGATATCCAGATTGGTGGGACGGTGCTGCTGGCATGTTCGTCCAACAAATGCAATACAGAAGCAGGGGGCAACACACAATCATCACGTTTTGGAAGACTGTCAAGAGACGATGCTTTGGCACTTCTGTTCTTGGGTTCAAGGACAAAGGCTGATCGCACAATGTGCTGTATTTACTGCAAGTCTTCAGAGCCTAGAACAAAAAGTGATTTCAAATTATTGGAACATGTACCTCCTGCTTCAGACACGTCAGATCCTTTTGGCGAATTGATAATCATTGATCATAAAAACGAAGCGCTGGGCAGATCGATGACTTTGACCTCATGGCCGGTCACTACCTGTCCTATGTCCAGCAGTCTCTGAAAGAGGCCACCTCTTTGGATGAACATGGATGAAACGTGATCAAAAATGGCCGAAATCCCAGATGAGATTGGAGTAATGTCAAGGGACACAGCCCTACCATGGCCTGCTAGTTCTTCGTTCTGGGTTGTCGGCCTTCAGTGCGCTGATCCTCCAGGAAATGCAAGCGCAGAAGAGTGCGATGCAGAACACCATGACACGTTGCCCGTTCGGTGAGGGGCTCGACCCATCTCGACCCATCCGAGCAGAGGGCATTTGCGTTTGGCATTTGTGTGTCTTCATACCACCATAGTGAACATAGACTTCTCAGCTGCTTTAAACTGCTTTATATCAAGCATTGTCGTACGGTAAGATCGCGTTTGTTTCATCCCAGGCACTATGACGACTGCCGACGGCTCGATGCTCTTGGGCGATTGTGTGAAGAGAAAGTCGGTCCTCCCTCCGGCACGGTTTGTTTCAAGCAATAAATCATCTAAAGATGCTATGATATGCTATGAATTGCTATGGGAACTTGTTTGATTCTTCTAATACAGAAATGCAGAAGATCTTGGAATGTGATATCATTCTTTGACACTGACGTAATGATGTTCTATGTCCATGATGTTGTTGTCAGAGTGGGGCGGGAGGCGTATGAAGAATGCCGTCTGGGAATTTGCCATGTGTACTCAGCTTCTGGGATTTTGCCAGGTCCGCTACGTAGAAGAGCAGCTGGACATGACAGTTCTACGTGCCAATCCTGCCCATGCCTTTTCATCGTAGCAGCGGCATTTGAAAGAGAACACTCGAATCATTGAAAGAGGAGCAAGACTGTGTACTAATAGCATATAAAAACTACGTACGAATAGCGTATATGATGCTACTAATAGCGCATAAAGGTCACTCTGACCGTATTTGAGCGACCCAATTTTACGGTCTCAAAGAGGAGCTGTAGTGGGTTTTCAGGTGTTTTGAGCTTTTATTTCCAGCGTTTCAGGTCGATACCTACCTTTCTCCAAAGAAGTGGGCAGTGAGCTTATGGGCTATGGTTTGCAACGTTTCATTTGTGCCAAAATTTCAGAAGCAGCTGAAGCACTGCTTCATGCACTGTGAGAAGAGGCAAAAGCTTTGCTGCTACAACTAAAGGCAAAGAAGATCCATTACACCAAGACTGAGAGAATGATTGTCAATTGTTCTTCTTACATCTTCTTACTGTTCACTTCTAACTCCTTTAGTTGTGAAGTTTCTTTGTTCTTTTTCCTTCTTGTTTCTTTTTCCGTTTTCTTCATGCTTTTGGCCGTCATGTATTGCAAGAAAGACATCGTTCTCATAGCTAGTAGATGGATGAGGCAAAATCAGCAGGAAATCGGGATGCCAATGAGGGGCTGGAGACCTAGCTGTGACAAAAGCTGGCAAAGACGCTTCCTGACAAACCCAGTATATAATTCCACCCGACGTTCCTTTCGGTTGGGGCAAAGAGCTCTGAAGATGTTCATTTGATGCGCCCCAAGAAGATTGGGATATATTATACTAAGCTTATAATAAAGATTCACTGGCCAAAAAACATGGACAATGGACCTTGCATAAAATAGTTTTTATGTTTGAACCATGTTTGGAGGGGAATGTATGGTAATGTCCACTTCGACATTATTTTGACTGCCTCTGCCAGGGAGTTCCGGCCTGTATACGCTGCTTCTGCTGGCAGCGTTTCGCTCATCACCTTCGACATACGGCACTTCCCAGACGAGGCAAGAGTTAGTAGGATACAGCGAAAACCTTTACAGTTTGGATCAGTTTGGGTCAATTTGGATCAGCTTGATAAGTATGAAGCATCCTGACTGGAAGCATGCTTTGGTTTTGCTTGTTTCACCGTGACATCATAAATTTGTGACCGTCCGATTGAAAAGCAATGAGGACAAACAAACATTGGTTAGTGTTGCCTTGAAGATCAATCTTAACACATCTTAACACAGAGAATTCTCTTGCTTTGTAAATTGTAAACACCTAAACACCCTGCAGTTTCGGTATGGAAAGCACTGGCGTATCAAGTTCTTCGTCGGCTCGACGTCGCTGGCTTGGAAACATGGAGGCTTGCTGACCCTCTGAGGGAGCACAGAAGAGGAAGTCACGGACACGAATAATGGTAGAAACCTGCAATATCTTGCAATTGCTATTATTTGAATCTATTCGGTTCATTTCGGTTCTAGGTCCTGACTGGCAACACACAGCCAAAGAAAATTCATGAAAATCCACATTTCGGATCATTTCGGTCGATTCTAAATGTGGAACCTAGACGAAGTGCATCCAAAAGTCATGAGTTGTGAGTCATATGAGTCACTCGGAAGTCACTCGTTTCCAAGGCTGGACCCTCTCTATGACGACCCGATTGAGTGCGACTCATTAGTCGCAAAGAGGTGGGGCAAGCGATGGCAAGCGATGGCAAATGATGGCATGCTGGGAGATCGTACTACTTACTAGTATCTAGCAGTACATCAGTACCAGTAGTACCGCACAAGGCGGCGGAAGTTTCAAAAATAGGAAACCTATAGGAGAGGTTGGTTGTTGTGACTCACTGATGGCAGAGAATCCACTGATGGACCGACAGGTGGTTGGAGTTGTGGTTTTTGGAATGGTTGCAATGGTTGCAGTGGTCACCTTACCACAACTGCTGGATGTAGTGTGGTGTAGTGCAGTTGTAGTTGTAGTTGCAATTGTAGCTGTAGTTGTGGTGTAGTGTAGTGGAGCTGTAGTGTAGTGTAGTGTAATTAGTGTATTTGCAAGTGCAGTTGCAGTTGTAGCTGTATATAATGTAGTGTAGTGAGGTATGTGTAGCGTAGTGTCGTGTAGCGTGGTGTGTTGTGTAGTATGTGTAGTGTAGTATAGTCTAGTGTAGCGTAGCGTAGTGTAGTGTAGTGTAATGTAGTGGTAGTTGTAGTTGCAGTTGCAGCTGCAGTTGTAGTTGTAGTGTAATGCAATGTAATCAGTGTAGCGTAGTGTTGTGTAATGTAGTGTGGCTGTAGTTGTAGTTGCATTTGTAGTTGTAGTGTGCTGCAGTGTAATTAGTGCAGTGTAGTTGTAATTGTAGTTGTAGCTGTGGTAGTATTTATTTTTGCAGTTGTTAGTGTAATTGGTCTAGTGTAGTGTAATTATATAGATGTAATTAGTATAGTGTAGTGTAACTAGTGTAGTGCAATGCAGCGTAGTATATTTGTATTTGTAGTTGTGGCAGTAGTGTAGTGTAGTGGTAGTTGTGGTTGTTGTAGTTGTGATTGTCTATCTATCGATCTATCTTTCTTTCTTTCTGCAAGCTTGAAAATTGAAAACGCAACTATTTTGCGAGACATCCTCAATTTTTGAACTTGACAACATAAAAACGCAGCAATTCTGCGAGACTTCCTCAATTTTGGAACTTGACAACATCAAAAACAAAACAATTCTGCGAGACTTCCTCAATGTTCGAAGTTGACAACGTCAAAAACGAAACAAGTCTGCGAGACGTCCTTCAAAAATGGAAAGTTGAGCGCGGCCTCGTACCAATGCGTTTTCCGATTTGTCCACTCCACCTGTCTAAACTACTGCGCCTGCCACGAAAAAGTGATGCCAGGTCATACGAAGGGCTGCACCTGTCACGCAAAATCATCTCAGCAAACCTGAAGATCTTATGCTCCAAAATGCAACCCCTCTCAGGAAGTCAGCGCCCGGACTTCCTAACAGCTCTGATGAACATGTCTCTTGTACTGCGCCTGCCACTGAAAATGCATCTTTGCAGATCCTCTTCAAATGTCCCACGCCTGCCATCGTTTTAGAAATGCTACAAAACCCTCACGTTTTGCTCACTTTTGACAACGTGCGCAATCCCTTGCGCCTGCCACGCAAAACGACATCTGAACGTCCAAAAGTGCTCCGAACCCCTCTGTTTTTTGCACTTTTGACTTCGAAATGTCTTCGCGCCACAACTGCGTGCACTTTTTCGACATCGCAACTTCGAAAAGTGCTCCGAACGTGAGGTGCTTTAGCTTTTTCACTTGCAAATGTGCTTCGCGCCACAACGACGTGCACCTTTTCGACAGCGCAACTTCTAAAAGCGTTCCGGAGCTGAGGTGCTTTGTACATTTTGATTTGGAAATGCGCTTCGCACCACATGGCGTGCAATTTTTCATCTCTCATCTGGCCAGCTGGCTCCGCACCCGCCGCTTTAGCGAGCCTACTTTTTAACCCTCCGGAGCCACAAATCATTGGAAAAACACAGTGAATCGCGACTTTCCTACCTTTTCGCGCACCTGGATCTTCTTTCTTCTGAGATTTTCTCTTTCTTCTTCTCTTCCCTGACTCTTCCCATCTCTGCTTTTCATCTGTCCATATTGTCGGAAGTTTGACTTCTAAACTTCATTTGATAATGAGTCCTGAGGTAAGAGGTGTTATTCAAAAAGGAGCGAGATATCATGAGATATCGAGATGTACAGCATGCATCAGTATACACCTTGAGTTTGCCCGACTGCTCCAGTGTCCACAGCTGAGCCATCCTTTTTCGGCCTTGCAACATCTTGCAACGATTTGTTTCAGACTGTGGTATCAACGTCTATCAACCAAATCTTTGCTGAAGGACTGCAGACAAGCGAGACTTAGATATTCTCCTCGCAGAAAGCCGAGGGTGCGCACGGATCCCTATCAGAAGAGTTGCAGATCTGGGTTCCATCTACATGGTTAAACGGTCAGATCATGTCAGATCTCAGGTCCAAGAAGGCGACTTCATGTTAATTCAATGGTGATGTGGACATTGTTTTTTTTTTGTTTGTCGGTATAATTACAGGGTTCTTCCAGTTCCTTCCAATTTCTTTCAACCCTGCTATGACCGGTGAAAGAGAAACCTTGATGTCCACGCGCTTGAAGTTCAGCTTCTCCCCCCCATCGATCTTCGGAGCAGTTATTTTGTGTCTTTGGCAAATTCATGTTTAATCCTTTATGCCATAACTTTATACAGCCTTTTTGCAATGTTTTCAGCAATCCCACTACTTCCCACTCCATGCAAGACATCGCACTCAGACTCTTCAGCATTCTTCAGCCATCTTTTTTGCAAAACGACATGTGTTATACCAAGGCAGAGTTGTCTTTGCCTCCTGCTTTCGTGCAAGAGGCCATGCAGTCTCGGCATTCACGATTTATATCGATTTATAGGATAGAGTCGGATAGAGAAAATCTGAATGAAGCACTGTGGCGATATGTGGCGATATGTGGCGATATGGCACGACATCTTGTTGCTATTTGTTGCTGGGTAGACCGAGACTTCCTTTCGGTCACCCGACTCACCCGACTCACCAAAAAGTGGCGAGATCGCAGCCCTGGCAGGGCTTGCAGCAAGGGGAGAGTCCATTGCTTAGTTTCACAGAAGTTCAGACATGGTACTTTTATATACTTTTATGATCTTGTACTTGTACAATTGCCAAGGGTAAAATGGTTTGAACTGACAATTGCGGGGTCTCGGAAAAAGTCTTTCAACAACTTTGTTGTTTGCACGAGACGCTGCTTTGGATGATAACAAAGAACCACTGGACTGGAACCGTTTTTGACAAAAACTTTTCACGTCCGAAACCGGACCTTGTAACTGGGCGTGGGAAGCACAGTTGGCTGAGATGGTGGGGCCTTGGCCAGTGGGGTTTTCACTTTCATGTCAGGAGCCTAGAAGAGCTTGGCCTGCTGGCAGCAACACTTCTTTTTTTCCAGCTTGTTTGAAATGAAACGAAATATGCTGCCTCAGAGATTCTGAATGCAAATTGCCTGCCCAAAAGCAAAGGGCTCCGGTGACTGTCAACCGAATCAAACGTTTGATTTGCAGCGAGGCTACACCCATTGGTGGATATTGAATGGCGAGTCAACCCTGCTTGGTTTGGACAGACATGGAGCTTCCAGAACCCATAGGAACTTGAAGCCAGCGACACAGTGATGATGGATAGAATCATACCATACTACGTAGCAGTATCATAGTATCATGATTAGACTGCAGCTGAACCAGTTTGCACCAATGAGGGTTGCTTGGAATTTCATGGAAATTCTTCGGAAACTCAATTTCGACAGGTGGAGGTGCAGATCGTGGACGGCGTTTTCCAGCCAGATGCCCTTTGCCCCAGGTATTTCTGGAAAGTTTTGCTGTGCTACGCCACGGCGGATTAAACTGCGGGATTCATGTTGTCGCTCAAGATGGTTGTACGAAGATATATATACATACTCATACATACTCATACATGCCGTACCGATCCGTACCGTGCCATACCATACAATTGAATTGCATTGCGTTGCACTGCACTACAATGCAATACATTACATTGCATATTGTGTGTAAATGCCTGCAAAAACGAACAAATAAAACCGCGAGCAGCTCAGGCCTTCATGCTTTTGAGCTCTGCCCTTGTGGAGTATGCCGAGCCGGCCTTTGACTCGGCAAAAATTCACCATGGAACGCTGGGGTTAGAATTTGCAACCTGCACCCAAGATGCAGCAGGGTGCAAGTTTGGGTCCCCGGGAGCAGGCTAGTACTTCAATGTACATGTTTAATCCTGTTCACACTTTTTGGGAAAAAAAACAGTTCCAGTTGCGTTTGTTTTGACGCTCCTCCGCTTTGTCGCTTTGGACATTGGCAAGGCCCGTGCCACAGTTGGAACGGCCCAGTGGATATCTCAGCGTTTCATGTCTACCTGCCTTTTTGTGGTGTTGGCCCACTTCAAAATACTGCCACGCAGCAGCTGCAACTTACTCTGTGAAATATGTACATATGAATGTGAGTAAACGGCATTGTCATTCAATTCAGTGAGTTTTCTGTGCCTGTCAAGATATGAATGAAATTCGCGAGTTTTTGCTGCAGGTCATTTGCCATTAAACTCGACTCGGAACTCTCGTTGGAGTTGCCAAAGTCCCAGAATGTGAATCAGTCCAAAAGCTAATTCACAAAGTCAAAAGAAACCAAGTTGTCAGATGATGTCTGAATTCACTCTTTACTTCCGTTTGCGTCGCCAACAACACGTTGCGTGTCTCCGTCTGTCTCCCTACCTCCAACATGGACTTGACGTGGACACTGCGACACTACATCAAGACCACATCAAATTAGTTGTCACTAGACATTGTCACATTGTCATTGATTTTGTATGATTTTATTGTCTGCAGTCTCTGGATTCTAGGCCAGCCAACATGCCGATGAAGTCCTTCACCCAAGGAGCTGACCAGCGAGTCATCACGCAGGTGCGCAAAATCGCAAACAGATTTGATGTTTGGTCCTTTTCGACTCCAAATCGCCAGCGATGCCTTTCTCAACTCTAACTCTGTATCTTCAATCATATGGGATAGTCTTCGATCCGCCTTAAAGTCTTTGGCAAGATTCATTCAGACCCTCAAAGCATCTCAAAGCCCAAGTCAAAGTTCGTTCAATTTCGTGGAATTGACCGAGCCAGGCGTTTCTCAACTGGCTCCCAGTGTCAGTCCCGTTGCAGAATTACCACAGACCTATTGCGACGGCAGTGGCAGCCGAGATCTTAGACCAAGCACACGTCGCTTTTGGAGTCTCATTGCGTTCCCCGTTGCTCTAAGCAACTGGGACTTGGAACAGGAACATCCTGGAACATTTTGGAAGTACTGACGCAAGACCTAAGGCAAGACATGACACGAGACAAGCAAAACGGCTCAAGCCATGGCATGATTTTGTGATATTTTGTGGCTGAGGGCGGTGAGCAAGAGTACGTTTTCCGAGAGAAAGGGGACTATTGGAGAGACAGCACAGCTGGCTTCTCAGTGATTCCTCAGGTCACCCAGCGTCCTGTTGCTTTCTGTTGGAGAGCTGTCCAAATAAAGGAAAAAACTGACACAAATATATCTTACATGTGCGCAAAAGCATCCACCATGCAACACCTTGGTTTGAAGCGAACAATTTTGAAGAATTTTGAACATGTGTGCCGTGACTGGTTGCTAGATCCATATTAAGGGGCTACGCCCCCTGCCGCCGACCCCTGGGAGAGAGTGAGTTTGGAACCCTTCCTGCAGTGAACATCTTCCACAGTGATGGCGGCCGAAGCTCAGTCAAAGTCGCTGGTCTGTTTTCATGTGTTCCATGTGCGCGGAACGCAAGCCACGAACAGAGTTTACAGCTTGGCAACAAGGTCGTGAATATACTCAAGACGGCACACAAGTATGCAACGCATGCACAGCCTTTGCCTTCGTTTGCCGTCTTGCTCATCGCACGAATCAACGCCTGGCCCGCTTGCGCCAACGCGAAACCCGCCACCGGCACGCAGCAATCCTAGAGGACATTCGCAAGGAAATTCAGGAAATACACGAAGCAAGACAAACTTCCACGCGAGCAGAAGGTCCCAAAACGGACACTGCCCACTCATCGAACCAGCAGCTTGCTGTCGGGCCTGACACAGCACCGCCACGACTGCACATATACATCTGCCCGTACTGTGCTAAGTCTGTGCAAAGCCCTGTGGCAACAGGGCGCGTCGATCACCGCCGCGGTAATGGCTGCGGCAAACAATTTCGCGTTGCCAATGGCCTGCTCGCAGGTCGCACATATTCGCATGCATGTCCAACATGCGGCACGGTGGTGCACTCAACACTGGCTTCCGGCCGAATTCGGGTAACGCATCGCAATCCCAGCGGCCGGCAGTGTCGCACCAACCAGTGGCGCGTGCATACCTGATGACGTTTCCAGCTTAAGGTTGCCACACCGCACGGCAATGCCCCACAGTGCTTTCTGAACCTACAAGAAAAGTAGCCGTCTTCCAGCTTTCCAAGCTCAGAAACGGCGCCTCCGCCACGCCCAAACAGCAGGGCCCTGAAGGACGGACCGAGCCTCCGGGCAACGGCTCCCACTGCCTAACGTTGCTTTCTGAACCTACAAGAAAACTAGCTCTCTTCCAGCCGTCAAGGCTCACAAACGGCGCCCTCGCCACAGCAAAACAGCAGGGCCCTGAAGGACGGACCGAGCCTCCGGGCAACGGCTCCCAAACTAGCTCTCTTCCAGCCGTCAAGGCTCACAAACGGCGCCTCCGCCACGCCCAAACAGCAGGGCCCTGAAGGACGGACCGAGCCTCCGGGCAACGGCTCCCACTGCCTAACGTTGCTTTCTGAACCTACAAGAAAACTAGCTCTCTTCCAGCCGTCAAGGCTCACAAACGGCGCCCTCGCCACAGCAAAACAGCAGGGCCCTGAAGGACGGACCGAGCCTCCGGGCAACGGCTCCCAAACTAGCTCTCTTCCAGCCGTCAAGGCTCACAAACGGCGCCTCCGCCACAGCAAAACAGCAGGGCCCTGAAGGACGGACCGAGCCTCCGGGCAACGGCTCCCACTGCCTAACGTTGCTTTCTGAACCTACAAGAAAACTAGCTCTCTTCCAGCCGTCAAGGCTCACAAACGGCGCCCTCGCCACAGCAAAACAGCAGGGCCCTGAAGGACGGACCGAGCCTCCGGGCAACGGCTCCCAAACTAGCTCTCTTCCAGCCGTCAAGGCTCACAAACGGCGCCTCCGCCACGCCCAAACAGCAGGGCCCTGAAGGACGGACCGAGCCTCCGGGCAACCGCTCCCACTGCCTAACGTTGCTTTCTGAACCTACAAGAAAACTAGCTCTCTTCCAGCCGTCAAGGCTCACAAACGGCGCCCTCGCCACAGCAAAACAGCAGGGCCCTGAAGGACGGACCGAGCCTCCGGGCAACGGCTCCCAAACTAGCTCTCTTCCAGCCGTCAAGGCTCACAAACGGCGCCTCCGCCACGCCCAAACAGCAGGGCCCTGAAGGACGGACCGAGCCTCCGGGCAACCGCTCCCACTGCCTAACGTTGCTTTCTGAACCTACAAGAAAACTAGCTCTCTTCCAGCCGTCAAGGCTCACAAACGGCGCCCTCGCCACAGCAAAACAGCAGGGCCCTGAAGGACGGACCGAGCCTCCGGGCAACGGCTCCCAAACTAGCTCTCTTCCAGCCGTCAAGGCTCACAAACGGCGCCTCCGCCACAGCAAAACAGCAGGGCCCTGAAGGACGGACCGAGCCTCCGGGCAACGGCTCCCACTGCCTAACGTTGCTTTCTGAACCTACAAGAAAACTAGCTCTCTTCCAGCCGTCAAGGCTCACAAACGGCGCCCTCGCCACAGCAAAACAGCAGGGCCCTGAAGGCCGGACCGAGCCTCCGGGCAACGGCTCCCAAACTAGCTCTCTTCCAGCCGTCAAGGCTCACAAACGGCGCCTCCGCCACGCCCAAACAGCAGGGCCCTGAAGGACGGACCGAGCCTCCGGGCAACGGCTCCCAGTGCCTAACGTTGCTTTCTGAACCTACAAGAAAACTAGCTCTCTTCCAGCCGTCAAGGCTCACAAACGGCGCCCTCGCCACAGCAAAACAGCAGGGCCCTGAAGGACGGACCGAGCCTCCGGGCAACGGCTCCCAAACTAGCTCTCTTCCAGCCGTCAAGGCTCACAAACGGCGCCTCCGCCACGCCCAAACAGCAGGGCCCTGAAGGACGGACCGAGCCTCCGGGCAACGGCTCCCACTGCCTAACGTTGCTTTCTGAACCTACAAGAAAACTAGCTCTCTTCCAGCCGTCAAGGCTCACAAACGGCGCCCTCGCCACAGCAAAACAGCAGGGCCCTGAAGGACGGACCGAGCCTCCGGGCAACGGCTCCCAAACTAGCTCTCTTCCAGCCGTCAAGGCTCACAAACGGCGCCTCCGCCACAGCAAAACAGCAGGGCCCTGAAGGACGGACCGAGCCTCCGGGCAACGGCTCCCACTGCCTAACGTTGCTTTCTGAACCTACAAGAAAACTAGCTCTCTTCCAGCCGTCAAGGCTCACAAACGGCGCCCTCGCCACAGCAAAACAGCAGGGCCCTGAAGGACGGACCGAGCCTCCGGGCAACGGCTCCCAAACTAGCTCTCTTCCAGCCGTCAAGGCTCACAAACGGCGCCTCCGCCACGCCCAAACAGCAGGGCCCTGAAGGACGGACCGAGCCTCCGGGCAACCGCTCCCACTGCCTAACGTTGCTTTCTGAACCTACAAGAAAACAAGCTCTCTTCCAGCCGTCAAACCTTCAAAAACGCTCTTCCAGCCGTCAAGGCTCACAAACGGCGCCTCCGCCACGCCCAAACAGCAGGGCCCTGAAGGACGGACCGAGCCTCCGGGCAACGGCTCCCACTGCCTAACGTTGCTTTCTGAACCTACAAGAAAACTAGCTCTCTTCCAGCCGTCAAGGCTCACAAACGGCGCCCTCGCCACAGCAAAACAGCAGGGCCCTGAAGGACGGACCGAGCCTCCGGGCAACGGCTCCCAAACTAGCTCTCTTCCAGCCGTCAAGGCTCACAAACGGCGCCTCCGCCACAGCAAAACAGCAGGGCCCTGAAGGACGGACCGAGCCTCCGGGCAACGGCTCCCACTGCCTAACGTTGCTTTCTGAACCTACAAGAAAACTAGCTCTCTTCCAGCCGTCAAGGCTCACAAACGGCGCCCTCGCCACAGCAAAACAGCAGGGCCCTGAAGGACGGACCGAGCCTCCGGGCAACGGCTCCCAAACTAGCTCTCTTCCAGCCGTCAAGGCTCACAAACGGCGCCTCCGCCACGCCCAAACAGCAGGGTCCTGAAGGACGGACCGAGCCTCCGGGCAACGGCTCCCACTTGCCTAACGTTGCTTTCTGAACCTACAAGAAAACTAGCTCTCTTCCAGCCGTCAAGGCTCACAAACGGCGCCCTCGCCACAGCAAAACAGCAGGGCCCTGAAGGACGGACCGAGCCTCCGGGCAACGGCTCCCAAACTAGCTCTCTTCCAGCCGTCAAGGCTCACAAACGGCGCCTCCGCCACGCCCAAACAGCAGGGCCCTGAAGGACGGACCGAGCCTCCGGGCAACGGCTCCCAGCGCCTAATGTTGCTTTCTGAACCGACAAGAAAACTAGCTCTCTTCCAGCCGTCAACGCTCACAAACAGCGCCCTGGCCACAGCAAAACAGCAGCGCCCTGAAGGACGGACCGAGCCTCCGGGAAACGGCTCCCAAACTAGCTCTCTTCCAGCCGTCAAGGCTCACAAACGGCGCCTCCGCCACGCCCAAACAGCAGGGCCCTGAAGGACGGACCGAGCCTCCGGGCAACGGCTCCCACTGCCTAACGTTGCTTTCCGAACCTACAAGAAAACTAGCTCTCTTCCAGCCGTCAAGGCTCACAAACGGCGCCCTCGCCACAGCAAAACAGCAGGGCCCTGAAGGACGGACCGAGCCTCCGGGCAACGGCTCCCAAACTAGCTCTCTTCCAGCCGTCAAGGCTCACAAACGGCGCCTCCGCCCCGCCCAAACAGCAGGGTCCTGAAGGACGGACCGAGCCTCCGGGCAACGGCTCCCACTGCCTAACGTTGCTTTCTGAACCTACAAGAAAACTAGCTCTCTTCCAGCCGTCAAGGCTCACAAACGGCGCCTCCGCCACAGCAAAACAGCAGGGCCCTGAAGGACGGACCGAGCCTCCGGGCAACGGCTCCCAAACTAGCTCTCTTCCAGCCGTCAAGGCTCACAACCGGCGCCTCCGCCACGCCCAAACAGCAGGGCCCTGAAGGACGGACCGAGCCTCCGGGCAACCGCTCCCACTGCCTAACGTTGCTTTCTGAACCTACAAGAAAACAAGCTCTCTTCCAGCCGTCAAACCTTCAAAAATGCGCCCTTTCCGGCCGTCACAAACATTCAAAAACGGCCGTGAGTGCCTAACGTTGCTTTCTGAACTGCCTAGAAACTAGCTTCAAACCTTGCTGTTTCCTGCCGTCAGCTCGAGTCCAAGGACCCTGTCGCGGACCTCAAACACCATGGCAGTGAAGGACGGATCGCGCCTGCGGGCCACGGCCGTGAGTGCCTAACGTTGCTTTCTGAACCTACAAGAAAACCTTGCTGTCTGACCCAAAACGGCGCCTGCGCCACAGCCAAACAGCAGGGCCCTGAGGGACGGACCAGGTCTGCCGGTTCAAACCTTGCTGTTTCCTGGCGTCAGCTCGGGTCCAAGGACCCTGTCGCAGGCCTCAAACACCATGGCAGTGAAGGACGGATCGGGCCCGCGGCCGGCAGCCCATACTGCCAAACGTTGCTTTCTGCAGTGCCTAGAAACTAGCTTCAAACTTTGCTTTTCCCTGCGTTCCTGCACTGCCAACTGCCAACTTGCCTGCATTGTCTGACAGCTGGCTTTCGTGCGGCACAGCTCCGGTCAAGTCGAAACTAGCTTCAAACCTTGCTGTGTCTTGCCGTCAGCTCGAGTCCAAGGACCCCTCCGCAGGGCCCCAACACCATGGCACTGAAGGACGGATCGGGCCCGCAGCCGGCAGCCCACGGTGCCAAACGTTGCCTTCTGAACTGCCTAGAAACTAGCTTCAAACCTTGCTTTTCCCTGCCACTTTGCCTGCGTCGTCTTGCAGCTCAAACCTGGCTTTTCCCTGCGTTCCTGCACTGCCCACTGCCAACTGCCAACTTGCCTGCATTGTCTGACAGCTGGCTTTCGTGCGGCACAGCTCCGGTCAAGGGACCTCCTCGCAGGGCTAAAACACCATGGCAGTGAAGGACGGATTGGGCCCGCGGCCCGTAGCCCAGAGTGCCAAACATTACTTTCTGTCGCTCGTTTACTCTTGCTTCTGCATTCTTGCTTTAACTTCTTGTTTCGTGCTTCTTTCGCTTGCTACGTTCGCTGAGACTGCCCCTCCTTTCTCGCTTCCTTTTTTGAGCTTCTTACTCTGCACCTGGCTTCCCTTTCTGTCCCCCCCTCGCTTGCCCCGCTACGTTCGCTGAGACTGCCCCTCCTTTCTCGCTTCCTTTTTTGGGCTTCTTACTCTGCACCTGGCTTCCCTTTCTGTCCCCCCCTCGCTTGCCCCTCACTTGCACTGCACAACACTTGTTGCTTGTAATCTCTTCTCTGACGCGCTCCCCCTGCTGTCGGCAGGGGTCGGCGGATATATACACATACACACACACATATATATATATATACATATATATACATATATATATATATTTATATATATATTGTGAATCCATAACTGATCCCAGTCTGTTATCAGATGTTCACCAGCTTCCTTTCAGGGGATGATCATGCTTATTGCCATAGCCACTTTCGGCTGAGGCAGCCTGCGGAGGGTGGGTTTGAGGTAAGTGCTTGGGCCATAAGACTGAGGCCGGTCTTTCCATTGCTGTGGCCAGCAATTCATACCTGGTGCAACTACTGCCATCCACTGGCATCCGAGTTTTGCTGCCGTGCGGAGTTCCAAGATCGTTGTGCTGCGCTTGAGGGAAAACAAGGGCCTTCAGCTTGCATTTGAGATTTTGGAGATTGGCTGCCAGTGAAGAACCAAGTTCTCACTGGTAGCGGAGCTACCAACAACGCTCCAGGGCAATTTTGTTTCTCTGGTGAAAATATCGAGGGGTGACGCAAATGTCACAGGCTGCAGGTGAGACAGGGGAAGTTTCAAACAATGTCTCCAACAACCTGGCCACACTGGTTCCGAGTTTTGATCCCTCCAAGGATGACCTTGAACAATATACTCAGAAGGTAGAATTGTTGGGCGAAATCTGGCCTGCATCGAAACTGAATGAGTTGATTACCCGTCTCATGCTGAACACTACAGGGACAGCGTTCCAGAAGCTCCAGCTGAACCGTGACAAGCTTCTCACAAATGACAAGGCTGGAATTCAGTTGCTGGTGACCACACTTGGTGGTCAATGGGGCAAAGTGAATTTGGAACGTAAGTATGAAACTGTGGAAAAAGCACTGTTTAAGTGCGTGCAGCGGCAAGACGAGTCCAATGACTCCTTCCTGGCAAGATGCGATGTCAACTGGTCAGAACTTAAGTCCAAGAAGATCGATCTGGATGAGGTTCACGCCTACATCATCCTGCGAGGGTCCCTTCTGAGTACGGAAGACAAAAAGAGAGTGATCGTTGAGAGTGGAGCTGACAAAGAAGGTACGTTAACTGTGGACAAAGTGAGCAAGTCAGTCCGTATGTTGGGAACTGCTTTTTTCAATGAAATGATCGGACAGAAGAAGACCAAAGGTAAGATCTATGACAGTCAAGCTCTAGTTGTGGAGGACGATGATGAAAATCAACATGAGTCTCAGGTTTTTGCCACTGAGGAGATCACTGAGGAGGAGTTCTTTGAGAGCCTACTGCAAGAAGCTGACGAGGACGCAGCCCTCATCGCGGACTATGAGTCGGCGATGGCTGTCAATCTGATGAAGATCTTGCAACTGCCTTTACTTCGTACTCCGAGGCTCGAAAAAGGCTTTCTGATCGATTCAAGAACAGGGGTTTCTGGCCGGTAGGTCCCAATAAGGGGAAGGGCAAAGGATACTCCAACAAGGGTCGTGGAAAGTCTTTTGGGAAATTTCCAAAGAAGTCCTTGCAACAACGAATACTCGAAAGCTCATGTAGAATCTGTGGGAAGAAAGGGCATTGGAAAGCTGAGTGCCCTGAAAGATCTAGGGGTAGCGCGTCCACCAGTGCAGCCGGAACATCAGCAGCGATGACCACCACTGCTGAGCCCCTTGATGATGCATCCGAGCCCAATGCCTTGCCAATGGAGTTCATGCAACTGCCTCTCATACATGAAGCCGCCCTCGATGAACCTAGCATGCATGAAATTAATGTTGTAACTGCCACCGAATGAAAGGGTATTGGGGGGTAAGGTTCAATAACCCGAAGAGTCATGGTCCGAGGAATGAAAACCTCGCCGAAAAGCACATGGAGATCCAGAACGACTGCAAACCTTTTGAACCGGAGATGATTCTTTTCTCCACCCATGGTACCAGTGGCATTCTCGACACAGGCGCAACGAAGTCAGTGATCGGCAGCAAACTGCTGCCAGCGTTCATTGAAAGCCTGCCGCATGATGTCCGAAAGAACCTTTTTCGAACAAAGTGTGAAATCACTTTCAGATTTGGTAATCAGGGAACTCTGGATTGCCAACAAGCCTTAGTAATTCCTCTTACTTCCATTGGTTTGGGTTTGAAGGTAGCTATTGTAGAGGGTGAACCCCCCTTGTTGCTTTCCAACACCTTGATTCGGACACTGAGGGCAAGGCATCAATAGTGAGCGTCAAGTCCTGTCAAGCCCCTTTTTGCACCGTGATGTCAAATTGCAATTGACCCCCAAAGGTTTGTAAATGCTGGATATTCGTGATCTAATCCAAGCACAGAAGGGGCCACACAGCAGGACCTCACCGTCCACTGCAGAAACCTTCGTGAGCAGCGATTTTTCAGAGTGCCAAAAGCCAGCAGTCGACCTTTCAAGTGCAGCCGAGGCCACAGGTATCCAGGTGCCAGTTTTGAAATCACCCAATGGTCCACAAACATGCAAAGAGGTGTATAGCAGCAGCCGATGCCAAGGGTTTGTAGATCAGCCAGTTCATGCCGAGATCTCCAGGCCCGAGACCACCTCAACCAAGTTCATTGAACTTGTACAGAGCCTTCAGGATCGCCAAAGCCATGAGCCTTGCCAGTCGAATGGACCGAGTCATGGCTCAAACATCTCCCGACGGAATAGCAGCCTTCGAGCAGATGACGTTAGAAGAGATGGGCAACTGCAAGATAGCGTTTGGAAAAGCGCATGTGGGCAAGTCATACCTCGAGATGTGGGAACAAGAGAAGTCGTGGATGAAATGGTTCATCCGAACCTACTCAGACAGCCAACGAGAAGAACACAAGAAGCTGATCATCTATGTCGAAAAGATGGTGCAACAGCTCGAGATCAGCAATGGTCTCCCAACCCTGGAGGAGACAGAGACGCAACAGGGGATTGTACAGCCTCGCTGCAAAGTACACCCCAAGGCCAAAGCGTCAGCCCGCATGACAAACCAGGCACACTTCGATGCCATGACCATCATGAGCGAAGATCCCAACGACCCATGGGATGTGATGGAACAGATCCACACCATGCCGGTGACCATGCAACACCAGGAAGACATGAACGCCATGCAGAACCGCGTTCTCGCCGTGGAGAATGCCCTGACAGAGATCCTGAGCCTCTTGCGTCCCGGGCAGTGAGAGATCCTATGGACCATTTGTGCTTGGCTGGAGACATGGATCAAGACTTTGAATCAATCAATTTCCATAGCAACCAAATGAATCACCGTCAAAAGAAATTTCAATCACTTGTCGACCAATTTGCCAAAGAAATGCAAGAAGTCTCATCGAAGCCAAGCATTCGTTCCGAGCCGATGGTACAGGTAATGGAAGTTCTTTGTGGTCCCCAGAGTGAACTCACGAAACAAGTGAACAACATGGGATACCGAGCTGTGAGGTTTGGGTATCAAGAAGGGGATGCAGCCACGAAAGAAGGAAGAGAATTGTTGTTTGCAAAGATCCATGCCTGTAGTCCCAAACATATCTGGTATAGTCCAACATGTGGGCCATGGTGCGCCTGGAGTCACTTGAACGAATCCAAAAGTGAAGCCAGTTTTCAGAGGATTCAAGACCTCAGAGATGAAAACCTGTATCAGTTGGCTTTAGGTTTGGTCTTGTACCGCCACCAAGTTTGCCGAGGATGTCACATGCATTGGGAGCAACCAGCCAAGTCAATCATGTTGAGGACCCCATTGTTAAAGGAGGTCATCCAAGGTACACAGGTCGCAGAGTTTGACATGTGCCGTGTTGGACTCATGAGGGATCCAGTCAACCAACTTTTGTACAAAAAGGGAATGGAGATTGCCACCACATCACAACAGTTTTACCTACAATTTCACGGTCGAACATGCAACCATCAACATGAACATCAACAACTAGCGGGTGAGACCACTGTCAGAGGTATCAGAATCAGAAGAACAGAATTTTCTGAAAGGTATAACCGAAAATTTGCTCGAGCTCTTGCAAAAGTCCTCACAAAACTCTCATGTGCCAAAGAGGTCCCATTTGCCTTTGCGAGTGCATTTGCCGTTGTGAACAAACGCAGAAACAGTGCTTCCAGTGCGCCTCCTCTGAAACGAGCCAAACTGAGAAACAGCGAATTGATTGAGCCTGCCGAAATGCCTGTCAAAAGAAGAAGAACTTCTGGAAAGACCCCAGAAGCCACAAGCATGAATAGCCTATGTGATCGCATTTGTTCTCAGATATCTCAGGTAGCCCCCCGAGTAGGTCGCAAAGAAATTGATCAGTCTCAAATACTTGCTGACCTCCAAGAGTTGTTCCATGAGAAACAAATTGTTCGGGTTGTTGCATGTAAGGGGACTGAGCGAACAATAATGCCACCAAAAGACTTAGTACCAGATGAAGCCCCTTTCCGAAGAGCCATCATAGTACAGAGAGTCACAAAAAAAGTCCTTGTGGAAGACCAATGGGAAGAGTGGAAATACCTCTCCAACAGGCAGCTATGGAGGCGCTCTCATCCATGTTTCCTGAATATAACAGTTTTTGCTCGCAATCCAGATGCACATGATCCCAGCGTAGCCAGCGTGAGAATTCAAGCATCCGAGCCAGCCACTGCAGACCAATCCCAGGCCTTGGAAAGGCCACATACTGACATGCCTGAATCAGGATCACCAGCAATGTCTCCAGCCGAAGAGACACCGAATGTCAGTCCAATGCAGAGGCCAAATCCAGAACCCGTCCAGGAACCACTAGACCCAAGTGCAATCGATGAAGCCAGCACTCAACATGGCCCGAAGTTCATGAGCATGAACCCTGAAAATAAGAAGATAGCCATCCGATTGCATAAGAATCTAGGTCACCCTGATCCTCAGAAGCTTAGCAAGGTTCTCCAACAGCGAGGATACAGCCCAGAACTTTATCAAGGGGTACTGGATTTGAAGTGCTCAACATGCCAGATGCAACAGTGTCCAAAGTTGCAGCGTCCAGCCACACTCAAGGAAGAACTGGAATTTGGGGATAAGGTATCTATTGATGGGGTTAAGTGGAAAAACCGACAAAACCAAGAATTCCATTTCTATCACTTCATTGATCATGGTACTAATTATCACACAGCAGTGATTGCCCCAAATCGAGCAGAAATTCAAGAAAGGTTCATTTCCGGATGGTTGAACTGGGCGGGCACCCCGAATACTGTCTTGATGGATTCTGCATCAGAATTCCTGTCGTCAAGCTTTCAGGAATACATGCAGAGCATGAATGTACAGTTTGTTGTAGTGCCGCCAGATGCTCACTGGCAAGTTGGACGCATTGAACGCCATGGTGGAGTCCTCCAAAACATGCTCGGAAAGTATGAACTTGAACATGATGTCACAAACTATCAACAACTTCAGCAAGCCTTGATGCACTGCACCATGGCCAAGAATGCGTGCGGTTTGAGACATGGGTATTCACCAGAAACTCTGGTGTTTGGCAAAGGCCTGCGAGTTCCCGGATCAGTAGTGAGTGACGATTCATTACCAGCACATGCCATTGCCAATGCAGAAGGTAATCAAGGTGTCAGGTTCAGAGAGCTCCTTGCAAAAAGGGAAACTGCTAGGAAGGCATTCCATGCAGCCGACAATGACATGTCCTTGCGAAGAGCCGCCCTGCGCCGAGATCGACCCTCAAGAGGTGCTTACGAGCCGGGAGAATGGGTGATGATTTGGAAGGTACACTTGAATCAAGGTTCATGGATAGGACCAGCCAAAGTTGTCATTCAAGAAGGAGCCACCACAGTTTTTTGCAATAACTCTGGGACCCTGATTCGTGCAGCACCTGAACATGTGCGTCCGGTGTGTGCCGTGGAAGCTCAGCTCATACCTTTGGAAGAACAATTGAAAATCATTCACAGTAACCCTACCACCATCAATACTCCGAATCTAAATCCCATTAACCCAAGAGCGACAGGCTCCAATGTGAATATCCCACCAGAGGATAACATGCCTACAACATCCGACAACCACCAAAGGACCCATAGCAATTCATCTTCAGATCAACCTGACCAAGAACCTGGCAATGCCAATACACCTCATGCTCATAATCCCAACTCCAATAGTCCCATCAATAATCCCGATAACCCACATGCACCAGAACTTGAACCACATGAAATTCCACTCCCTGATGAATCAAGCGATGAGCTAATGTGCGACCTGCTCACATGCATGGATGATGATCCAAATGAAAACGTGTGTCCAGAAGGGGATACATCTGTTTGGCGTGCCGAGCTGGAATTTTCCAAAGACCAATTGGAATCAACGTGCCAGTTTCAAGAATGTCCCACCGAAGAAGAGTTTTTATTTCTGGCTACCAACGCCAAGAAACAGAGAACTGAAGTCAAGCTGAGCACCCTGACTCCAGAGGAACGTTTGGAATTTGAGAGCGCGAAAGCAAAAGAAGTTCAAAACTGGCTCCAAACAGGAACCGTTGAGAAGATGTTTAGACATGAGTTGTCTCCCAGCCAAATCTTGAGATGCCGCTGGTTATATGTTTGGAAGCCCCTCACAGAGATTGCCGACCAACAGGCCAATGGTGGAAAAATGAGGAAAGCTAAAGCAAGACTGGTAGTTCTCGGTTTTCAGGACCCCCAATTAGACACGATTCCAAGAGATAGTCCAACTTTGGGAAGAACATCAAAAATGTTGATTGCTCAAGTCATTGCTTCAATGCGATGGACACTCATGTCATTCGACATCAAAGCTGCGTTCCTTCAGGGAAAAACTCAGGAAGGTCGAGTGATTGCAATCGAACCTGTTCCCGAGATGAGTGACGCAATGCAGCTCAAAGCCACTGAAGTTTGCCGGTTGGTAAAATCCGCATACGGGTTAATTGATGCTCCGTTTCTCTGGTTTACTGAGTTGGATAAGACCCTAAGGACCCTCAACTTCATCCCATCCAATTCGATCCATGTTTGTACCTTTTATATAAAGAGAATACCAATGAACTCTCTGGAATCTTAGGTGTACATGTCGACGATGGTTTGTGTGGAGGAGATACCTATTTCCTAGCCCAACTCAAAAAGCTTGAGACCAAGTTCCCGTTTGGATCCAAAAAGTCCCAAAATTTTGTGTTCACTGGAATTGAATCGACTCAAAACAATGATCACAGCATAACTATGTCACAAGAAAAATATATCACCAAAATAAATCCCATCCACATTCAGCCACAAAGAAAAGCGCAGCTCGACCTACCAGTGACCGAACGTGAACGCCAAGATCTCCGGGCCTTGATCGGATCCCTTCAGTATGCATCAGTGAATACAAGACCTGATCTCTCCAGTAGACTCAGCTTTCTTCAAAGCGACATCAACAAAGCAACCATTGAAACTCTCATTCAAGGAAACAAAGTCCTTCATGAAGCCAAGAGACACAAAAACACCACCATAAGAATCCAATCCATACCGATGGAAAGAATAAGGGTTTTGGCCTTTTCTGACGCATCGTTTGCATCCCAAAAACAACCAGAGTCACATGATCATGGCAACACACGAAGATATTGCCAAAAATCATGTATGCCCCGTAAACCCAATCAGTTGGGGTTGCAAGAAAATACAACGGGTCGTAACCAGTACTTTGTCAGCCGAAACAACATCTCTCAGTACCACTCTCGATCAACTTTCATGGCTTAGGCTATTCTGGAGTTGGATCCGAAATCCCAAAACAAATTGGAAGAACCCTACAAGTACCCTCAAAACTTTACCCCCAACGTATGCCACTGCCACTTTCAAAGCTGATCCATCTATTGCCGTCACCGACTGCAAATCACTGTATGACCTTGTGACAAGGACGGCACCCCCTGCGTGCCAAGAGTTCAGGACACAATTGCAGGCACGTGCAACCAAAGATTTCTTAGCTGAAGAGACGACATTGAGGTGGGTACATAGTGGTGCTCAGTTAGCAGACGCATTGACCAAGATCATGGAGAGCCACTTTTTACGCCACACCCTCCAGCTGGGCCAGTACAGCCTTCAAGATGAGAAGGAAATCTTGAAAGAACGTGCATGCACTCGAAACAGAATCAAATGGCTTCAATCAAATCAAGAAATCGAAGAAACAAAGTCTTGAAAAATCCTCTTTTGGGAGTGTGAATCCATAACTGATCCCAGTCTGTTATCAGATGTTCACCAGCTTCCTTTCAGGGGATGATCATGCTTATTGCCATAGCCACTTTCGGCTGAGGCAGCCCGCGGAGGGTGGGTTTGAGGTAAGTGCTTGGGCCATAAGACTGAGGCCGGTCTTTCCATTGCTGTGGCCAGCAATTCATACCTGGTGCAACTACTGCCATCCACTGGCATCCGAGTTTTGCTGCCGTGCGGAGTTCCAAGATCGTTGTGCTGCGCTTGAGGGAAAACAAGGGCCTTCAGCTTGCATTTGAGATTTTGGAGATTGGCTGCCAGTGAAGAACCAAGTTCTCAATATACCTATATATATATATATGTATTGTAAAGGGGATAATCTGCTGAATGGGGACTTAGAAATCAGAGTAATATAAACACTGACCAAGTGGGATGATCTTTCAAGTAGGTATACCATGGGCATGGCAAACCCCAAATAGAGAATAAGAAGTTGAACATTGTGGAGGAACCAGAATCTATAGTATAACATCCTGAAAACACAAAAATCAGCATCTTTTTTGTGGATGTAACATTTGGGGATATGAAAAAAAAGGTAATTGTTGCTACACACTTACCAACTCGTGGGGGATATCAATGCGGATATGCAGATTTCCCAAAGCTGAGAGGGTTTTGGGCGGCCTTTTGGGCCCATTTTAAGAAACATCCGTATCAATCTTCAAAAGTGAGGATAGACCCCCCTTATAGTTACCATATGTTACCATAGTTGTCCCAATTTCCGCTTGACCAATTTAATTGGGTATTTTTTTCTTAAGCAGTCTGGGCAAATGATGGTGGATCTTGAATGCTGCAGCCCTCGTCTTTCAGGCCTTGGATTTGGTCAATTTGGTGCAGCATCCAACTCATGGCAGAAAAATTTCACCCAGCGATAAGTAAGGCCATATCCACCTGGTGATCAGTAAATGGGCTGTAATTGCAATGGATCGACAATGATTGACCACATTTACTGATTATTTAACTGCAAATGATGCATCGAGCATTTTCTGTCGATGAGTCGATGAGTATTATTTTCCAAGAACAATCTCTCCTGTAGAGCGGAAATGAATAGATCCACTGTACATTCCACAGGGATTTTTGGGGGTGTTTATTTGGGAGGAAGGAACATTAAACCAACTCATGGTGATTTCATAAACCAGTTATTGAGGTTTTGTCTGGGAAAGGCTCCGACAGTCTTCCATTTATGAAGGAAATTTGAAAACATCACTGGCTTTACCTGGCTCTGGTGACTTTGCCGGCAGGGCAGCTTGGTCAAGGGGATACCACTGCCCGACCCTTGAAGCAGGCCTGGGGGTATCATTGCTGGGTTGTAACCATAGGTTCAGTGTTATTGGCAATATGTAGATATTCCATAGGTTAGTAACCAAAGGTTACAAACACTATCAGAATCATATTACAACTTACGATTTAGAGGATGCACCTCACTCTATCCGAAGTGCGTTTTTCTGTTTGACTATTCTGGTGTCTCCATGTTTTTGTTGGAATATATTGCCCAGAAAAGAGGATATCTGACAGCTGTACATGTCTTTTTTAAATGGTGAAACCCCAAAATTATTCAAGGATATCCAATGTAATTGTGATGGACTTCCCAATTTGTTTTGGGGGTACCCAATTTTTCAGCATCACCCAACTCGTTTCGGCTCAATCGCTCGGTTCCCCCAACGTTTTTGGTTCCCCCGGCCAGGAGAGGGTCTGGCTGGGCGGAGCTGTGCAGAACATCACCAGCGGATCCCATCATAGCTGCGGGCTGCTGATCACCGG